TATTTTATTAGGATCTTATTAGCAGTATGAGCAAGTATCATGAGCTCCGGGAGATTTGCTTCCACAAGAAAGCAGTGCTGGAACTGGTTTCGATGGATTTGTCTAAGAACGTGACCCATTTTAACGCCTTCGCATGTATCTCTAAAACCGTCCAGCAAATGACGCTGGATGTTAAGAGAATTATTAGTGGAACCGCGCTGTCGGAGATTCGGTTGTTATCAGGACGCGAATCAGTCATGCCAATCAAGGTTGGTGACATCGTCAACGGCTTGCAACAAACTGAGTGGTTATCGAATTCAATCATCTGCGGTTCCTACAAAAACACTCTGCGACTTAAATGGACCAGCGTACTACCTAGACCCGCTACTGACCACATCGATGAAGTGGGAAACACCAACAGATCGATAGTGATAGTTCCTTGTAATGTCGGGGAACTCACACTGGACTCTTGTGGTGGTCAACCTCAAAATGCAGACAGCCGTGGAGTACGATCCATTGATGCAGGTGCACTACTTTAAAGAATTTAAAACGCGATGCAGCAAATTCATTCTTCCAGCAGTTCACGAATGGGGGGAAGATAACTAAAAGAACAATCACAACGTTGGATCCGACGTTTCCTCAAGCTCCAATCCAAAACGACGGCTACAATTGCAGTGTGTTTGTGCTCGTAATCGCTTAATGCTTCATGGACGGTAGAGAGGACGATGTTTGGGGATTTCGTGGTCTAGTTGAACGCCATGATTCGCATTCGAGTCTTTTGGCACTTGATAGCGTCGCCTCACGTCACGATAACAGCGACCGACATTCCAAATGACCAAGAGATGCGCAAATTGGAAAGCGACGTTAGCACGTACGCTCAAGAGTTGCAACCGGAGACCAACTTAGTATCACGCTGAGACTCTTTTCTTTTTCCTGCTTTCGGATGACGAACTTGTGGTCAAGCCGCTTCAGCTTCAGAAAAAAGGTGGATATCGTTAATATGTTTATACCCATTCTGAGTGTACATCGGCTTCGTTTTCTTCTCTTCAAGCACATGGTCATTAATACTGATCTCCAACGCATCTACATGGACGCGCATAGGCAACAACAACGTCTCTATACTTGGATGGATAGACAGACGTGCACTACAACGTCTACTGTTCGCCGGCCAACGTCGTTCTGCTCGTACGTGTTCGTCACCACAACGGTATGGTTAGCGTACATACCGCCAAACCACAGCACGTTCATCGAGCCTTCCGAGTCCCAGTTGCAGAGACCATGACCACATCAATTCTCCTTCGAAAAATTTCTTAGTTCATCGCTTGAAGTCGTACACCAGCCAATGTCTATGGCAGCAAGATGCAGATCTTTGATCATCCGGTATTACGTGATAGTGCGCAGAAGAGATGAACACGGCGGCGCTTCAAATGAATCCGTCCCGACTGTGGGCACAGCAGTGCTTGGTGCCAGTGGCACCTTAATCTCGTACTTCCTCCTCATCGTCTACGCCAGCCAACCGGACGTGTACTCGCCGGTCGCTCGGTTATTGGTCTTCTTCGGCGTGATCGTTGCTGCATTAGCATAACTTGTTCTAAGACCACGGCGTGCTCACCATATTCCCAGCTATCAGGTACAAAGTTTACTTGCAGAGCTCCTATGTTGGACCCTTCGTTTGAAGTCGCTCACCGGCCGACAGCTTCGACGCCAAGCTGCAGACCTCGACATTACGTGTCCGAACGCCAAGGGCGAGGAGGACACACGGCGGTACTGCCATGGAGTCAACTCAAATCGACGACACTACAACCCTTGATACCAGCAGCGTCTCGGTCTCGTACTTCTACCCATCCGCGTGGAAGCTGTAAATCCCAGTACTCCACCAAACTTGTCTTTTGAAGCTGGTACTAAAAAGAGAGTAGCCAGAAGAGTCTTCCGTTGGACATTGAGGTGGATCACATGCGAGCTCGACTGCTGGTAAGATCACTTCGCTCGCGAGAGTTTGTCGTATTTTCGTTTGCGGCTGCATGCGAAATCTCGGGGGGGGGGGTCGCGACCGTTTGGCTGGATCGCAAGGAGCTCTTGGCGCTTGTCGATGATCGCGACTCCTGGCGGCACCTGCGACTGTTGGCTAGATTTGGTTATTTAAATGTTTTACCGTACCGGAATTTACGTGTTTTCTGCAGCCGTGTAAAAAGTACCTTTCAAGTCAAAATAGTAAGAACGGCGGAAGGCGTAAAATCTCGCACAAGATACTCCTGTCCATTTGAAACCGTCGCTTTGCTCACAATATTGTAAGAAATAGCACGCTTTAACTGGGACACTGTTTTGATGCCAAACTGGTTAATTTTGCAGGTGCTGCAGACTTTTTACGGGCCACTGGTTGCAAAAAATTGATCGGTTGCAAAAATACCGTAAATTTCGGTAATAGATTGGTCAGTGTTCCTGATCGGTATGGTGAATCTCGCCGAAATTTGCCGATTTGGGTGGGTTTGGCCAGCCGACAGGCAATAAACTCATTAATCTAATTGGTCTAAACACATTTCTTCCTGTCCTAATTTGATGGTTTTGCTTGCAACTAAAGATGGAGGAAGCCGTGACGAAACAGCACGCGCATCAGAATACCGTCTTTCATTACCTCTATGGCTTTTACTGTCTGGGGTACACGAAGCAAGAACTCGCAGAGGTGTACAATAAGTCACAGAAGACGATTCGAAAGTGGATCAAAGTCTACGACGAGACTGGGACATACGAGCGTGATCAGAGTTTCGACAGTAGGAGATTCACAGCGTCTCACCGACAGTGGCTGCGTGATTTCCACGCCGCTCGACCGCTAGCGTATCTTGATGAAGCACAAGCGGCTTTCAAATGTGCTCATCGCATCGAAATGTCGAAGGCATCCGTATGGCGCATCATTCGTGAGTGCGGACTAACGAGAAAGGTGCTTAAGAGACGATCTATGCACATTAAAAAGCAGGACATCTTTCGCTGCGTTGAGGAGCTGAGTCATATTGACTGGTGCCACCACAATCTCGTGTCCCTGGACGAAGTGTCTTTTGATAATCGAGGGATGGTTCGAAAACGGGGGTATTCTTTAAAGGGGCATACTATTGCTATCCGAGGCGACTTTCAGCGCAAGCCCAGAGTATCAGTTCTCGCATTTATTGGTGTCAGTGGTGTCCTTGGCTACTATGATGTTCAAGGCACGTTTGATAGAGTCGAGCTCGTTAAGTGCTGCAAGGACTTCGCATATTCAGCAGATGGAAATGTACACCAGTATCCGGGCTCTCATTCGGTATGGATTCTAGACGGCGCATCAATTCATAGAGACCCTGAAATCGCTCACTTCTTGAGAAGTATTGGGATTGTTCCCTTATTCCTGCCGGCATATTGCCCATTCTTTAATCCGATTGAACTCCTATTTGGTTACATCAAGAAGGCATTCCAGAGGTACTACGTGGAATCGAGTAAGCGTGATCTCCTGCCGTTTGTCGTCGAAACCTTTCAACGCTTCAAAGACATCAGAATGGAGCGAATATTCGAGCACAGCGGATGAAAGGTTCAAGGAGATTTTGATCCTAGTGGTCCGATGTCGAAAGAACAGCGGCGAACGCCTCCGTTAAGGAATGATTCGCTATCTCCTGAAGAAGACGAAGAAGGATTAGGATATATTAAAAGACAAGTATCACTTTAACTCAGCTAAAGAAGCACTACTCTTGGTGGTCGATGTCTTCTACATTTTCAATTCTCTCGAGGGGGTCTTCAACATCGCTAATGGACGGCAGTGGGATGTCAGCGAGAAATATCTCGATGGTCGATTTTCTTTGCAGCAAGCGTTCCTTTTGACGGGCGATAAGCTGACGTTGAACTTCACTGTGTTGGGATTGAGCTTCGTTGTCAGCAAGAGATGCATTGACACAATCCAACGCCAAACGGGCAGACCGTGTGAGACTCGACAGGTGTCGGTCAACTTCCACCCCGGCGGGACGAAGTAGTCGCGCGATATAATCCGGTGGAGCTCTCAATATCTCATGATTCCATGTCGATCGATCCATAGACCGAACAATGTTATTCGCCCACATTCGCCACACAATTGGGTCAGCCTGAAATGTTGCACGCCAAATTTCTTTCAGCTCTTCAACACCCTCCTGAAGCGAGCTTTCAGCTGCTGCGCCAGAGCGGTCGGTCTGCACCGGGCGAATACATGCTGTGAGAAACTCTTCGCGATATTGTGCTTTCGCAATAGCTAGCCCATACTGGTAGATCATCAACTTCACAGTTTCGCCACGCGTTGAAGCAATCCAGCGATTCCAGGCCTGGCTATTCTTCGTGCTGTCAACTAGGTGACGACCGTTCTAAAACTGCATAACCTTGGAATATGATTGCTCCAATGGTTCCTCGACAGACCAGGTACCATCACGCTTTACTGCTTGCCCCTTAACTTGGCAACTGAACTTGGTCCAGATCTTACGTATAATATCGTTAAATGTGGCACCATTCACAGCAAACACATCGAGGGCCTCACTCGATGTGTCACGTTGGCCAATCGTATTCTTGACGATTGGTTGGATGACTAGCTGAAGTCGATGCTGTGCTGCTGTTCGATGAGCCGAAGGTGATAATCACTGCAATAACCCCTGTCGCTCACACCACAGCTCTGAAAACGAGCTCTACAATGGTAAATGGTACCATGTACCATTTTTAGGAAGCCAATCAAAACGTTATATTTAGCTCCTTTAAACGGGGTGCAGTACTGTGTCAATCTCTGGGTACCGGTATTTAGCTTATAAAACCCTGGTGTTCTATTAACCATTTATGTAAGTAGCACCCAATGCGGTCTCCTAAGAAATGTGACTATTTTGGAGCACTGATTTCCTTTTATCTTACAGTATTAAAGCAGATTTATGTAAATTTTAATTTAGAAAAAACAGGGAGCAGAGCAGACCGCTCTAATACCCGATCTCCTCTTATATCCGGCGCCACCGTAGCCGAGTTGCCTGAACCAAAACCCAAAAATCCCAGACCAAATGGAGCAGGACCAACTGACGGCGATGACGCCGGCGCAGAAGAAACTATTCGAGCTGCGCATGAAGATGAACGCGGGGAGGAAGGCGAATAAGCAGGTGCGACAAGGTGCTCGAAGCGAGCTGTGCTCGCCCTTCGATAACTGAACATGCTGCTCGGGTGTTTGTCCTGTAGGAAGTGGCAGCGGAGCACGACCGCGTCAAGAACAATAACAACAAGGCCAAGAAGCAGGAGCAGTACAAGAAGAGAGAGGTGCTTATTAGTGCTATAGTAGCAAAGCTATTTGGTACACGAGAGCTGTGTGACCCTCACTCGCGTTATTACTGGCTGTGATATAGGAGAAGAAGCTGGTTGCAGCGAGTGGTAAAGCTCACCTTACCGAGACAGGTGTGTGATGTGACTTGCATTTGTAATTTGACCGTTAGAGCTTGATGCTGACCTGTCACTTGTAGCCGAGGTAGCTGAAATGAAGGCAAAGAAGGCTAGCAAGAAGGAGAAGAGGAAAGCTGCCTTCGGGTGGGACGTATTTAACCAAGACTCGTTGTACAAGGGCTACAAGAAGCGATTAGTGAACTTGCCCACGTCAGAAGGCCCTGCTACAGCTGTTGTGACAACAAGTGAAAATGCGCTCGGTGACGAGCTCGCCTACGGCAAGGACGATAAAGTTGAGGAGGTGCGTGCTATTTTTTTGCGTGTTGCTGCATGCGTTATGCGTCAATATTCGCTGGCGACTGATTACGTGTGCTTCGTGACTGTAAAGGCGAACGTGGAGCGCATGGCGATGGAGCTGGAGGAACGCATCAAGGCACGCAAGAAATTCAGCCGCCGGCGCCAACATTACGAAGGCGAGGACGTCGACTATATCAACGGCCAGAATCGTACATTCAACCGCAAATTGTCGCAGGCCTTCGACAAGTACACGGTGGAGATTCGGCAAAATCTCGAGCGCGGTACCGCTCTGTAGTCCTCCGACAGCCAGAAGCCTCAATTCATCTCATTATTTGGTGCACCCCTTCTTGTTACATTTGCTTCACTGGGGCGGTGGCCGCCACCGTGGCGGGCTAATAGTAAGCACGGCGATGGGATGAGGTTACCCAACAAAAGGTTGCTCAAACACCTGTAGGTAACGGAAACTTGTCAAATCTTATTCTATTAAACTGGGAAGGTGGGCCACAAGAAGTTTTGGCCAATCATCGGCATTGCCCATCACCACTCTGGTTTCTAAAAAAAAAAATTGTCTCTTAGAAACAAGTCTCACGTGGGCCATGTCAAAAGAATTACGGGCCACTTGAAGCCATTCCTTTTGCCACGCTTGTCATTCCCGGTTTAACCTTGTGGTTCACAAGCTCCCCAACCAAGACTACCATGGCTCCCCAGACTACCCCCGCTGCCGGCTCGGCCCCCACCGAAGGCACCTTCCTCGTGAAGGCAGGCCTTGCCAAGATGCTCAAGGGCGGTGTCATCATGGACGTGACGAACGTAGAGCAGGCGCGCATCGCCGAGGAGGCTGGCGCCGTCGCCGTCATGGCCCTTGAGCGCATCCCCGCTGACATCCGCGTGGACGGAGGTGTGGCCCGTATGAGCGACCCGCAGATGATCGAGGCCATCAAGAAGGCCGTGACCATCCCCGTCATGGCCAAGGTTCGCATTGGCCACTTCGTGGAGGCCCAGATTCTTGAGGCTGTTGAGATCGACTACATCGACGAGAGCGAAGTGCTGACCATGGCTGACGAGGAGAACCACATCAACAAGAACAAGTTCAAGGTGCCGTTCGTCTGCGGCTGCCGCAACCTGGGCGAAGCTCTGCGTCGTGTTGCTGAGGGTGCCGCCATGCTGCGCACCAAGGGCGAAGCCGGTACCGGCAACGTCGTGGAAGCTGTGCGTCATGCCCGCTCTGTGCAGCGTGAGATCCGTCGTCTTGGTTCCATGGACGAGGACGAGCTTTTCGTTGCTGCCAAGGAGATGCAGGCTCCGTATGAGCTGGTGAAGGAGGTTGCCACCACGGGCAAGCTGCCGGTTGTGAACTTCGCTGCCGGTGGTGTCGCCACCCCCGCTGATGCTGCTCTCATGATGCAGCTCGGCATGGACGGTGTGTTCGTCGGCTCGGGCATCTTCAAGAGCGGTGACCCGGCCAAGCGTGCCCGCGCCATGGTGCAGGCCGTGACCCACTTCAACGATGCCAAGATCCTCAAGGAGATTTCTACTGACCTGGGCGAGGCCATGGTCGGCGTGCAGGATCTTAAGGCTGCCGCTGTCAACTTCCGTGACCGTGAGGGCGAGCTCCGTGGCGCCTGGTAAATGGGCGCTTGAGCTTGCACTATAGTACGGTTTAATCTTGCTATGGCTTATTACGCACGAGAACTTGTTAGAATACTGCAAGCTCACCGCTTTACACTGTCAATATATTGATATTGCTCAAGTATTTATCTCCCTACCGTAGGAATCGTACGTGCAAATTTATGCTAAGGGATCACCCAGCAACTTTACCTGCACACGTTTACCTCAAAAGGATCACCTGCATGCTGTATCGTGCTCTTGATGGCTTGATACGTCATGAGCACCGCTCCGATGCAGATTGTCGCGCCGATGCACAGCACGATCACGGACTGGCGACCAGTTCTGCGTACGAAGCCCAAGATGATCACTTGGGAGACAGCGGTGACTACGAACGCTACTGCGGATAGGAGCAAGGCCCAGTCCCACGCTGTCATGTTGAACACGGCAAACTTGGCAGTCGCTGCAGCTGATGAATACAGTACCATAAGTGCTGTGGTGGCCGATGCAACTTCAGGCACGATACCCATCTCGATCATAAGAGGACCCGTGACGATTCCACCCCCGACACCAAACAGTCCAGCTATCAGACCGGCGCCGGCACAGGCCAAAGGAAAGCGGACAACTGTCTTCTTCGTCCAGTGGATATCACCCGCTGCGAATTCGTAGTTGACAGACACCTTACGGCAGTGTTGTCGATAGAGGTATACCGCTGTGCAGACGCCAAAGCCAGCGATCCACGGGAGCTCAATGATGAGTAACAACCAGTAGGTGATACCCCCGCATGACACTGCCGCTCCACCGATACTTGCAGCTACGATACCCATGTAGCAGAGCATGATGGCTCCATGTTTGGTCAATGAAAAATGACGTTCCCTTTCCACGATTTCAGTCAGCACTTCTTCGTCAGTCGATCCACCACATTCGTTGGATAAGCTTCCGGTTCCTTTCAGTAGGGAATGGCTGGTGGAATCACCGCCATCGTCAGCAAATTTATCTTCGGTGCACGAGCTTGGCGAACACACAGCCGCATACGCCGCTGCTTGCTGCTCTTCCGTTGTTTGCACCTTGCAGCTTTTCATCTCAGCACGATACATCTTGATCCCTTTAGAAACAGTACGAGTCCCTCCCAACACAAGCACCACGACAAAAAGCAGCGAGAGCAAGTAGCTGGGTAGTAACTTGGCAAGCACAGTGCCCACCACAGCACCGCCCATTACCAGCGGAATCATCGAAAAGGACAAGTCGGCGTCGATGAGAGGGCGATCCACTGCCGGGTGACGTTTGCGAATGTTGAACCAGGCATTGGCGATAGCACCGCCAACAATTGCCAGATTGGACACGGGTGTTGCACGCTTGATATCGAACCCCATGATGAGAACCATTGCTGGAACGAGAATGGTTCCTCCACCTACTCCACCTGCAGCTGATACTGCCAGACCCAGAGCGATGAAGACAAGCCCAAATGCATCGTAAATATCGAACGTTGACAGACTGCGAAGCTCAGGGACCCCACCGCTAGAAGATTTAGTGTTGGTATCATCTGACGATGCAGTGGCTACCAATGCGAGAAGTGAGACGGTGACAACCAACGTCGAAAGTGGTCGAGTGAGTGTACTCATGACAGCTCCTGCAAGCAACGCTAGTTGGGATGCTTTTAGCCGCTGGTTGGGAGAGTGTTTGGAAGTGCTCGATCACAAGAAAACGAGGATCACATAACCTTACAGTAGCACGAGCAAGTCTTAGACAAACGACGATGGCAGGAATAGATTCGGAATCTAATCTATAATTCCGTTCACTGGCTGTCTCAGTTTTCCGCCGTTGGAGTCCCCGTTTTCCGCCGTTGCAGGATAACTTTAACTCCTGTCGTCGCCTCTTTGACGCTGGGATACTCCAGACTGTGGAGTCCACAGGATCCCCAGCACGCACGCGAGTAGCCTGCTGAACAGGAAATCAATAACCCCCACAAAACAAAAGTCGAGGTTTTCTTTATTATGCACTCGAGTTTTTGCGAGGTATCCACAGGTAGCGTATCTGGTGCCAATACACCTACTAGCTGCAAATATCCGCCGAGAAGTGGTCACCAGCATCTTCGACGGTGATCTTAATGGCCTGATACGTCATAATGACACCTCCGATGAGCACGGCCGTAGCGATGCACAACACGATAATGGACTGTCGTCCAGTGCGGCGAACGAAGCCAAGGATCACAACTTGCGAGGCTGAAGTGACCACGAATGCCACCGCGCACAGGAACAATGCCCAGTCCCATGCGACCATTTTGAATACAGCAAACTTGGCTGTAGCGGCAGCTGATGAATACAGAATCATCAACGCCGTAGTGGAGGAAGCGACCTCTGGCACGATACCCAGTTCGATCATAATGGGACCCGTAATGATACCTCCACCAACGCCAAACATACCTGCGACGATACCGGCGACAGCACAGCCCAAAGGGAAGTACACCACCATCTTCTTCGTCCATTTAATGTCTCCGTCCACGTATTGGTAATTCGCCGCAGTCTTGCGGAGATACACCTTGTGGAGGTAGTGTGACGTGAGGACGACAAATACAGCGACCCACGGGATCTCAATTAGCAAGATTACCCAGTAGGCAACACCTCCGCAGTCCACGGAAGCGTCTCCAATACTGGCGGCCACAACACCGAGGTAACAGACCATAATGGCGACGTGTGGACCCCAGGCGAAATGCCGTTCTTTCTCTAGAATCTGAACTAGTGAGTCAGAACCTGCGTGATCGCCTGCTGCAGATTTCACCGGAGCAGCATCGCCGCCAGTCACCGACAGGCTCAAGCGCTTTTCGTCGTTGCCGGTTATCTGAGGCGTGCTAACCTGCACGTAGGCACCAGGGCTAACAGGGATATCGGCCGTCACCTCGCTGGTAGCGGCCTCTGCCTCCCTCCTCTTTGCAACCTCCTTCTTGTGGAGACGGATGCCCTTCTTCATCGTGCGCGACCCGCCAACGAGGAGTACCACCACGAACAGTAGCGACAGCACGTAGCTCGGAATGAGCTTGTTGATCAAGGCGCCCAAGACCGTACCACCGATCACGACGGGGATCATACCCAAGGCCAGTTCCGGGTCGATTAGTGGTCGATTCACGTTCGGGTGGCGCTTGCGCATGTTAAACCACGCATTGGCGACCGCACCACCAAGGATGGCAACGTTAGAAATGGGAGTGGCACGCTTGATATCGAAGCCCATGATGAGTACCATGGCTGGGACCATAATGACACCGCCGCCCACGCCACCAGCGGACGACACGGCCAGTCCAATCACCATGAAGGCAATAGCCAGACCGTCGTAAGTGTCCATTTCGGACAGACTCGGCACGCTATCGTCGTCATCACTACCGCTGCTACCGCTGTCGCTATTGCTGTTAGCGGCAAGTACAGCAGGGAGCACCGCCGTACCAAGCGCTAGAAACACCAAAAGGGAGAGCGTGACACGCTGGAGGCGTGAATGGACAGCCGTGATGGCCATGGCGGATAGGACGCGAATCGTGAAGTGCGGCAGTGCTGGCGAGCGACAATCCCCCACGCAGATACTTTTATCTTGAAACTGTATTGAGTAAAGTTTTCGCGTTGCGACTGGACAAACTGAAGTGACCATCACTCACACGCGCTGGACCAGATCTAAGTCGGCCCGCGACAACCAATCGAGGTCTCTGGAAGCACACCCACAGGCGGTACAGTCATCGCACTAAAAGTGTTTAACACTCGCTTCTGACAGTGCTGTCACACAATGCCAACCGACAGCAATTACTGGAAGTAGAGTATTTTTTGCTAATACTTCGAAGTACGAAGTACTACTACATACTAGTAGTACATCGCAAGCGATACTTTTGTTTTTGCCTGATTTCAGCATGTACTGCACGCTGTCCGACTGATCGGAAGGTGGCGAGCTGGGTCTCGAAGGTTGTTAAGCTCTTGTCACTCGCTGCTCGCCATCGTGGAGAATTTGATAACGCGACACACCGATATCCGATACGATGCCCACTTCAACATACAACGTGACATATCATGCTGGTAGCCCGGCTCAAGCGCTGAGATCAGGTACTTGTAGGAAGCTAAGAAGGTAAGGTTTGTTTGAAACCGTAAAAATACATCAGCTTAGATCACCATGTTATACCAATACTCGACCTCTTGCGACAGATCGCACCACTAGCCTTGCACTTGCACTTTCATGCGTACACCCAACCGAGCTCATCTCATCACCAATACGAGCCTCCTACCAGCTTCTTCATTTTCCACTATGTGATTTGAAGCACAAGCAGCAATGAGCGTTTCACCGGCATCATGTTGCCGCTTGCATCCAATACTCTTTGTTTGCGTACTGCTAGCGCTCGTGACAACCGTCGTGGCAGACGATGGAGAGAGCAGCACCAGTGACGGTGACAGCGTGCCCAGTCTGTCCGAGATGGACACCTACAACGTGCTGGCCATCGTTTTCATGATCATCGGGCTCGCTGTGTCGTCCGCAGGTGGCATCGGTGGTGGAGTCATCCTAGTTCAATCCATGGTGCCTATCTTAGGTTTCGACATCAAACGCGCGACACCCATATCCAACGTTGCCATCCTCGGCAGTGCCGTCACGAATACGTGGTTCAACATGCTAGCTTTGGGCATGATCCCCGTCGTGATTGGCGGTACAGTCCTTGGAGCAGTGATCAACAAACTGATCCCTAGCTATATCGTGTCGCTACTTTTTGTTGTAGTTCTTGGCGTTAGCGACGTTCGCATGACGCTAAGGGAAATTCGTCTAGTCAAGAAGGAGGTTGCTTTATAGAAGCTGATAGAAGCTGCAGTCACCGATGTAACAACTGACATCAAGCGCTTACATCCGAGCAACCACACCGCAGACTGGCAGCAATATTGAGGTCCTGGAGGAAAAACACATCAGTGTCCCAAGATCAGTGACCGGTGAAGCTTTCACTGCAAAGCGAAGCTGACGATTTTTGTACTGGTTGTGACCTTGCGCGAATTCTTTACGAGGAGCGGCGCTTTGCCTATCTTGCCATCCTGACCTGCTACCTTGGAGTTGTTGGCTACCAGTATTGGAGACGCGTCCGTGTATTGTGGAAGTGTGGCGTACTGGGTGATCCTGCTAGCTGAGATCCCATGGGTAGCAGCCTTCGTTTTAGCAACTTCACACTACTTGCACAAAGTTTATATGCGCAAAGCTTCTATCAGCTACTGTACCAATATGTGGGGGTTGACATTCAGTGGGCGGAGATAAACGTGATACATCACCCTGGGGTGCGCTTTTGCGGGAATGGTTGCGGGTATGTTCGCGGTTGGCGGAGGTATCATCACTGGTCCCATCAAGATTGAAATGGGAATTGTACCGGAAGTCGCTTCGTCAACCATGGCACTGATGATCTTGTTTTCGTCCGCCGCTGTCACCGCCAAATTTGCCGTGTTCGATATGATCGCCTGGGACTGGGCATTGCTCTTGTGCGCGGTGGCATTCGTGGTGACTTCTGCTTCACAAGTTGTGATAGCTTCGTTCGTCGTACAGGTCGTCAATCCATTATCATACTCTGCATTAGTGCGTCCGTAACAATCGGTACTCTGCTCATGGCTTACCAAGCCATCAAGGCTACGACCGATGATGCAGGTAGTCACTTCTCCGTGGATATATGCAGCTACGAGAGCCAAGCTGAGCAGAAAAATCCAAATATGCCATGGACACAAGTTGTGTCCGACACAGCTTGAAGCATGTATTTATAATTGATACTATCCATATGAGCAAGCCTCACTAATGCATTCCCGAAGTCTAGCGGCTGCTTATCTGCATTGGGATGGATCCGTACTCCTGTCGGCGTTTGACGGCGTGATGAATCAACAGCACAATGAAGCAGAGGATCAGGGCCCCAAACATCGTCGAAGCCTCGAGTGCAGCAGCAGTCTTTGGCGATGGGCTGCTGGTATCAACATTGCTGACTTCATCATCTCCCGTCTGGTCCATTGTGACGGTGGAAGTGGATGTGGAGCTGTTGGTGGTTAGAGAATCGACAAACGGACGCAGTGTATCAGCAACACACACGTGTTTGAGCGTTTTGCCGATCAACTTCTTGAACGCCGAAAACGGGCATCGTACATCCGTAACCCCATCACCGACATCAACTTCCTCTGAACAAGACGGGATGATAACTTGCACCCGATTCGGTGGCTTTATAACATCACAAAGAAGATTAGCTACACGAGGATTTAAGTATAACAAGAAGGGTATCTCACGTTTTCTGGGGACAATTCGTCACCGTTGCGAATCTGTTCAGGAGAAGCTGCAACGAAGTATAGCTTCACGTAGAATCGACTTGCGTCATCGGTGCCCACCGCCTCATCCGCCTCCCAGGACACTCGGCCTGAATCCTTTAAGCTGCGGGACTGTGATGTTCTGAGTGGTTGCTCTTCGCTGTTTTGCATAGGAGTGGCATGGAGTTCGAATACTAGCATGCCTCCGGGTACTGGTTGATGCGGATGCCACCCCTTTGTATGCCACTGCAACCTGTCATTAACAATTAAAAACATGGTAACACTTTAGTTAGTGCCACTCAGGAAGGAGTACTAAGCACTTGCCGTAACATACCGTAAGAGGTTGCGGACATACAGCAGGTTGATATCATGAGCCGCATAGTACAATAGTCGATTCTCAGGGCCCTGCAAAAGGTGGGGGCCTTCACCTTTAGCTACGGGCAATGGTTTTTGCATGACATTCTGCTCGAAGCTAGCTGTGAGGTGGGCCAGCAATGTTGCTCCGAAGTTAGCTGAGTTGACCTCATTGGTAATAAGATCCATGTGAGTCTACATGTACGTCATCATCAGTGGCGTATTAGTGCCGAATATATAATACCAGTAACAAGCGGTAAGGCGACAACCTCGTGGATCCTGGCCAGTGACAAGATTTTCTTGAACGATAACTGCGAAGGCAGACTCATATTGTTGAGACTCTGCAACAGAAGCCACTCTGAGAAATAATTGGCGTTGGAGAGCGTGTCCTTCCACGGGAGGTAAAATGCGCCATTCCATTGCGTGGGGATTCCAAACAGGTCGCACGTTGTGGAGTCCTCAGTCAAGTTACTGGTTCCAGGCTCCTCGTCGATGTTGCATACAGGCTCAGCACAGCACTGGAGGAGTTCGTTGACTTCTGCCACTTCCTCACGGACTTCTTGCAGAACAAACTGTGTGTCGTTACTGCCGGTAATACCTTCATACACTGAAAATTCCCACAGCAGTGACACCATTTACCAAGTGTCAGCAAACTACACAAAAGATTCATAGCTTGAAGTTACATACCAGCTCTCGAGCATACAGGACAGCTAGCGGTAGGATCTTGCCCCTGCTCGAACAGTGACTGAGTCTCCTTGGTGATTGGCACAAGCTCCGTGCACAACGGATAAAGTCCACTTAAAAACGCGACAGCAGTTAGCTGCACCCAAACACGATTAGATCATCATGGTCGACACAATGACTGCAATACGCACGTACATTATCGCGCTGGTTGTCATCCGCGTATGCAAAGGTTTCTTCGCACGCGGCATGTAGAAATTCTTCGTAAAGGTGGTCGCGAAAGTACTGCTCAAAAGAAATTCCAGTAAAGTTAAACAAGCCCAGATGAAATTCGCGCACAGGCAGCACATCCCACTACATTGCATTGCAAAAAGTAACTCTCACCGTTCCCATTTGCTTCACGACGTGGAAGCCGTGCTTCGTGAGCTTGGGCGAGACGATCTCCGCTGGATCTTCGCTCTCCGACGTGCCCCATGCTTTGGCGCTCAGCGGTAGATCGAGATTCGGGTTGAGAACGTACTTTTTCAGCAGATCTTCCGACGGAGACTCTGTGCCCAGTCCGTAGGGACCGCGTACACCATGGCGAGACAGCACAATCACCTGGTTGGAAATCGACGCAAACGAGATGAGACCGACGAGCGGATGGTTTGCGCTCTGTGAGGACAGGAATGCATCAACGCACCTGACGCAAGCCCGAGGCAGGTGTATACAGTGCTGCATTCACAGGCGACAACACGCCGAGCGCCAGAAGCGGAGCTACTCTGCCTAATGTCATGGTCTGATTCTAGCAAGTCTTGGATACCGGATACAGTACATTGTAGCACCGGAAGGAATCCTTTAGATACGATATGGTGTGGACCACTCTGTATCGCCTCCTAAAATTGTTTGATGATGCCTCATCGGTTTGTGGGGTGTTGTCACCTTCAACTCGTGGCAGCATCTGGACATGCTGATCGATTGCTGGCAAAGAATGCTTTGGTTCCGAAGCATCGGACACTGTCCGACGGACAGGGTAATCTTTCAACAGCGCCACCTGATTCAGCAGCATCACTCCAGCTGCTCACCCCACCCCACACGTGCCGGTTTTAACTCGTGGAGTGGGGACCGGTATCTGAGCTCAGGAGCGGCGGCTCAGGAACGCCAGCACAGTGTCGATCCAGGCAAATGTAAAGTTTTTCTTGCTCTTCGTCGTCATATATATTTTGTGGGCTACAATTTGCGGTTGGACGGCAGCCATACACTCTGCATTGCAGATGGCTACCGAATCATTCGTTCAAGGGGTGTGGCGCGGGTAACTAGCTCGCTGTTGCAAGCAACTTGCAACTCGAAACTTTTGAGTGATAAAGTGCTGCGAGCTGGGCGCCGTTACAGGAGGCGCACTATCCAAGTGAAAAGCATTTCACGCGCGACTTTTGAGGCGGTATCCCAAAACACACGTCCGAAAGATGACCAAGCCGGCGGCTCCGTACGTAGCCCGCACGCGATGGTGCGGGACGCATGTGAGTGGTGCGCCGTCGTCATTTAATAGCCACACACCGCTGCGACCTACGGTTCCTTAACTCGCCCGTCCACGGTGGACTCCACCGGGCTCACGAGCAGCGCCTGCGGCTTTTGCCCAGCTCGCGCGAGCTCAGGTGTGTGGCTAAGCTCGATGTGGACCCGGGATCAGCTCCGAGCATCAGCTGTTCCACGTGAGACTTGGACTACGTGAGACTTGCATCAAAAGGGTGGTCCTTCATCGTTTGTATTGACAATGAATTCCTAGTCTATCACTGTTTGCTGGTCAGTGATCACCAGTCATACGCCACCTGGCGGAGCTCGCTAGGCCGCGTAGCGGACCTCGTGAGTGCCTGGGGCTTTCCCGGAAACTAAGCTGGGGCCAGCAGTATGCCGCAAAACCCCCTGCGTCCACTGTCCCGTGTCGTACGCCCACAATTGGGGCGTTCTCTGCTCACGCCGGCCGTTCCAGTTTGTCGCGGCATCGCTGGCCGCCCACAAAAACAGCCCGAACCGCAGCGGACCAAGTCGTGGGGCTGGCTGAGCTGAGGTGCACCACCCTCTGAATCGAGTCGCGCCCGAACGTTCTCTCCCGACCACGACCATGGATGGCACTTTGTATTTGACGTCGAGAGCGACACACTGCATTAGTCAGCTACACAAAAGCTCATTCAAACAATGACATCTTGCGTGGTGCAAGTTCAGGAGCTGTCGCGCCGCCTTCTCAAGCGTATGCGACCTTCGCTGGCAGCAAGCACAAGCGCAAGCGTGGAGGATCTCGCCGCAAACCGCGACTCGGCCACGAGCGAGGCGCTACTCAAAGTCTGCAAGCGCCAAATCGAATCCTCACCCCGCTCGTCCGCGCCCGCAATGATGGCCGACGAGCCGCTACAGGAGGAGATCGTGGCGGCCACGCCTGTCAGCGATGTTGTCGCTGGGCAGTGGCCCCTCGTCACCGGCTGCGAGGGCGTACGCAAGGCGCTCACTTTTCTACAGACCTCTCGCCAACACGCGCTGATGCTGATGCTGCAGAACCACTGGGAGCGTGCCGTTAGCGTGCTGGAGAAGATTGAAAAGGCAACAGAGAGTGTCAGCGAGCAGCGCCGACAGGTCGTCATCCAGCAGGCCAACGCCGGCCGCAATGTGCTTGTGGAGAAGATTCAGGAGCTCAAACTCACTGCCCCGCGTCGCACCGTGCGGTTCAGCGACGAAGTGGCGGTCGCATATGCAGAGGAAATGGACCGTAAGTGTGACGAGGTGTCGGAGCCCGTCCGTGAAGAGATGCTGGTGCTGCGCGCCTCCCGAAAAATCCCGCACGAGAACCTCTCCGAGTTCTGGAACGAGTAAGTTCGCAGAAACGATCAAGTCCTCAGTCATACGCAGCGGTTGCAACACGTGCGGGAGCACCGAGCACTTTACAGGCCCGTGTGATAACGTACGTAGCGGAGCGGGCCGATTGCTAGGCCTCACAGGCACACTAGACTCCTAACTTATTCGGCATGAATTTACCATATTTAACATGATAACAGTAGCTTGCCTTCAGAAACCACAAATGACACTCTCCATCACTTGCCTCCCCACAAAGATTGGGTGGGGGAATCCGACCCTGTATATCGAATGTAGGCTACATGCTTTAGCCTAGGAGCCTCCAGCTTGAAGCTTGAAACACTTCCTCCACTTCAGCATTTCGGTGGCGTTAGTCACGGACTAGAGGGCCATCCAAGGAAAAGGCGGAATGGATCAGGCCCTGATCCATTCCGCCTTTTTCTTGGATGGGACGCGGTAACACGACCTTCTTACTGTACTTCAGTATGAAGGTTCAAAGAGGATTAGAGTATCATGACGTCGCAACTTGGATCGGCGATAATTTGCCGCGCGAAAGCTCCGCAGCGAAACTTTCGGACTGGAAGTTCCGGTGTCCACAAGGGCTCGACACTTGCCCATGTTGAACAAGGCCTTGATCGGGAAGCTTTACGCCCATACCGGTACATGTACAAATTCAACTCAAATCGCCAACTTGCGTGTGGCTTCGCCAAAATCAGAAATGTCGAGAATCTCAACCATGAGCTTCGGAAATGTGGAAAGCACACACCGTCAGCGTTTCTGACTATTACTACATGGAGTCAGTGACTATTAATATCAGTATCAGCGGCAATTACCGCAGAAAGCCCGTGAGCGCTCACAGCACTTAAGATATTATTTTTAAATAACAGTGTAGTGAGTTGCAAGAGCCAACAGGCTTTGTGATAAAGTTTGTCATCATTGATGGCACGGAAACAAGCTCGACTTACAAAATCTGAGAACTACAAAGACTTACAAAATCCAAGATAAAAAATGTTTCCCTTTCAAACTCGTTTCCGGAACATTTGTATCATTCAGCGCAGGACCCCCTCGACCCAGACAGTGAGCCATTGCCGACAGGATGGCCGACGCCACGCTGTACCGCCCCGCTGGCCACCCAGAGAAGGCCCGACTGGTCTTCAACGCCCAGCTGCACCAGCAACTCAAGAGCATAGCAAAAAACCGCGAGATTTCGGCTGTGCCTGGGGCTCCCACTATCTCCAGCAATGGCAGCATGCGTCCCACGCAGCCCATGGTGCTCAACGGCGCCGGTCGCTCCACAGAGCTCAACGGATGGAGCCTGGAGAAGAAGATGATGGCACTGGCCGAGGCGCTTGACCTACTACGCCGCCCTTTCTTCTTCTACCTGGACTTCGGCACTGCTGCGGCGGCCGAGGCATCGAATGGAGGCAGCGCCGGAGCCTCAGGGGACCGCAAACTCACCTACCACTCGTACTTTAACAAGATGCTGCCACTACACCTGGGCCAAACCGTGCTGCTTGACCTATGGTAAGCTTGTGAGAAATTATTTGCTCTGAAGTGCGTTTTTAACAACACACTTTTGCGTTCTTGCCATTACCAGGGACTATTTGATGGACATGGTCGACCACGTGCCTGTGCGTAACCGTTGCCGCGCGATATATACGCAGGCAGCAGTATACATCTGCCGTCGTGTGGAGTTTATCGAGGGATACCCACTGGACGGACAGCAGGTGCATCTGGACTCGCTCGTGTTGAAGCGATACATCCGCTTACTGGAACGAAGCGTGCGCTTCTGCTCGGTCAAGATCCGCAAGGCGCGATTCATGGCTGAGGAGCACCGATTCTTCGTCGCACACATCTACACCGCGGTGTATTTCCGCTTCCCGTTCGCCACTCCCAAGCTCCTGGAAGCTGTGTTACAGTGCACGGAAAAAATCGAGGGAAGGGGAGAAACAAGCAAAATAACTAGCAACGGATCAAGCAGAAATCGGAACGGAGTGAAGAATGACACGCGTCCTCCTCAGACAAAGCGGCGACGACCACACCGCGAGAGTATTTCCGGCAGTTTGCGCAGCCCTCGACAGTACCGTCGCCACTGGAACGATCTCTCAGGTATTGTACGCATTGCAAACTTCGGTAACTATTAGTATCTGTCAATAACTGACTTGAGTACGCTGATTCTTGTAGAATCCAAGTGTCGACCAGACCGGATCAGTGGCGTCGACTTGCAGCTCGAGATCTTCTCGTCGTTTTCCGAGTACAAGTCGAGCCGCGGCACAGATCGTCTAGTGGTGCCTGTGAAAGGTGGAGGAGGCACGCCGGGTATCCCGCAGGATATGTTGAAGAAGGGTTCTAGCAACAAATCCATCTCTGCCGCGCTCGAAGCTGTGTTTCAGCAGGGCATGAACCGCGTCGGCGAGGAGCAAGAAGTGACGTTCCTTTACCAGCTCCCGCTGCTGTATATCGGTCACAAGCTGCAGAACGACGCATTCGTCAAGTTGACAGTGACAACTCAAGACAAGATCGAGGCTGGACTTAATCTCATCCTTGAACGCGTGAGTTCTCCGGGAAGGGACGATCTCATGGCGGTGACTTTCGTGGCTGCTGTGCTGAGTGACGTGAGCAGTTGGTGCAACCACCGCTATGCGGATGGCCGTATTCTGTGGCATTGCGTGCCTGGTTACTTTGCGCTCGTGCGCTTGTACGTGGCAGTTTTTCAGCGGATGTGTCAGCGGCGTGCACGGTCTAGTGGGGGTGCTTCGTCCATGCCTTCTGTGAATCGCATTCTTTCCATTATTGAAGGCAAGGCGAGTGATCCTTGGGAAGACTATTGGAATGACCGGGAAATTGAAACCGTGCTGGATGCTGGCAGCGAGGTGCTTAAGAATGAAGCGCTGGTTAATGTGCTGATGCAGGTGATCTTGGAAAGCACCAACATCCTCGATCCGACGAGTGTCAATTACTCGTTTGGTATTCTGCAACGCATGCTCGAGGTCGCTTCGATGGCTGCAATGCCTGCTGCAACAGAGCCTGGGTCTCCTGGGAAGTTTGGCGGTCGAGTTCGTCACTGCTTGGGAGCAGTGTTTGATGGCGACTACTTTCTGAACAGCATGCGTAGCGCGTTGCAGTCATCGCACGTGCAAACGCTTTTGAAAGTTCTCACCTGCATCTACAACTGTATCGGTAAGGATCATCATGTTCTCGTTGGGATAAGCCTGGTCGATGCTGACAGTGATGTGCTTTGCTTATTACAGACTTGTTGCCGACTGCTGCTCGCAAACGACTTGTCGCGGAACTCATCCTGCGGGAGAACTTTTTCCATTTCTTTCTGCACTGGAACGAAGAGGTAGGTCTCCTTTCTTCCGAGTGGTATTTGTGTGCGTGTCCTCACCTGTCTACTGTGATTTCGGTGTAGATTCGGAAGATCTTCTCGTACATGATCGTGTTCAAGACTTCGGCTTCAAACCGATTAGATCTTCCTACTGCATCTGACCGGATTCTACTTGCCCAGACCCCATTCTTCGAGGTTAGTCTGCAATCAAGATCCAATGGCTCAAGTTTGTCTGCTGCATCGCCTGCACTCAGTTACTTGAGTCACTTAAGTGAACTGGCTCAGGCCATGTTGCGTCCCACTGCAGACAGTGAGATGGATCCGGCGAAGAAAGCTGCCGTGGGCAAGAAGGCTCTTCAGCGTTTAATGAATTGGGACGCCAGTGCGCGCTTGAAGCGTACACGTAGTGGTGGCGATGCTGTGTTCCGAGATAGTCTCGTTGACGAGGAATTGTCAGTGGATCTCTCTATCGCCAGCAAGTTGGATGCGAACTTCAAGATGATTGCCGAGCAAATGGATCCGGTGAAACACCAGCGTGGTCCGCGTGCTAAACGGTATTTTCCTCGGGAGTTGGAAGCTTACGCTGAACGCGCGCTGTCGCAGTACGTTTTGGTGCTCTGGGAGTACTACGAAGCAGCGTTCGAGAACCCGGCGAAGATGCCGGTCGCACCGTCCCTGGAGTTCACAATTTCCGTGCCGTTCTTCTCCGATTAACCCCGCAAGAGAGTGTATTACCATGTAGTATGTAGACGTACACTAAGGTGACTCGCTGACTGATAAGCAAGTGCACGGGGCACAGCTAGACTTGAGCGTACAGACTGAGCTGGCGGAACATTTCCTTGCTGCTGTACACTGTAGTTGTTGCCCCCGCTGACACATAGAAGCAAGCATATCAGTCCGTCACCCATTCATCAACTTTTTGAGCAACTCCTCAGCGTTTCTTACCGTGCAGTGGCTCCGTTGTTATCATTCGCAGGTCTCCAGCGCGCACACGCTTCCAGTCCCGTTTCCGACGCGCGAACAAATTATCGTGCTCCTTCTTGTCCGCCGTGCGGCCTTTTGGAGAAGGAAATTCACGCAAAACGTTAGATGATCACAGCACAGCCAGTAAAGCAATGGAAACTCACTAGGATGAGCTTGTTTTCGCTTGTGTGTGGTCCGACACGAGTATTTCTGACGAGAACAGAACCAGCACGTGATATACATTAAATATGATACAATACTCTACAGTAGATCTAATACGTACCGCAGCATGCATGATCAAGAGTCTCTGACGTTCTTCACGGTCCAGTGTGTGCTGCACGAATGCTCGTAGCCACCACTGAAGCAATCGCGCAAATGAGCAAAAACACGCTTTCAGAATACAACGACAATGAGAAAAAAGTCCACTCGCTTCTATCGCGTACCCTTGCATCCATGTTGCGCAGCGAGTGCTTCTTCGTGCGGACGTAGGTCTCAAGGAATGAGTCGTCACGCAATTGCTCGCGATGCCCATTTTTGATGCAATTGAGTACGAATTCGCGCAGCGGCTGATATGCTCCTTTCTCCAAGTCCGGACACTCATGCAGTTCCATGAACTCAAACACCTGCGTCTTGAGCACGAGCGGCGCTAAGTCGTCGGCCAGTCCTCCTTCCACCGTTACACATACAGTGTGTACACCAGGGTTCTCCAAACGGATGTCTTGCACGTAGTAGACGCCGTTGGGGAAGGCAGTATTCACTCGCTCGTTGAACACCACCTTGTCCTCGTTCTGGATAGTCACACGCAGCGCCGAGACTGCGCGGGACCTGACAACTGTCGACTTGCCGTTCTTGGTACAGGCCACATAGAATCCCAAGTAGCTGCGTGGGCGGAGCATCGAGACAATAAGTTAATTTATGTACAAGGTTGAATCAACTGCTGGAGGCAACACACCGGAAGATTGAAAACTGGAGCGGAATTCGCTCTGGCAGCAGCTCCGCCCACTTGTCTGCGATAGGAAATAATTGGTAGCCGTCGGGCAGCGACGGGTTGCGCTTGATGGTGATCGGTTTGAGATTCTTGAGCGACATGGCACCAACTTTGAAATCGTCAAACAAAATCACGAAGGCGGGAAATAACGTCTTCCGGTGTACCGGTATTGGGCAAGTATGAGTGGACCACAACACTTTTATAGTACAAAACTACCGAAAGTTTCGTTACTATGAGCGGCACCGGAGCTCGGCGTTGGGACATCGCGGAGACGCATTACGTCGTGAAGCAGAAGGCAGAGACGGGCAGCAAGTTTGTGAACAACTACCGAGTGCTGCAGACGCTTGGGCAGGGCCGTTTTGGCAAGGTAAAGCTCTGTGAGAGACTCACAAGCGGTGTGGCATCAGCTACCAACGGCGCTGCAGCAGGAAATGCTGCTATTGTTGCAATTAATGGCGATGCTGACGCTCCGGCTGCTACGTCGCCCCCTCCAGCTTTTGCACCGCCCAAGACACGGCTATTTACAATGAAAATCTATTCCAAGAAGATGCTGCTCCGTCTCAAGGACTATTGCGTGGATCCGGCGGAGCAGCAACTGGGAGCAATACAAAACGATGCTGGAGAAGATGCAATACCGATGATAATGCGAGCGGTGACGGCGCTGGATCGAGTGCATGACGAGATTAATATCTTGCGCTCGCTGTACCATCGCAACATCGTGCTGCTATTCGAAGTTATCGAAGCTGACGACAGCGACAAGCTCTACATGGTGCTTGAGTACATGCCAGGCGGACCGTGTATGACATATCGACCGGATACGAAGGATTTCTATAGCTGCGCTACAGGAGGTTTGCTGTCAGAGGAGCTGGCACGCAGCTACCTATCCGATATCCTGCTTGGATTGCAATATTTGCATCAACGACGAGTTTGCCACCGCGATATTAAGGTAAGCAACGGACCTCCGCTCTGCTGTATGAATTATTGCAGTCTTCGTGCTCTGACTTGTCGTTTATCTATGAGCGAAGCCAGACAACATTCTACTGAACGACTCTGGGCGCTGTCACCTCACCGATTTTGGATGCGCAAGAGCATTTAGCCACACCTCGGAAGACGTGTCGGGGGCTACAGAAAACAGTGTTACTGAACCAGTGCTCCTGTCCGACACGGCTGGGACGTATCAGTTTCTGGCTCCGGAGTGCTGCTCTGGTGAGCCGTACGACCCCTTCAAAGTGGATATCTGGGCTGTGGGCGTTGTTTTCTTCATTTTCCTCTTCGGGAGACTGCCATTTACGTCTGAGAGCACTCGGGAACTGTTTGACGCGATTATTCGCGCTGAAATCGTGCTGGCTGGCACTGACGAGTCTCGCCGCGCGGTGCCACTTAGCCCCGAGGGCGAGAACGTGCTCCGTCGACTGCTAGAAAAGGACACGGAACAGCGGATTTCCATTGCGGAAGCCCTCAGCCACCCGTGGTTCACCCAGGACGACGATGATGAAGAACCTTTGTCATTCTGATGCCAGGGTGACTTGATATATGTGCTTAACAAAATCTTTATACCCTTATTTAAAGGAAAGGAGGTGTATATATTTTTTTTGGTAATAAGCGCACCGGTTTCCGTATCGGTGTGAACAACGGGCTACGAGAAGTCTAAAACATTTGATGAAACGGGTGTTTGGCACTGGGGTGGAATTAAAAGTCGATAGTACACAAGCCTCCATTTGAGGTGCTGCCAGTGGAGCTCATACTACGTAGTAGTCAATACTCATTAGAAATGCACAACGAACATCGGAAAAGGTTATGCTCACGTTGCTGGAATGTTTCGGTAAAGAAGATGTGAGTTCGTTATTGCTGGACAGAAAAAAATGAATCGTACAGTATATTCTAAAAAAACTGGCTTCAGATCTCGAGTCCTGCAAGCATTGAGCTTTTGCCTAAGCAGCTTTGCGCCTTTGAGCAACTATAACTTCCAGCCGTTATTAACAGCCTCCAACAATTCGCTAAAGACGAAGCAACGCAAAATGGAATGTGCGTGGTGTATGTCTGGTAAGTACAAGCGTCCATGTATCTATTTCAAAGTACCTCAGTGTGTCAATCTTGACTCACCTATTTGTTTCTCGGTAAAGCACTCGTCGAGCATTTGCTGCGTTAGCTGAAACACCTCATGAACATGGACGCCATCCATGCCACCACCAGCGAAAGGATCCTCCATTGTTCTCTCCACGTTGAAGATTCCAGTCATCAACAAGCTCGTCGCCACGCTGAGAAGCAAGCAGAAAGCAAAGTTCGTCGCCTGGTACTCGTTCCCACGCGCGATGTAGACGTAGTAAGGGCCATAGAACAATGGCAGCACAAGGATGAAAAGCCGAGTAAAGGAGCGAGTAGCTTGCGGGGTTCGGTAGAACTTGATGTTCTGTAGTTTCTCGATGCGAGCTTGGAGTAGCCAGTGATACTGGTTAATCCGAGAAGCTTCGTTTGCAGGCATACCGCACGCTTTCATGATTTCCACTTGGTCATGTAGTTGACGGATTGTGTTCACGATCTGAAGCTGCAACTGCTTCACTGGGTTAACAAATTGTGAGGCGAGTTTTCGACCATGTGATGTGAATCGGTGTCGGCCACGTGTCAACGTGGGCATGATCAGCAGCGACATTGTGTCGCGCAGCAGCGCCTCCAACAAGTTCTTGGTCTTCTGGACGTGATCTTGTGGTAGCTTCTTCCGTCCATTCTCGCCCCAGTTCCACAATGCATTGGCCAGTAGGATGTTAACCAGCAAAGATCTCGACTCGGAGATGATGTCTAGCGCTTGCTCTCGTCGTGTGAAGGCTTGTCTGATCTGCATGATCATGGGCGACACCACAGCGAAAGACACGATGGTCCACGAGATGTTGGCGCCAAAACTCGGGCCTGTGCTGCTCTCGCCAAGGAAATAGTAGAGCGACGTAGTGGCCACCGAAAAAAGCACCACAAATAGCCCTTCGAACGTGATGAGGTGGATGGCAAACACCTTCGAGGCAGCATAGAGGTCCAGTACGGTGTCTCGAAAGCCCTCACTTGTCCGCCGCAGCGCACCATTCATCTTCGTTTCGTCGTCGTTGCCGCAGTAACCGCGCATATTGCCAAGTTCTTCGTACCGATGACCCATTGGACGAGGTGAACCAACGTTCAGCTGAGCTTGAGGCACGGCACTGGTGCCGTACAGCGCGTAGTTGCCTTCGGTCATTCCGCCGATGTTGTTGTGTGACAAAACAATGACGAACAGCTAGAAAAAATTACCTACGTTGAAAATTTCGATAACCCTCCCAAACAGATGTCTTGCGCCGAACGGTTTTGAAAACGATCATTCAACCGATAATTAACTGATAAACTTAATTTTATTCGAGCGTAATAGGTGTAAGGCAACAGGTAAATTGGATGACTGTACTGTACTAAGGAAGCAACTCTAGCCAACACTTCCGGTAATGGTTGAGATCAAGCTGGACGGCGCCGTGGTCGGAATCGAGGAGTTTGTGAACAACCATGAGGGGTGTCTGATTGTGCATGGGCACATCAAAACGAAGTACGTCGCGGCCGCTATTGATTCACAAGCGCGGATGGATTCTGTGCTGACATTAATTGTGTCCATTCCAGACCTGAGGACTTTGTGGTGCGCGAGATTAGTGCAGCAGGTGAAGTTGTAGACTTTAGCGAAGAAAGCTACCGCCTGCCAACGGAAACCGAGCGTGACGCAATACTGAAAAAGATCGAGGCACAGCAGAAGCAGAAGAACGAGAAGCTGTCGTTTGACGAACCTGCAGACGGTTGGCGGACAGCGTTGGTGGAGCTGATTGGAGCGAAAGGTTTCAAAGACGTCGAGAGTGTGGCCACAAGCAAGACCAACGAATACTATCTAGCGTCACCCACGGAATTTCAAGACCGCATATACCTTCAAGTCTGCATTCAGGTCAGCGAAGGATGTGTGTTTTTTTTGTTGGTGCGACCTCACCAATCCTAATACTGCCTCAGAATTGCTTTCCTGGACTCGATTGCAAGATACAAAAGGTCTCGGCATCGAGTGACCAGGATAAAGTGCAGATTCAAGTTGTACAGGATTCTGTATACAAGAAATTTCTAGATGGGGGGATGACACTGGAGAACTGTGACCGACTTCTTGAGTTTCTCCGAAAGGGAGCAAACGACCCCGAGGCATCAAAAGGCAAGCAGCTTTAAGATTAGCGCTTGTATTGCTATTGTCATTTATTCTTACCAAGTCCGTGTGGCTGGATACAGGACTTGAGCTCGAGCATGAGGACTCGAAGGAGGCTCGAACGGCGTTGCATCGCCTGATCGCCAAGAACTCGTCGTCTTTCAAAACTAAGACGGAGGCCCGGAATGGCATTCAGCGACTGGTTGTGCATTTCATGCCAAAGACCAACAAGAAGCGTAAGCGTTCTCAAGCACAAGTGTATCTTCGATTTGTGCTCCAAAAGGTGAGTTTTGGCGTGATGAATGTATCTGCAGCTGCTTTACTGCTAACACATTTTCTTCCTAATTTCTGTAGACAAACGAAGAGCACTTCGCATGCTTTGACAGACTAGCTCGACATCTTCGCCGTCCGCTTTCTGCGTTTTCGTACGCAGGAACAAAAGACAAAGCGGCCGTCACTTTCCAGCACGTTGTAGTGACTGGTGTGACGCCGCATCAACTTGTGGGTGTCAATAGTGATGAAAGTGGTGCGACAACTGGTGTTCGAGTGGGAGATCTCAAGTATGTGGAGACTCCGATGTCTTTGGGAGGAGCGAATGGAAACAGGTTCTCGATAGTACTTCGTCGTCTTTCCGCTGAGTCTGAATGCACCGCCGAGATGATCCGCTCTTCGCTTGAATCTGCGCTAGACAACATCAAGTGTCACGGATTCGTCAACTACTTTGGTTTCCAGCGTGTTGGAATGCCTTCAAAAACGGTGAGAGCTCATCAAATTGGCGCGAAGATAATCGCTGGCAAGTGGGAAGAAGCATTGAAACTCATTCTGACAGTCCACGAAGGCGATTCCGACGATGCAGCTCAAGCAAAACGGCATTATCTCGAGTCTGGCGACGTTGAAGCTGCGCTGAAGCTCATGCCACATGGAATGTCTGTTGAACGACAGCTTCTACAAGGACTAAAACGCTTTGGAAGCGATGCGTTCGAGCAGGTGGTGCAGAGTATACCATTCTCACGTCGCGTGATGTACATGCACGCCTACCAAAGCTATCTCTTTAATCGGATGGCATCGTACCGATTGCGTCAGTATGGAGCTAAGATTGTGGCAGGTGATCTGATCCAGAGCGACATCGAGAATGATAAAGCAGTCAAAGCTGTCTCAGTAGCCGAAGCGGATGAGCTGAATAATGCTCATAAAGACGCCGTATCGCTCGTGCTCTTGCCTTTACCTGGAACGAACGTATCGTTCCCGTCCAACGCTACCGAGGAAGCCTACGTCAAGGTTTGTAGATACTATTAATAACAAGTGTGGCCTGGGATGAGAGTATTTGACTGATTACGTTGCCACTCGATGTAGACCATGGAGCAAGATGGCACGAGGCAAGCCCTATGTGAGTCAGGACCCTTGAAAGGTGCTTACAGGTCGCTAGTTGCGTATCCGCGTGATTTACAGTCGTCGTGGGAAGAAGGGCAAGAGAATTGTACGTTCCATGTTTCGGTGTGGGTCTAAATTTTCGCTGACTCACATCCTGTCAGCACTGTCACTTCAAGTTTCGTTTTCACTTGGCAGTGGATCATTTGCCACGATGTGTCTACGTGAGATTCTACACTCGGACATTTAGCTGCAACGAGAAGTACACAGTAGAGGAGTTACTTATGCACTACGATACTCTGAATAAAATCCGAATAAATGACGGATAGATTACCGGTACCGACGGATTTAGTCCTGTATCATTTCCTTTTTCTGACAATACGTTGCTCCAAATCTTGCGCTAACAATATGCACTTGCAAAGCCATTTGGTACCGGTACTTGATGACAAAGGTACTCGCCAAGCATTCAAAATATCGCTGTAGTCGCAAAGTATCCTTTTGCACTCGAATAAGCTTTCCCCTTTTTCCGGGTGCCATCGGCAACATCACGCTTCTACTTCTTCTTGGCCTCCATGTCTTCCAGTGCTTGGCGCACAAGCTTGGCTCCAGTGACCATGAAGAGCGTCTGCCAAATGCCCAGGCCCAGACGCGGCACGATACCCTTGAAGAGACCGCCGTAACCCTGCTCCTTGACCACCGTACGGAAGACTTGCACCATGTTCTGCTTAGGCTCGCCACGGTCGGCAGCGCTCTGCATCTGGATGCGAGCCACCTCGAAGGGGTGGTTCCAGCAAGCCAAGCCACCGCCCACAATACCGGCACCAGCCTCCTGAGCCACAGTGAGCTTGGCGTCCTTGTCGCCGTGGAACAAAACCTTGAACTTGCCACGCACGATCTCAGTGAAGCCCTGACGCGAGGCCCAGTTGGTGGCCTGACGGAAGGCAATGGCTGTACCGCCAGGGTAGAAGCCTTTAATGCCGTGGGTGCCGTACACATTCTGAATACGCTGCGTGGTGGAGATAGAGCGGTCGCCCGTCACAGCCGCAGTGACCAGGAAGGTGCAGGGGCCCATGACCACGACCTGGCACACACCACCACCGGCACCGGCCAGGAAGCCCGTGGCGCTTTGGCTCATGCCTGCGGACAGCAGCGAGTCCGAGATGGCCTCCTTAGAGAAGAGAAGGATAGCGCCCTTGGACGCTGACTCAACCATCTTGGGCCCCGTGCCGGCCCAGAAGGCGGAGACACCGCCGCCCTCGCGCATCACATTGCGGAAAGCCTGCAGAGTCGTCTCAGAACGGTAGCGGCCCATGCGCGTTTTCCAGACCTCGAAAGGCATACCGAGCGTCGCAGCCTCAAGGCACTGCAGCAGACCACCGTTGAACAGGTCACGAGGACCCACTTTCTTGCCAGACGTAGGCGGAGGAGACATCTCGGACACGGTTTTTCGAAAGAGGATCCTTGAGGCGGTAAATCGAGATGTGACAGAGAATTATGGCAAATTGCTGTGGATCAACTCAACGTGGCTGATGTCCTAAGGTTCGACTAAATATTAAATTTTAAATGTGAGGGGTGCTAGGATATCTGCACCGCGGTACAGTGACAACTGTTTGCGCGTCGATTTTCGCCACGTACTTGGCCTTCGTCACGCTGTCGACAACGGAAGAACCTCGAGTACGTCAGTTAGCAAGCATTGGGGAAGTTGTGGTGGGCGCGTTGCGCTGATTCAGCGATACTGTAGCTTACCTCGGCGGCGACGCCACAAGCGTCTAATTTTGTTGAAGTTGTCGAAAGAAAGCGATCTTCGCGCGAAGAGTATGAACAGCGGTTCTTTGCAGTGCGAAGGGGTTGAATGGAGAGTTTTACCGACCACACAGGGCGTGCACTGCTCAATACCGGCGAGTTGAACATGGACCGAATTAAACGGAGTTCTTTCTCCGCAAAGCTAGTTGCTTATTAATAGCTTAGACCAGGCTGGAATTCCCAACCGATAGTTTGCTTTTCGATGTTTTTGCCACAGCTGCTCTATTGAAATACAGTCGAGTCGACTGTCGACTCCAAGAATCGGTGCTCTGAAATGGTACACAAACGTTGTATGTTACACCGGACAACAAGCTTTAGCCGGTCTATTAGCAAATTCCTGTCTTCATGATATCATGATATTAACGAGTTAGTCCCATCTTCGACGAGAAAGATAGCTTCTTCGGGCAAGCAAGCGGGAGTGGACTTTTGTCTTAATCTATTAATAGTCCTAAAAAAAGACTGATTGTAACTCGGAAAGAGTCAGTAAACAAGGAATAAATCGTCCACCCAATGTCAAACGTTGACTCCAACGAATCCCAGTTGATGCCAACCCGTTTTGGAACCGAACCGAAAGCACCAACTTCGTGACAATATCCCTCCTTACCAAAGACAAGATTAAATCGGCGGGAGGGTGCAAAAGGAAAGTCGATCCGAGAAAAGGCTACGAGTCAGTTATATCGCTGTTGACCAGCTCGTCCGTCCCATTCAATCCGCATCGAGAGCTTCCAGGCGTCGAAGCTATTGAAAATTGCCCAAGACGACTGCAGTATTGCACCCAGCTCCACCTGCCAGTCGCCAGAGACGCGAATTTCCCGTCGTGCCCTGCTGTTTCCCTTTGATCAATAGGGATCGCCCCTTCTTTCCCGTCTTGTAAGGCCTGGAGAGGCGACTTAGTTCGCGATAGACAGCCCACCGACTGCTGGGTTTAAATAAGGCGACGATCCCCCGACCGACAGGCGTGTGTGGCCCCCGAGCCGAGAGGAAAGCCCAGGGAGCCTAGATGTCAAGGTCATACAGTACTGAGACTCCTTACCGCCGCTCTCAGTCCGTCACCAGCCATTCACAGCAGCATCGCGGCACTCCCGTGCTGGAGGAACAGAGCTATATGAACGCATTTAGCCCTCCGCCCAACAGCGTATACGTCATGGAGACACAACAGGAACACAGCGGCGACGCGGCCCCCGATGGACGACGTTCCACGCGTCAACTGCCGCCCGTGGACCAGAATGGCTCGTTCCGCCTGCGTCACGGCACACGCGGCATGTCTGGCGCGTCCAGTGGCTTCGTGACGATGGACAACAGCAGTACTATCAGCAGCTCCAGCGGCAACTACATCGACGCCATGAGTCTCAATAACAACATGAGCGCTACAGCACAGCAGCCTCTGATCTCGACGCCCCGCGCTACGCAGAAAAACATCGTTCGTGTTATCGACAAGGACATGACGCAGCAGTTCCGTGGCCGCTCCAAGTCCGTCGGACAGGGACGTATCCGATGGTTCGAGAACCGCAAGTCTCAGCTCCTTGGTTTCTGCCTTACGATGGCATTTCTCGGTGTGTCTGTAGCCATGTACAACTACCGCTGGACGGGTCTTATCGCAGGCTCAGTCAATACGATAATCTGTGGCTCTGCTGTCGTCATCACGTATTGCCGCAAGAAACAATGGCATCAACACCCGAACCCGATCGTGCACAACCGCTCTGTTCTGAGTATCTTCATGGCTATCTGCTTGTTATTGAACGTGCTGGTGGACTTCGACCCTAGTGGATCCAATACGGACTGCCAGCGACTCGCAGGTATCACGGAATTCTTCTTCTTCACAGGCGAGGCGTGGGGTCTCGTCATGGCTTGTGATCTTTTCTTCTCGCTCACGAGTCCGTTCACGAGCTACAAGCGATTGATGAAGTTCTATCACCTGTGGGTGTGGCTGGGAGGTATCACGATGGGTGTAATCACGTACGCTGTACAGGGCGCCGGTGGCTTCTTCACTGTGGACGGCCAGTCGATGACGTACAACTCGGACACGGACACAGTTATTGGATTTTGTCTTGCGTCGTCAAGAATTTGCTGTGACTCTGGTGAAACGTGCCCGGATGATGTGGAGAAGTGCTCGACCACTGCGAGCTTCTTGAACGCACAGAAATGGCCCTGGATTTTGATTTACGCTTTTGTGCTTCTGGTGCTGTTCGTGTCTGTATGGTAAGGTTTGCCTTTGTGTATTAATGAGTGTTATTGTGAATCACCTACTAATTTTGTTAATTTTTTAGCGTTCTGACGTTGGCTTGGCATCGACTTTACCTGCGCGGTGTCCCCAAGACGTACAACATTCGGCTTCGTGTGCTGAACTACATTTCATTGTAAGTGTTGTTGTCTTCGAAGTATTTCATTCTTACGTTGCTGACAAATTGCTGCCGTTTTGCTTTAGTTTCACCGGTGCCTACGTATTTTACTGGCTGCTCTTGCTGCTGCTGTACATGTGCGCATACTTCTTGTCGACGAAGAGCGATACGTCGAACTCGAAGGCTGTTGCACAGGTGCTGCGTCAGCTGGTCATCTTCCTAATCTCGTCCAAGGGATACTTGGACTATGTGATCTGGTTTGCGGTGAACAACATTGAGCGAAAGGGTGGAAATGGACGGGAAGAGTCAGCTGACGTGGATGTCGATTTGAGTCCACAGGTGAACACTGCACTGCGGTCAGAGATTCTGTACTACACCACGTCTGGTATTAAGGAGTCCGTTCGTGCAGTGACGGACGAGTTGATCTCGATCCCGATCTCGGGGGAAAGCGAAGCCGGCAAGTCGATTAAGTTCTGGTCGTTCTGCCCCGCTTCATTCCGTAACATTCGTCTGACGTTTGGAATCGGCGATGCTGACTACATTCAGATGTTTGGAGCTACTACAAAGGAGCGATTCAGTGAAGGTCGCAGCGGTGCCTTCATGTTCTATACGTCGGATGAAAGCTTGATTGTCAAGACAATGTCGCCCGAAGAGTGTGCGTTCTTGCGCAAGATAGCACCCAACTATGAGGCCTACATGACCAGCAACCCGGACACGCTCCTAACGCGGTTCTACGGCTGCCACTCCGTCTCGTTATATGGCAAAATGTACTACTTCGTGGTCATGGGTAACTTGTTTGCAGACACGGATGTTGTACACCACCGATACGATATCAAGGGATCATGGGTGGATCGTAATGCAAAGGTTCCGAGTCCTGGTGACAAGACCGCGTGTCGCTATTGTAACGCGTCGTACACGTTCGGTAGCACCAAGAACCAGGAATGCGGTGACGGTATGAACTTCCACGAGCCCGATATTGTTCTCAAGGACAACGACTTGATGACCAAGATCCGTATCGACCCAGCCACGGCACACCGCATCTACGACCAGATTCATAAGGACAGCGACTTCTTGTGCTCGCAGGGCATCATGGATTACAGTCTACTCATGGGTATTCAAAGCTCCGAGTACTTTGTCGACACGAGCCAGCTGCAAGCTCGTCGCGGAGTGCTCTTCACACAACCAGCGACGAGTGTGGCTGGTCCGTCACTCTACCATTTCGGTATTATTGATTTCTTGCAGCAGTGGTACGTGGAGTACTATTTTTAATGGATTGTTGTCAGCTTTATGACTGATTCAATACTTGTATGCTTATAGGACGTTGGAGAAGAAGATGGAGCGCTTCTACAGACCTTCTTCAAGCGCAAAGACCCCGAAGCGTCTCTGCGTTTGCCGCCGAAGCCGTATAAGTTCCGATTCCAGCAGAAGATGTCACGCATCTTTGCGCTGTCGACCCACACTCGCGCCGAGAATGACACGGCATTCAACCCACAATTACCCAGCGCTGATCGATGTGCTCGACCAGGGCAATTTCGATACCCAACGCCACAACACGTTCGTCAACAACTCGGTGGTGGACCAGCGACCGGTTTTCAACCCGGATCTGCAACAGGACATCCGCGCGGTGTAGATATTCCCAAAGCGTAATGAGTTAAGCAAAGGGATCTGGTATGTGACGCGAAGCGAGCGCCATGTTACTTGAACCCCCATTTTGATAAATAGGAACAAGAATGAGCATCATTTTATAAGCAACTTGACCCCAATTCATTTGCTTTATATTTACCCAATCAGATCGTCCCACATAAACAATAGCTCCCCCTTCACTACAGAAGTGCTGACTGCTCAACATGGTGAAGGTGCGGCTTCGTCCTCTTCTTCTGGGCGTCTACAGCGACAGCGCATGGGAGACTATGACTTTCGTACATATCGTCATTGACGCCACCGACTGCTTCGTCTCGTTGCTGTGTAGGCGGCGTCTCCGAGCGTGAAAGCGATCTTTATCTTGGACAGCGATGGCAATCGCGTGTGCGCCAAGTACTACGACAAGTCGTATCCGACGCAAAAGGAACAACTTGCGCTAGAGAAGAAATTGTACGCCAAGACCAAGAACTCCAACGCTCGTCTAGAAGGTGCGATTAACTTCAGCGATGTCTGTTGTGGCAGCAATTAACTGTGTTCGCTTGCATCCCTAGCCGATATTGTTCTTATTGAGAATATCGTGAGCGTATTCCGCTGCGGATCGGACACGACAATGCACGTGGTTGGCTCGGCTTCGGAGGTGCGTGGTAGTATATCGGACAACGAGCTTATATATGTAGACTAAATTGAAACGGTGTCAACGTGCCAATGTTATGGCAGAACGAGCTCATCCTGCTGACGGTCTTGGATTCAGCCTTCGATGCTGTCAGCAACTTGCTTAAGTACGTATTTGCTGATGACGTTTCTAGCGTTTTTGTGGTGCTAGTGGTGTACTGGATCTGACAGGAGTGACGTTGTATCTTTAGGGGACGAATGGACCGCCATGTGATGCTGGACAACATCGAGTTGGTGCTGCTCACGTTTGACGAAGTTGTCGACGGCGGGTACGATGACTGGATGTGTTCTAATTAAATAGGTTAATTGATATCTAAGTGGATGTCCTTTGTGGTACAGGATCATCTTGGAGGTCGACACACCGTCAATCTCGAACCGCGTGCTCATGCGCGTAAGGCATCCCGCACTCCGTTTTGCTTTTAAGTATCAGACTGACGCTGCTTTTTGTACTGATCAGGGTATCGATAACGAAGTTCCCATGGCAGAACTCACCATTTCACAGGTCGGTTTGCGCAAGTTGAATAGCATAAGCTGCATATTAGGTGCTCACGCTGTTGCATGATGCTATGACTTCTGTAGGCGTTCGCTTCGGCTCGCGAGCAGTTCTCGCGCTCCTTCCGTAGCTAGACGGCGTCCTGCGTACCACATTAAATGTGCTTTTCTTTTCTGTTTTTTTTAAATGATTTTTTCAAAATGGTTTAAAATGGAACAGGCATTTAAAATGAAAATGTAAAATATTACTACGGTACTGTGAAAATTGATAAATAATACAGTAGCAAAATAGTATAGTAGTGCTACAGTGCTGCTGAGTAGTACTATTACCACGTAGTACTGTAGTAGAATGGAGTTCGATTTATGCAACCATTTAAAACACCCTTCCATTGGTCAATATTAATAGTGAAGCTTGTCAATTTCCATTCGTGAAGGTCTGGCAGTTGCGACCATGGCGGCAAACCATGAGAAGGAGAACACGCCGGAGAAGGAGCAGGCGAAGCCCTGGGGTCGGTTCACATTCGTATCCAAGGAGCCAGCAGAGGATGCCGACCACATCTACTTTCGGAACAAAGTGACTACGATCGGCCGCAACAAACGTCGCTGCGATATTGTGATCGACAAGCTCTTCATTAGCAGCGTGGTACGTTAAAGCACACACAATTCTGAAAAGCTTCAGCAACGCTTGCATCACATGGCTCTAGCATCTAATTTTAATGATGATGTGTGCTGTCCTTTTGGCCTGATTTTTCAGCATTGCGTGGTACAGTTGAATGCCACAGACGACACGGGAAAATCAACTGTCAAGCTCAGTGATAACAGGTATGTAATGGGATCAATAGCTCTGATCAACGAAAGAAACGCTAACAGTTTAATGCAGTCGCAACGGTATTTGGGTGAATGCGGATCGCGTTGGTAAAGGAGCTTCGGTGACGCTGGGCAACGGGTATACCGTCCACTTCACCAAGCCTGGCACGACTCCAGCAGGTACTGAAAGCGATACTACTACAAAACATTAATGTTAAGACTCACGCGGCCTTGTGATTGCTAGGAGTCACTCCGATGGCGTACAAGTTCGAGTTTCTAACGTACGTGCAACAGTCTTTTGTCACAATAAAGTTAAAGACGACGGAACTCACTACTACTTTATCGTGTTCTTCTGTAGCACCACTCATGAATCTCGTCCTGCCTCCCCGGAGAGCGAGGCAAACGACGTGCCAGAAGACGTTAATATGACTATTGTCGCAGACGAGTCCTTCGAGGCTACACAGCTGGAGATCCCCGCAGATCCACCGTCTCCTGCAGAGAAGAAACGCAAGCGAGAAGATGAAGAGCCTGCAACTGTAACTGTTGCCACCCGGGAACTTGAACGCCAGCTGAAGGCCGCTGAATCTCAACTCAAGGCTACTCAGAGTAAGCTGAAGGCTGCAGAAGCTCAGATGGCAACTCTTGGTAACGAGCTGGAGCAAAACATGAGGGTAAAAGTGGACAAACTGGCGCAAGAGAACTTGAGTTTGATGTCTAAATTGGAGGTAGCGACAGCGGTAAACCTTCAGTTAAAGACAGACTTGACTGCTAAAGACAGAGACATGCAAGCGAAGGTCAAGGAAGCCATGAAGAAAAACATGGAAGCGGCCTCGAAAGAGGTTCAATCTTTAAAGGAAGAGCTGACTGGGAAGGAGCAAGCGATGGCATTGAAGATTAAGGAGGCGGTCAAGAAAGTTTTGGAAGCAGACAAGGAGAAGAAAGCCCAAGAAATGGCGATTAAGCTCAAAGAAGCCACCAAGAAGTATCAGCAGAAGGTCGAAGCTGAGCACTTTGAACAGCGACGAGAAATGAGCGAGAAGATGGCAGCGTATGCCAATGAAAACGAAAAGCTGCAGACGACACTCAGCGCAAAGGAAGAGGAGCTTACTGAATGTGAGGATAAGATTGCGCGCTTGAGAAAGAAGGTTGAGACTCTGGAAGATGAAGCCAGCAAAATGGCCGAGAAAGAGAAGAAGTTGGAGCAATACGAAGAGAAGATCGCTGCTTTTGAAGAGCAGATACGTATGCTGACAGTGAAGGAGATGAAGCTAGCGGAATGTGAAGAGAAAATGGCTGAACTGGACGAGAAAATCAACACGGCGAAAGACGAGAACGTGGAGATCCTTGGCCTCCTCGCTGCAGCGGAAGAAAAAGCGAATGCGGCTGAAAATAAGGCCGCCGAGGCAACTATGGCTGCCAAAGCTGCTCAGGTCGATGCGACGGAGCGAAAAGAGCTTCAGGATGCGATTAAATCGCTTCGAAGTGAGCTGGAGTCGTATCGTGCTCAACTTGCAAGTCGGGATGAGGAGGTGCATACACCTTTTGTCTTTTTTGCGGCTATTTGCAGACTAATAAGTGCTGTATTACTTGCGTATTGAAACCAGCTCAAGAAGCAGCAAGGGGCCGCAGCTACTGCAGCGTTAGCGGCGACAGACACGACGGCGTCTCCAGAAAGGTGCGTTGCTGCTGATTTGTCCGAAAGCGTATGAAATATTAATTTATTCTGTTGATACCAACGAGTAGTATCGCACCAGACGACAATGCGGAGGCTCTGCGTACTCGACTGGCCACTGCGTTGAATGTGTTGGGCCAAGTACAAGCTCTTGGTCTCCAAGGTGTGAATTTGATCACCAGAACGAACAACTCGCACCTGGGAGACCTTCACCTACTGTCTGTTGCATCGGCACGCACCAGCACAGCAGTTCCAACCTCGCCGTCGTCTTCTCCCACTGACGATGCCCAGCAAAACGACGAAGATTCTCCTGAGGGTTCCCCTCTCAAGAGCGAGATGAAGGCTGTAAGGAAATTAGCTGCTAAGGACGTTCCAAGCAACACAAATCAAGGTGAAGAAGCTGCTAATGGACCAGCCGAGCCCAAGTCGTCACCGCTCAACTTGACACGCGAAAAGAAGAGAGCGTTCAAGCAGGCGGCGCCTCTCTCCGCAGCGATTGAAGCTAGCGCTGCCTCGGCAATCGCAGCAATGGCATCATCCAATAGCAGCGCTAAGAGCTCGCCGAGCAATGCTAGCGGTGTAGCTGGCAGTGCTGACGTGGAAGGCGACTGGGAAATGCTCGAGTAAACTTTGCAAGTTGCTTCAGCTGAACGTGGTGGCGTGCAAATGTTTGGCAAAATTGCAGAATGAGCACCAAATGCTAATATCTACCAATCAGCGAAGATGTGCTTGTTTTTGCCACATATTTATCCAACAAATTGCTGCTTGGCGCTAGATTGCCGGCCATTTTGCGACTCACCCCCTACGCCACAAGTCCGTCATGCTTCGCACCGCTTTCCGTCTCCGCACTGCGCTGCCGGTACAGCGCCGCGTGGCCGCTTGCGTGTCGCGTCGTTTTTCCTCGTACCCGGACCACGAGGTCATCGGTCTTCCTTGTAAGTCGCAGTAATTTGAACTTTCCGACAAGGATAGCATAGTGACATGGCAATTATTTGTACAGCGCTGTCCCCGACCATGGAGACAGGCAACATGTCCAAGTGGAACTTGAAGGAAGGTGACGCCATCAGCGCCGGTGACATTGTGTGCGAGATCGAGACGGACAAGGCCGTCGTCGACTACGAGGCCACAGACGACATGTTCCTGGCCAAAATTCTCATCCCGGAGGGCGCCGAAAACATTCCTGTGGGCCAACCCATGATGGTTATAGTTGACGAAGAGGAGTCCATTGCTGCCTTCAAGGACTTTAAGCTAGAGGAAGCTCCGGCGGCCCCCACTGCGCCTGCCCTCTCTGCAGAGGAGAAGCCTCCCCAGAAGGAGGACGTACCTGTGGACGCCAAGACTCACGAGCCCGTGTTGCCCCAGGACTTCCTGGTGACTTCGCAGACCACGAAGAAGACTGTGCCTGGCCCATTCATCCCGGCTTCCCCTGCTGCCAAGGCTGCTGCTCCTAAGGCTGCTCCTGCCCCGACTTCTAGCGCTGTGTTTGAGGAGAAGTGGGGTCTTGGCATCAAGAAGAGCGCCATCTCCACGAGTCTCGTCAAGAAGCAACAGGCCTACATTGCTCTGTACGGCATCACAGGCAAGACCCCCGCAGTGCTGATTGAGAAGAAGAAATGAACTCGATAGCGCTTGTTTTTGCCAAACAAATGCAAAAAAACACTTGAAGGAACACATTGAAACTTTGAAAAGCGTGAAGCGGAGCCAGTCTCGCTTAAACTTGCAAATGCATTAACGTGTGGAGTCGAGGGCTGTTATTTTGCCTTACTGAGGAACCGAAATGCTCATGGAGTGGACCCTCTCCAAGTGGCTAAGCACACCGAACGCGTCCACTGTGAGGAAGTCAAAGAGTCCAGGGTGTTTCGCGTCCAAAGACTACAACATTGAAATTCGACAAGAAATTAAAAAAAAATGCCATGGTCTATGTGGCAATTTTTTGCCAAAGACGCACCTGGTACTCATTCAGGTCGATGACTCCGTTGCGGTCCAGATCGGCGTCCGAGAAGGTGTTGTCGATAATGTGAGCCAATTGAGCTTCAGACAGCGAGATCTCGAGCTCTGAACATCCAACAGTCAGTAACGATTTGAATGATTAAATTATTGAATCGAACGCACCGTTGCATTCCGCAAGACACGAGCGTAGCAGCTCCGTCGTCATCTTCTTGGTGATGAAGCCTGTTCCTTCAGGGTCCAGCAGGTAGAAGGACAACATGAGCTTCTGCTCACGCGTCGCCTTCTGACTCAGCAGGGACAATCCCTTCATCAGATCTTCGAACGTCACCTAAAATGGCATAATAAAACCATCATAAGTCCTCTACGGCACAAAGCTACTGCAGTACATCGAGATCCTTCTTACATGTCCTTTCTTGTCCATGTCAAAGATCGAGTAGAGGCGGTTGGCATAGAGACTGGAGGTGTTGCCATCGCCGCCTGCCAAAAAGCGGAAGAACTCGACCTTGGGGATCACCACAGCGTCGTTCTCATGCTGCCCCAGAACCGCTGCCAAATGTTTGCGAATCGAGAGCATTTCGTGTTGCGAGAAAACGGTGGACACGTCCACTTCGGACAGTTTCGACTCTAGTAGCGAGTGCACAGGAGGCTGAACCGGATCCGAAGCGGTACGAGGAGCGCTTGACGGCGCCGGTGGAGGAGGCGGCGCGGGCACTGACACCGTTGCACTAGGCGGAGCACTCGTAGAGCGCGACGGGTTGCTCGAGGAGGAGGACGGAGGTGGCGTCGGCTTGGCTTGCTTGTTGCCCAAGTGTTCGATTAGTTCGATCCAGCTGAGAACGGAAGTGGAGGATCGTTAAAATTGTAAGAATACGTATGAACTGAATTTGATGTGGGGCACGTAATCAACTGGCAAATGCAACACTTTCTGACATTTGAAAAGGCAACTTTATCAAAGCAGAAAAATGGTGGTGCGGTCTTCGACGCGCGTTCTGGAGGAGGGAAAGGAGGAAGCAGTGGCTGTACCCAGCGAGGTCGCCGAGGCGATCGCCATGGTGAAGAGCGATTCTCCGCTCGTGGCGGCCGAGGGTTTCTCCAAGCTCTCGCACGCCACGTTTAATAATCGTGAGTTTTTCTGACGACTTGAATCATTTAAATTGTCGATTAAGCACTACAGTATGTTGTTAATAGCGGTGGGGAAGGAGGCAGCAGGAGACGCGGGTGCCATTAAGGCAATTGTGGATGCCATGGAGCGCAATATTTCCAACGGAACTGTACAGGAAGACGGCTGCCACGCGCTACGCAATGTCGCATTCCACTGCCGTGAGTGTGGAAACTTCGCATGAAGATGAAATTCTGATGTGTTTTCATGTGTGTATTACAGTACCTAACCTTGTGCTGGCTCGGGGACAAGGTGCGATCGCTGCTGTACTCAAGGCAATGGAGACGCATCCTGAGAACGAGGCTCTTCAGGCCGAGGGCTTGTGGGCGCTGCTGGTCTTCTGCTCTAACACGGGTACGTTTAAGCTGCTAAATGGATCATATAGCATGTTTTAAACATGGTTGATGTATGGACGAGCAGAGGAGAACGCCGTTGTTGCCAAGCCACATGCCTCGTTAGTGCACAAGGCTGTTGCGACGTACCCTTCCAACGTCGACGTCCAGAGCCGCGGTCGCTTCCTCACAGTTCTCTTTGCTTAAAGTTTAGGTAGATTCCTAGGCAGCGACGCAAGATCGGATGTAGTTTTGCGATGTAGACGTAGAGCATATATTATCCTGTCTCCCTGCCTGTGCTCTTGGTACTGTGTGCTACGGCAGATCCAAAGACTGGTCATGCATAATACTTATACTTGCTGCTTGAACGACCCGTAGCTTGCTGTTCCGTAGCCCGCGGCTGACTCGTACAGACTGTACTCCGGGTGTTTGTGGCGCTTGTGAATGTTCTCGAGCTCCACAAGACTCAGAACAGTAGAGCCCAGCCCAAGGAGACAGCCGGATGCAAAGGGCACCACACATGCCTGGAACGAGAAAAGCACCGAGAATGGGTCCATGAACTGCAGGGTAGACGACAGGAAGAAGCCAATCATAGCCATCATGTTCAAGCCTACAATTAAAGAAACCCACAAAAGAAGTCAGCAACAAGTTTCAAGTCTGAGATACAGAGATATAACCTACCAGTAACCCAAGTCTCGAGCGTCGTGAGGCGACACGAGAACCACTGGTGGACAACCTCAACATGCGCCAGGTAGGCGCTCAGTAGGAGCAGGAATGAACCGGCGAAGAAGGGCACCCAATAGCCCACGATGAGGCTGAAGTCGTCGTGCTTGACGTCCACGACGCCGAAGTTCTCCGAGTCTGATCGTGCCCACACATAGGCACGTGCGAAGACGTAGAGCATAGACCCAAGCATACCCAGGATAGCCGTCCAGAAGTCGATGCGACTAGGGAAGAAGCCCACGTACTGACGCTCCAATACTGGTTCGGTGCCGTGGAAGTACTCTTCCAGCCAAATCTCGAGGTTGTGGCAGCAGTTGATGACTTCTAGGTACGTGACGGCGTGGTAGGCGAGGAAGAAGATAGAAGCGAGTAGTAGTGGCAAGTCTACAGACGAGTGGACTTCGATGCTAGCGGTCTTAGAGCTGCGTGCACTGTGAGCGATAGCCTCACCCGTAGCTCCCGTAATGAAGAGAGTGAAGGCCACGATGCCGCAGAGACTGGCCCAGAAGCTCAGCGAGTAGACCTTCCACGTCCTGCCGTGCCAGGCACGATAAAGCGTCGTCATCATCTTGCGGTGCGCGCGTGAAGACCATACGATGCGCTTCTGGTCCACAGTGTAAAAGTCCACCAGTGTAGGAGAGAAGGCGTCCACGCCATAGTAGACCGAGTTGACGCTGTCTGGGGCGGGCACAATGAGCTCCTCAGACGCCACACGTGAGTAGGACGACGATACAGATGAAGCCGTGGGGCTCGTGGCCGCGTAGCCTCCGTGCTGAAGTAGCGGCAGGTCCTTCTTGGCAACCATGTTGTTGTGCTGGCTGGCAAATTCGAGACTCGTTACAGGCGGTGTTAGGCAGCTGAGATAGAGGTGTCGTGTCTGCCGCGAGCGGTTGAAAATCTGGAAGAAATTTCCCGAATTAGCGGCGAGGTAACCTTAGTTGCCACGTTTAGATAGGTGGTTTGTTGGTTGGTGACTGTGCGTAGTGGTGTCCTGGACGTGCTTTACTTGATTCGCTTTGCGCCGATCCACTTGTGCACTAGCGGGAGAGAATTCGAATGGCTCCGGCCGCAGCGGCTGGTGGTCGGCCCGGCCAGAGACCTTTCAAGGTTTGATATTGAAGCGGGCTTTCACTGCGGTTAACTATGCATGCTTCGATATTTGAGCGGCACACAGAGCGGTGATCTGACCGCCATCCCAGCGGCGCATTTGCCATCATGCAGCCGCAAGGGCGTCGCTAGCTATCCGAATCGGATTCCGATCTACATGTGGCCGAGCACTTCATCTCGTAGCGGCTGGACCACAGCAGCCGGCGAAGCGCACATCCTGGCGTGGATCTTGTTGGCTCTCACTGTTACTGCGAATTGAAGCGCAGCACGAACAACCCGCAACGCCGAGAAATTTGACCGTTCTCGTAGCGCTGATAATAAGGATCCCTCTACGCGGGTATGCTAAGAAAACCTCGCCCATCGCTGAACACAAGTTTTTTGCGTCAGTAACGACCTAAAAGGCTACATTACATGCACTTGGATCGTGTACAGTAAGTACATGCACAAGTAGTCTACGCCGTATAAGTCTAGGAGGGATCTCTTCTTCACCCGAAGGGCCATCATCGACTTCCTAAGTTGGGATTCCTAACATCACCATCGAAGAGGAATCCATCCAATCTGAGTTGACTCAGATCCTCATCTGACTCAGATGGGACTGCCAAGTCGCAAAAAATCGAATGAAAGAACGTTCGCCGAAACAGTTTTCTACCAGCAAATTTCACTTTTCGTCTTGAATTTGTTTTTGATAAATCTATTGCGAGCTCCATGGCAACGAATCACCTGCTCGCGACGCCAGCATTCGCGCTGCCCCTGGGCTCGTCTAGTGATGACGAAGGCAGTAGCAACAACCGCGCCGGTCTTTTTAGCTTTGGGCAGGTGCGTAGCGCGACAGGATCTTGAAAAAAGTGATGCATTTTAACGAAATCCTATGACCTTTGTCAAGAACACGTATGGGGAGCTGGCGCTTGGAGACACAAACGACCGCAGCACTCCGACGCGGGTGGATCTTGGCAGAATAAACGATACGAAACACGTCGTTGATGTGGCCTGTGGGAACGAGCAGACCACCATCCTTTTCGGTGGGTTCGCATGCTGCAGTTTATCCACTAATATAATAGTTGCTCGATGTGATTCCGGATGCACTTTGTCATATTTAATGTAGAAAACGGCGACGTGTTCACTTGTGGGTATAATGACAGGTTCGTTGCGTTTGCTGCTTCTGTTGCGTCTGAGTTTGCCTTATTGTGGCTCGTGGCATAATTTGCAGTGGCCAATGTGCAATTGGCACAACTGAACGAGTGCCCTCACTTCGATTCTCGCCGGGACTTAGCTCCCACCACACGGTACGACTTTTTTCAGGAAATGGAAGCGAACACCTTGCAGCCCTATGCGGTGAGTAGCTGACTCGCGTTTGCTCCTCGATCAATTGCTTACGTCAACGAGTTTTGGTTGGTGACATTGCAGCAAATGGGTTTTTGTATACTGTCGGGTTTAATATGCGGGGTCAATTGGGGCTCGGCACGGCGACAACTGTGACGGAGGCTACGCTCGTGGAAGAATTGGCCGGCAAACGCGTCGTCGACGTTGCTTGCAGCTACTTTCACACGGCAATTGTTATGGATAATGGAGATTTGCATGCTTGCGGCTGCAATGACTACGGTCAGTTAGGCATGGGCGACCACAGTGGTCACCTCGTGCCTCGACCGGTTGATTATTTCTTTCGTCACCCTGTCCTAGCTGTAGCATGCGGTCAGCATTACACAGTCGCATCACTGAGTACGTGCTGCAATCAACCGCTGGGCCACGGAATATTAAATCTTAATTGTTTTTTATGTAGGGGATGGAGGAGTCGTAGCATTCGGGAAAAATGACCATGGTCAGCTTGGATTGGACCGCGTATCTGAGCCAGTGTTGCTCCCCACCCGTCTCGCCCCGCCACTAGATAGAGCAGTTGTGCCTCAACTCTCGTGCGGGTATCACCACACCGCAATTGTCACGGAGGATGGCGCTGTGTACACTTTCGGACGCAACGACTACGGACAACTTGGTCTTGGACACAAGCTACACATGGCACGGCCAACGGTACGTCCGAATGCCTCTTAAGCGTAATTTATTGTGTGCTTACTTTTACTGCAGCCGGTAGAAAGTCTGTCACGGATGAGAATCACTCAGGTCGCTTGCGGTTGTTATCACACACTTGCACTTTCGGACGATGGGAAAGTGTTTCCGTTTGGTCGAAATAATCACGGCCAACTTGGACTCGAGACGTCCATGGATTGTCTAAGCCCTCAACTCATTTCGACTTTACGGAATAAACCCGTTGTCAAGGTGCACCGCATTCATGAATAACCCAGCTTCGATTTAAAACTAACTTTTTGATGTGTGTTGCTTAGGTCGCTGCAGGGTTTTATCATTCGGTCTGTCTGGTTGGGACACCCAAAAGCGAAAACCCACCACCCTACACTCTAAGCGGGGATTTACGCAAAATGCTCAATAACCCAACTCGAAGTGATACTACTTTTGTGATCGAAGGTCGTCCTCTCTTCGCACATAGCTGTATCCTAGTCGCTCGTTGCGAGCCTCTTGAGAAAATGCTTGACGGGCGAATGAAGGACGGAGCACAACCAGAAATCGTCATTCCGGAGTACTCGGTGCGTCAAAACCTGGTGTACTTAAGTATCTTACATCTAACACGCTCACTGAGTGTCGTCGTCTGTCTTGTACAGTACGATGTTTTTGCAGCGTTAATGGAGTTCCTGTACACTGACCAAGTTGCAGTGCTAGCGTCGCCAGATCTGACGGCAGGTACGGGGTATTGCCGGCTACGTTTGGTGATATATACGAACTTTTTTATGATAAATCTATTTTTTATTGAACAGACTTTGCTTTGGAGCTGCACGCACTAGCGGATCAGTACCTGGTTACTACTCTTCGAAGGTACGTCTTCGCACACTTGATGGTGATAAAATGTTGCATTCTAACGTACATTTTTCTTGGTTTTATCTCACCAGCGCATGTGAAAACTCTCTGCTGCAAATTCTTTCAGTAGAGAACGTTGTCATCATCGTCGAGGTACAGTTTTTGTTCGCTTGCTTTACTCTATCGGAGATTATATCGATCGTTTTTTCCTCAAATGTAGTCCGCGCACTTCCGGAATGCTTTCACGCTCAAGAAGCGCTGTCTGGGTTTCATCATGGACCACTTTGCGCGCGTTATCGCTACTCAGGTACTTTTAGAAACGCCCTCACTTTTTTTTTTTTGCCAGGAACTTATCAATGAATGTGCTGTAGGCTTTCGTGGGACTTCCTCAAGAGCTGCTTCAAGAGATTTTGCTGTCGGCATCTCATCAAGGAGTGTCAATTCCTAACCAAGCAAATGCTGGTGCAACAACCAGTGAGTATCTTCAAAGTCGATATAACTACAGCACCGAATGATCGACGGGGAATGTATTTGAACAACCTGTCCTTACTCTCGGGAGAAATAGCCACAATCACCTTATAAGCACCAGAATACTGTGTTTCGTAACAGCGTATCACGTCACGTTCTGGGCTATTCATTTGGTTAACTCATTTCGGTCAACATGCTCACTGGGGTCTCTAAGTATTCCTTCCACTGATTTGAGAAGCGAGCCATTGTCGCGCCGTCAATCACACGGTGGTCACCGCTCCACGACACGTTCATCAGGCGGACAGGTTCAACGTTTCCCTCTGTGTCGTACCGAGGAAGTTTCTGGATCTGGCCGATTGCTCCAATCGCCACCTGAGGCACCATGAGGACGGGGCTCATGTACGTGCCACCAATACTACCGATGTTGGAGATCCTGATCCAATCAAGCCAAACCCTGGTTAGAACTAGGCCGAGTATACAACTTAACATGGAAATATAAACACGTACGAGAATGTACCGCCAGTCAGGTCGCTTGGTGCGAGTTTGCCAGCGACAGCGAGTTGTTGTAGCCGGTTCAGGTCTTCAGCAATCTCCAGAATGCTCTTCGCTTGTACGTTCTTGACGTTTGGTACGATCAAACCCGTCGGTGTGTCCATAGCCACCGAAACATTGTGTGCAGCTACCAAAGTCACCTCGGTTTCACTCTCGTTCACAGTTGCGTTGAGCATCGGATAGTGCTTCAACGCCAACGACGCAGCCTTAATGATGAAAGGTATAAACGAAAGCTTGACACCACGCGCCTCCGCAAGTGGCTTTAACTCCTTCCGAAGATCATACAACGCATCCATTCGAATCTGCCGTAGTGGAATAGCATAAGTTAGGAGCAAGTTGGGTCAAACGCACACTACAATGTTGTACCTCATCGGCGTATCCAAAGTGCGGGATCTGCAGCGCCGCGTTCATGGACTTAACCATCATCTTCTGGATAGGCGTCAGCGGCACTACCGTGTCTTGTTGCAAGTACGTCGCATTAGATCCGTCCACTACAGGAGGTGGTGTGGCCGTAGTACTCTGGCTGACAGAAGACGTGGACGGCTGTGTTGCTCGCATTCGGATGTACTCCAGTAGATCTCCCTTAAGGATTCGACCTTGTGGGCCAGTGCCTTCCACGTCATGCAAGTCAATGCTGTGTTCCTTAGCCAATCGTCGTACCGATGGCGATGTCAACAGCTTCTCTTCCCCTTCAAGTCTGCGAGGAGCAAGGGAAACCCTCGATACCACGGGCGTCGGAGTAGGAGTAGGCTCAATAATTGGAGCTGTAGGAACAGGAGCGGCCACAGGCTCCGTGGCAACGGGTGAGGGCGCTCTGCGAGGGATCGGGTCTCCCTTCTTCTTACCACCGCCTGACGTGGCCGCAGCTGTGGCCTCATCCACGTCAATGTCGATGAGTGTGGAGCCCACCTTGGCCATCTCTCCCACCTCGTAATGCACCTTAGTGACGACACCGTCGTAACGACTGGTAATCTCCACTGTAGCCTTGTCACTCTGCACCTCGCACACATTCTGGAACTGCTTGACTTCGTCGCCGCTCTTGACGAACCATTGCAGCACTTCAACCTCGGCGATGCCCTCACCGATGTCCGCCAATTTAAACGGGACCTCTGGGAACGCAGTCACGGCGCCGGCGTGGAAGCCTCGACGAGTGGCAGCCAGTCGATGGCCCAGACGACGTGCGCGCAATAGTGAAGAGCTCATGGACAGACTGAAAGTGAGTGCGCACTTGAACGCCAATAGAGAAATGACCGAAGCGGTGGGTTGCAGTGCCTCAAATAGTGGACCCCATCTGGCCGTGACGTCGACGACAATTAGGGTAATCTGACTCCGGTGCATGAGATTTGACCAGGAGAGGCGACGTTGGTGACTTTTAATGCTACCGGTATTAGTTTTAATTTTTAATAGTATACCGCAAGGAAAATATTATCGGATGCTTGTGTAGCTCTAAATTACTACCGGTAAGCCTCAGCTCAATGGTGAGAAATATGACGATCATTTGACGACGACGATGTTGTTCATTACGTTATGCTAGCTGCTTGTCATTACGCTGGACGTTAGCGACAAAAGAGAAAAATGACGCTAGAGGAGACCGTTGGTGGATTAGCTGAGCAGACTGACGGCCTGGTTCTCTAAGGATTCGAAGCGCTGGATTTCATTCGTGTACGTCTTAGCGTCTTCGTCGACGGGTGTGGCACTCAGCGAGAAGTCGAGACTGTCGCTCACGTCGAATGGAACGTATCCGGACTCGCTGCCATCACAAGCGTACCCGTGACGAGCACGGAGCGCACCACCCAAAGCAGCCGAGTTGGAGGCACAGGTGAGGCGATACACTGGCGCGTCGAACACATTGGCGAGCACTTGCAACATGCACGTATTCGCCGAAGCTCCTCCTACCACGATAAGACGTTGTGGCTTGCTCACACCAAGTTTCTCTGCATGTAGACGCAGCGACAGAAATTGGCTTTCCACCACTGCACGTACTTCCACTTCAGGAGGGCAAAGCGAGACGTCGATGCGAGAACCGTTAGCGTTGAACCCAACAACTCCAGCTTTTAGAGTGGACGGAGTGATTTCAGGATCCTGATAGTAAAACGCAGTCTTACCTCCGTTGCCCGCCTTTGTGGCTTGCATCAGCTCCTCGAATGTCTCCCACGACGCACCGGCGCGACGGTCTCGCACGTCCTGGCGTGTCAATGAGCCGTTCTTGAAGCAGATCATGGCCATGACCGACTTTGGATCGATGGGGTTGCAGAAGAAGTGTCCTTCCTTACCAGAGAAGCGTGCAACCTCCGTTGGCACCACAGCGAACAGCGTGCTGGATGTTCCCAGCGAGACTCCCACGTCACCAGGCTGAGAGAGACCAATGCCCGCAAGCGTGCACGGGTTGTCACCGGAGAATGAAATCACTTTGCAATCAGCAGCAAATCCGTATTTCTTTTGAAAGTAGGCATGAATAGAGCCCACTGAGGAGTATGCTCGCGAAACCTGCGGCCCCAAGGCTGCCACTAGCTTCTCCGTTGCATTTGAAGAAGAGCTGTACTTAGTAGTGGCCTTCACGAGCTCTGGAGACCACACCCGTTCACGCACGTCCAGCAAGTTCATACCCGATCCGTCGCTGTCATCAATAGGGGCGTAGTCACCACACAGTAGCGACGTCAACATTGACGAGACAAGTGCAATACGCCCGCACTTTTCCAAAAATGCAGGGTCCTCGTGGATCCTCTTGGCAATTTGGTTGCCAGTGAAGCGTTCGTACGCTCGGGATCCACTGATCTCGGCGACTCGGTCAGGTCCACCAACAGCCTCCTCTAACTCAGCGCAATAGCGCGTCGTGGAGCTGTCCATCCAGCTAGGTCCGTTGGGCAGACAGAAGGCGGGTTCTTGCTGTTTCTGCCTGGTTTCCACCATTGAGATTGTGGAGTCCGCAGCCGCATTCAAGCAGGCACCGAGCGAGAAGCCTTTGCTCCAATGCACTGACGCGTGTTGCTGAGCACTGCCGCTAACGCTCTTGATCTTGGCCACGTGAATCGGGCTCTTGGCTAGATCGTCCATAATGGCGTCCAGGGACTCGACGAACATGAGCGATGGGATCACCACCTCGTTCTCGCGTGGGCGCAGCACGCCATTGTCGGTGCCGTACTGTGGGAAGCGCTCGTCGAAGCGGAAGTAGCTCTCGTACACCACGTGACCACCGGTATCCACAACCACAGCGGACATGCTCTGCGTGGAGCAGTCCAGGCCGAGGAAGAGGGCGTCGTCGGGAACCGACAGTGTCATCACCACGGTGGTATTTAGGAGCGGAGAAATGGCAAAATGAGCGGCTAGGGTCGTAGACTGGTCGCAGTGTGGGCGTTCGCGCTAGTGCAGGAGCATGTACAGCTCAAAGATGACCACCGCGCTTCAACGTGTGCTGTGCCACCGCGAGTGATGACAATCAGGGAGGTCATCCCCCCTGGAAGTGCCCTGACGTCGCCCCGAACCCTGTCAAAAAGCATTGAAGTTGGCTCCATAAGATGTTCAAGCTGCAACTCTAAATCCGGATACAAAAGTACGGAGAAAAATGCGCACTACATTTTTCTTCAAATTATCCGGCTTCATCCGACCTGCATTACTTCCTTTTCATTTTTGTATTCGGAAATATGTATAGTATACCATCTAAATATTCCGTACTGCATCGCATCACTCCAACTGATGCAGACGAAAGGTCATATAGACTGGTCCGAAGTCGAGCAGAAGCTCAAGCTCAAGCTCAACATCGCCAGCAGTCCCTGAATAGCTTCCTCGAGTGTAAAGCATCCGCTAATGTCTTTGTTGTCCTCATCTCACAGCGCTCTGACGCGCCGTCTACGTCGTGCGTCGCAGCTCCGCGCATTGCACGTCGCTCCTCCTCTAGCTCAAGCGCAAGAGGAGGAAGTTGACGCTCTTCCAGTGCTCGAAACGCAGCAGATGAACATGTTTACCGCTATCAACGACGCCATGCGGGTGGCCATGGAGACGGACCCTAGTGCCGTGCTCTTTGGCGAGGACGTGGCCTTCGGTGGCGTATTCCGCTGCTCGGTGGACCTCCGTGAGAAGTTCGGGGACGACCGCGTCTTCAATTCTCCTCTGTGTGAACAAGGAATTGCCGGCTTTGCGATTGGCTACGCCTCCACTGGGAAAACGGCAATTGCTGAGATCCAATTCGCCGACTACATCTTCCCAGCCTTTGACCAGATTGTCAATGAGGCCGCCAAGTTCCGCTACCGGTCAGGCAACGAATTCGACTGCGGTAAACTCACATTCCGAGCCCCGTACGGAGCAGTGGGTCATGGCGGCCACTACCACTCGCAGTCACCGGAAGCTTACTTCGCACACACACCTGGACTCAAGGTAGTCGTGCCGCGCAACCCAGTGACAGCAAAAGGATTGCTACTGGCATCTATTCGAGACCCGAACCCCGTGCTCTTCTTGGAGCCCAAGGCGTTGTATCGCGCATCAGTCGCAGAGGTAAGACGCAGCTGCTCGGTGAAAGATAACGAAGAGCTGCTAACAATTACGTCGTATAGGTGCCAGTGGGCGAGTACGTGCAGAACTTGAGTGAGGCGGAGATCGTACGACGAGGCACAGACGTCACTGTAGTTGGGTGGGGTGCACAGATGCGGGTACTGGAGGAGGCGTGCGGATACGCTGAGGACGTCGGCATCAGCTGTGAACTCATCGACTTGCAGACGATCTTCCCTTGGGATGCAGACACAATTGAGCACTCGGTCCGTAAAACCGGTCGACTAGTCATCAGCCACGAAGCTCCGGTACGTGGCAGTAGAATTAGAAGCTCAAAAAGCACTTGATCTAATACTTGTGCTGCTGCTTTATCGCAGAAATCCGGTGGGTTTGCCGCGGAGATCTCGTCTAGTATTCAGGAGCGGTGCTTCTTGAGCTTGGAAGCCCCCATTCAGCGGGTGTGTGGCTACGACACGCCATTCCCACTCTCGTATGAATCGGTAAGCTTGTGCTATAACGTTCTTCAACCTCATGAACGTGATGCTAACTCTTGATATTGATTATGTCAGCATTACCTTCCAGACGCATTGCGAAACTTTGAGGCAATCAAGAAGGTAGTGGATTACTAGCTGAGCCTTAGCTATCTATCTAACCACTAATGATCATACTTCCCAAGTTTTTCCAACTGATATTACGTCACGTTTGCAGTTTGTGCACCCTCTGGTTGTAAGAGACTTTCGTAGTACTGACAGAACATCTGCGTCTGAGTGAACTCGTCCAAGTAGTCCTCGTAGATGCTGTTCCGCACTTCTTTGGCTACTTCTTCTTGCAACCGATCGTAGAAGCTCTGACCCCCTAAAAAGCATGTACCCCCAGTCAACCGCCATACCCCCAACACAATCCAGCTACCGTTGCTTACCGGAGATCGACGCTGCTAGGTCTTGAGAAGAAATATCAAAGCCCATATCACGCAGAAAAATCTCTGCTTCTTGCATTGTCAACGTAATAATCGTGTCTTGCTCCTCGGATAGTTCGTACCACGGTCTTCCAGTAGGGCGTAGCGCACAAAAGCGTTCTCTAGCTTTCCGTAGCAAGCGACAAAGCTCCACGCCATTGGGGATCGACGAGGGCCCCAAGTGTCTCGTAGCAGCAGGCACAGAGATTCGATCTCTGTCGATATCGTAAAAGCAGACATCGGGCCACTCCGATGTCTCACTCAGTGAGTGGCAGCCGACCAGGAATGGCACGGGCGAGTGCAAGAAATCCAATAACCCTGAAGGCAACAACGGGATGTACGTCGACTGCCACTGGAACGGAGCGAGTAAAAGCAGAAGTGCAGTGCACACGGCTGAGATCTTGGCTGGACTGTCACCCATGATGACGACCTGCTTCTCTAGCAACAAGTAGGCCATTATCTCGACCACCTTGTCTGGTGTCAACAAGCGTAGCACCACACCAACAGACCATCGATCGGAATGGCGTTTCGGGAACTGGTAGCTGAGATCGAACGTAGGGAATCGAGCCGTAGACCAGTGTCCTGGGTCGTTGATCTTGATTCGTCGAGCTCGATGTAAGATCTACACACGACACAACTACGAGTTAGAACATCGCGTGCTTCTGTGAGATACTCAAAGAGCGTACATCGATAGAAGAAGGTGACAAGCAGCGTCGATGCTTTGATCGCTTAGCTGTTGGAGACGTTTGTATCGTTGCAGCAGGTCTGCGGAAGCGAAGGCGCATTGGTCGGTTCCCTTTTTCCAGCAACGTCAGTGTTTGCTCAAAGCTCATGGACGCTGTAAACCATGTCAGAGATACCAGATCAGTTGTGGTAAAGAGCAAAAACAAAAGGGATTGCGTACTTGTTGCAATGCTGTCGACAGCTTCGAGGGTATCGCCGACTTTGATGCGCTCGTATTCCTTTGGCTGACTCGAGTCGACGCTCTTCACCATTGGCTTGTCCGTTATCCACGCGTTGTCTAAATCGTAATTATCGATATCGTCAGTGCTCCGGCTTTTCCGAAGTTGAATGCGACGTCTTCTCGGCTCAGTGCTCGGTTGGCTATCTTCGCTTTTGTTGACGATCACACTGGCGTCTTCGCTCAGAACGACACGTCGTTCCACTGGAGAAATGTCCAGCTTTGTCGCAACAGAATTCATACTTTTCTGCCCACTCGTCTCGGAATCGGTAGCTTGCTCTCGCATGTCCGGGTTTTCTTCGTGGTAGATGGTGAATTCCATCGCGAGATCGAGCAAAGGTCTCAAAATGACCTCAAACTGCTCGTCCTCTTTCGTTTCGTCGCCTGATTCATCCACTGAAGCAGCTGACGACGATAATCGGTGTTGCTCCAACTCGTTTTCGATGATCATTCGCAAAACCTGCGTCATTTTCAGGCATCGATGTTAGAAACTTACTTAAAAAAAATTGTTCCACACAATCGATGCATTCGTACCGCAAAGTGGAAGCGATAAAAGGGGAATTTGCTTGTGAAGCAGAAGCACATGGGTGCCATCTTACTCGTCATGTTAGTACGGGTTTCCTTGCTAGAAGGTGAGGAATACCCACCAAACCAGGTCGATGCCCAGCTTCCACGAGGACTCTTTGCTGCACCAGTCTCCGATACGGTACTTGTTGTAACCTCCCTCATAACTGCAACGCAAAATCCGTATAGCACTTCGCCTTTTGCGCCAGTGAGACGGAAGGTGTAGCCGGCTGTCTCCGGGGCTTCCTTAATATGCTTTTGAAGTGGCTCAATATCAGTGAACCACTGCGCCACAGCCACTCCAAGAATCGATTTCGCTTGTTCAGGAGTACACATCGTCAGAGGTACACCTCTAGGGAAGCAGAAATCGGCTACAGACTCATCGGGTGGGTCGTTGATACGCTAGCAAGAGTAACACACAAGCCACAGAGTAATAAATAACTATAAGCAGGTCATCAAAAAGGATATAACCCACTTACATTGGGGAAGTCGTATAGCAGCTTTGGCTTCCAATAACCAGCAAGCCTTGAAGGCTGATTTGGTCGCTCTGATTCGCTGAGAGCCATTCCAGTGACGAAGAACCTTTCGAAGATGTGCTCCTTCTTCAGGTGCATGGAAAACATGATTGAGCGTGCCACATTTTGCAGTCTGTTGGGATGAGTGCGTGCATTCCACAGATCGCGGGATGACGGATTGGCATACATGATTCGGTACATGAGATGTTGTTGCTGCGAGTGTTCACTGCTTGTGCCGTTCTTCCCGTCCATTAAGCGTTGTGACGACCCACCAAATGCCTCCAACGAAGAACCAGTCGTCGATGATCGGTTAAGTCGTCGAGGAGTGTTTGTAGTGGCGTTCAAATGATACATGAGTGATTGTCGGTCTCGCAGTTCCAGTGCCAACGACGGGTTAAATGGTTCGTTTCGACCACTGGACGTCTCGAGTTTCCCATCTTCAGTGTCCGCCACAACCTCCGACGCATTCCTTGTTGCCTCGACAAGTGGCAGAGAAGCTCTTAGGGGGTGATCGCCACTGCCATCGCTGCCATCTTCGCTTGAATCGTCGTCAAAGTCGAACGATGACAACGTTGGACTCAATAGATTAGCCGTGTGGTCTGGACTGCTACACAATACACCTCAAACACCGTCAGATTTAGCCTTTACCTGTCCTGATTAGATAGTAATTCACCTAAATAACGAAGACGATCTTTTCGCTGTTGCAACGCCTTTGAGGTCATGTTTCCCATTCGGCTTTCGTTCCGTGCGTACGACAAGGTCTAGCAGATCTCTCGCCGACTTTTGACGCCGCCGCTTCTCCACCAAATACTTCTCTTTCCATTTCTGCGCCTCATACTGCGCCAGCGCCAGCTCGTTCTGCCTCAAAGCCAATGAGCACGACACTTGGTGCCTTATCACATACAATCCACGCACCTGTAGCTGTTCGAACTTCTCCTGCCAGGCGTCGCCCGCGGCGCTCTCCTCGCTAAAGCGAGTGCTCATTAGGACTCGTCGCTTAGTACTGTACAACTGTTTGCTTTTGTTATTACTACAGTGTACAGCTGTTTGCTTTTGTTATTACTACTGTTGTAAATTTTGAGTCAAAATCTGATTCCGAAATGTAAACTTCAACAGCAACGCCAAAAATTGCCAAAACCGCAAGGCAAATGATTCAAAGTTTCCTGTTGCAGCAACACTAAAAACTTCGCTAGTTTGCTGTCTTCTTCTCAATAATCAAAAACTCATCACGCCAACACCCGACGCGCCCTACATGACAACACACCCGCCTTCGCTGGCCTGGCCAGCTCCCTCAGCATCCTCCATCTCCGTGTCCTGGCCAGGAGCCGCCACACCACCAGCGTTCAGACTCTCTTCCATCTGGGCAAACCACAGCACAAATGTCAGCACAATCTGCGACTCAAGTAAACAATTCTCGTTGACGTACCAGCTTCTTAGTGAAAAGGTAAGAGCTGCCCACCGAGAACTTGTCGCCATTATCGTACTGCATCAGATACATGCTCTTGTCCAATTGCTTCAAAACTATGCCACGGACAAACTGCGTGCAATTCTCGCCCATTGTGATCTTCGAGTACAAAATCGAGCCGACGTCAAATTCGTGGCGCGCTTTGTAGGATTCGCCAGTCTGTTCGACTACTGCAGCTAGTAGCGCTTGAAAACTCGCTCGTGTGTGATCAGGCGCTTTCTTTTCTCTCTGCAAACTTCCCTTCTCTTCTCTTTGCAAGTCGGGACAATTAGTGGTCTCTTTTGAAGGGACAATTGCTGAAATCGCAGTTTGGTACGGCGTGACTGCCTCAACTTGGCTGTGTATGAATGATGGCACTGTGAAAGCGGGAGTGACCTGCTCGTCCATAGCATTCGACACAACCAACACAGGAGCTGTAGGGTCTGGCTGGGGCTCTTTTTCTTCTTGCACAGCCACAACACCACCGGCTGCTTCCTCAATTGTGGCCACAAACTTCTTCATAACGTCCTGCATTGGTCCACTAAGTCTCATCCACAACGTCTTGAACTCATGCAGCAACGTTTGGCGCACTGAATTTGGTAACACTGCCTGCTTGTCTTCCCACAATTGCTGCTGACCTTCAGCAATCTCCATGATCACTTGCATGGAGCTCTGCGTCACCCCGATAAACTCACGAATCCGCTGCTCGATATCACCTTTCTTAATCGGTGCCGAGTCGCCGAAGTATTCGTTGTGGGCAGCTAAAGCTTTCTCCTGTTCTTGTAATTCTTCTTTGGCTTTGGATTGTTGAATCGAATGGAATTCATAGTAGGAATAAAGCGCACGTGTAAGCATCGGGATGATTCTCTCCAAAGAAGACGTCGAACGGGCCTCGGAGGTAGCACGTGCATCTTCGAGGCCTTTCGACGAGCTCGTGAGTGCTTCTTGTCGGCGGTCCCGTACTCTTCGGAATAGAATAAGAAGGTTCTTGTGGAAAGCTAGTGCGTGCTCAGCAACTGTCAGCGAGCGCACAGACTCCGCCACTTGTCGTTCGCACTCGCTACGAGAGCTCCACAGCGCTTGCACTTCCACGTCGTCTTTCTTCCAGACTCCAACGACCGACTCCAACATCGCACAGGCTTCAGTCTCGCCCTTATCAAGTAATTCTTGGCGTCGATTGTTGACAAACTCCACGATCTGCAACGACCGCGTACCTTTCTTCTGTTTGGCCTCCAACAAAGAGGATTCAGCCTCCTTGACGTCGTGGGTACAGATATCGACCAGTCCCTCGAGTTTCTGACTCAACGATTCAAGTACAATCCCTGCGTCAGCGTTTTCTTTGCTATATCTATCGTCCGACTGAGCAAGCCAAGCCAGTCGATCCATATACGCCTTGCAGGCTGACGATAGCGCTTGAATGGCGCTCTTTGCAGCATTAGCTCGAGCATAGGCACTCAGCTCCGCTGTCTGCTTTTCAGCTTGTGCAACAGCTGCCACTTCCTGGTCGTGTTTTGTTAGGACTTCGTCCTTCGGCTGCAATGCAACGGAATCGTCGGTATCGGCCGAGAGCGGTGGCAAACTAGCTGCTACCTCGACAATTAGTGCAGCTCCTCGTGTCTGGATATCGTCTGCGTATCGGATATCCACGCCCTTGACCCATGTGGCCAGCGCATCCACCGTGAGATTGAGGTGCATGGCCAATTCCAGTACTGATGGCACTTGCAGACTTGCCCAAACTTGGTTCACCCAGTCCGGATTGCGCAGCGGCTGAGTGCCTGCCACACGGTCCTCCACCGTCGCTCGCAACAGTATTTGCGCTCTTGCACAATCAGCAGCACAGACTTGCATCTGCGTGTCTTGCTGTGTGTCTGGAGTCGTGTCCTTCTCGTTGTTCTCCTCTTCTTCTTCCGTTTTCTCCTCCGTGTTCATCTGAGAGAAGCTCAGATCTTTATGTCTCTTGCTCGGAGTACCCTTGTCGTCTGACGACGCACTAAGACGACGTTTCTCTCGTTCGGGTGATGACATTTTGACGTTGGTTGTAGCAGCAGGTGCTGATGCTGGGATTGCAATCGACCGTTGGTGGCGGCGACTCGCCTTCAGGTATTGATACGCGTGGTCCGGGCGGTTGCTACAGGCACGAAGCGCTCCTGCGAGTTCCTGGCTGTTCAGCGGCGGCTCAAATTCGTACATGGCCAATACGCGAAGCTGCTTCAGCTCGCGCAAACTCGGTGTCTCTCGAGGCTTCCCCCAGTACGAGTCGTACGTCCCTGTTCCCATATTCTCAGACTGAATAGTAAAAGTTGATACAAACACGCAGTGCTTAATGACAAAAACAGTATACTGGTTCAATTTGTGACCTAGCTACTCTATTCAATATGTAGTTTCGGCATCGTCGTCGTCTTCCTTCTCCAGTTTATGCGAGATGACGGCTGCGATGCACCACTTGTCTTCCAGTGGATCTTTCTCGAGCTGCAGTATCGTATACTGGCCCAGCCGCAGCGAGCCTGCAAGTTAATTCGCATCCGTCAATTGTCACAAGATCTTCGCTAATTTTCTGATTACCAGCCAGTATGGACGCACCTGGATAAATCAACGGAAGTTGGGCGTGAGGATGCTGGTCGCTGCCACCAATTATCTCGATCGCACGCGGTTCTTCTGGCTTGTTGGACTGCAGCATCGGCAGCAAACCAGCGAAAAAGGAGCTCTCCACCACAGGCAGCCGTGTCTTGACCGACGAGTCACGCAGTACGAGCACCAGGTCTCGGTTCTGCATCGGATCTTTGCCGTCGTTCACCAATCTACGATCAAACAGACCAAACAAGAAGACTTTTAATCCAGGCCACTCATTAGATCATAAATTTCGCTTACTTAAAATATCGAGCTTCGCCCATGATCGTCACACCCTCGATGAGTTGCTCTTCTTGGTAATACATATTGGACGAGTACTGTGTCAGTGACGGCGCTGATACAGCGATGCTGCGTGTTGTGGGAGGGTCGTTCTGCTCAAATTGACATCCGCAGCCTTCGAGTTAGGAAGGCTCATGTTATATACTTTTACTATAGAAAGCAACGTACATCATCAGGAATATAGAGAACACGACAGATTATCATCTCGAGCCGCGAGATGAGCGCCATCATGTCTCCTTCGGCGGCTGCCACAGCCTCGAGCGCCTCGTAGCCGTGAGACCCACGCGTGGCCACCAGACCACCGGCCACGAGCACAGCGTTAACATCGCAGTCCTCGGAGCTCACCAGCTCCTCGCATAGCTGATTCACACGCGGGATCTGCCCCTCCAGGTCGCTCAGCAGCAACAGCTTGAGCTTAGTAGCGTCGCTGCGCATCGTCATCGGTGTCAGCTTGTGAGGCCCTTCTTGGCGCAACGTTAGAGCAACATAGGCAACGTGGGACCAAGTGTATATCGGAGACGGCAATGCCACGATGAGTAAGTTGTTGCTTGGGCTATGCTCAGCGGACACAATGGGACTTGTGGCGTTGACATCATTGCTGGCACGACTGAAGCTGGTAAAAATCGCTCGGCGTCCAGTCGAACGGCGTATACAATCCTGTCAGAGGAGATAGTCTCCGCTCCAGTTTCTACTTGGGACGGTGGTTTGTCGCCAGTGTGAATTCAAGCTGCTTCGGTGGAGCGGAATGCAAGGTACATGCAGTACATGCATAATATTATTGAAATTATTGGGACGCTGAAACGCCGACGGACCGAAACAAAATACGTGCGTGGGAGAAGCAGTCTTCGATCAGTAACCTCCTCCGGGTGCAGCATCACGCCAGCGAAATGCTTCTTCCCATTCCTGACCTTCAAAAGAAACTGCCCGAAGTCCGAGCTGCAGCACGGCGATGAACTTCGTTTTTGCTGTGAGAACTCGCGTCACTGCTTTTTCCGTTGAAGCGACAAACGTTCGGACGGCACCGCAGTATACATGTACCGGATAATTTCAGCTTTGCGATTTATCACTTGCTTTTTAAACGAGAGGCTCTGTCTTAATACCGGTAAATGTACAGTACTTGCTACTCTCAAGTATACGTCGTCGACCGTTAGTGCTCGGGTTGCGGCTTGGTGCTATGGGATGGGGAGCGCAGAACCGGGAAGCCGCCCCCACGCGCGCTCCACTCCTCGGGATCTAGCTGTGCTCACTTCTTCACTTGTCGTCGCCCCACTTCCTGTTCATCTTGTTGGCAGACCTCCTGCCGCTATGAACGCTGCGCATTATTTGCTGGACCGCATGCGAACGTGCAAGGCATTGCAAGAAATTGGTGACAACAAGAAAGCTCGCGGCTGCTTCTCGTCCGTGGGCAGCGCTACACATTCATTTCACGGCGATGACGCCGTGGGCTTTGGGCCGGGCTACATGGTGGTGGCGGACGGCGTCTCGGGAACCATGAAAGCTTCAGGTGTTTTAGCACGCATTCTGGTGGCCGAGACATTATCAGCTCTGTCCAAACTGCGCAAACGCTCGCGGGAGGAGCCCCCTTGCGCTGAGGACTTTAACGATAGCATACAGGCAGCGATCAAGAGCGCGCGCAAAATGGCCAAGCGCAAAGGACGACTCGACTCGACCATCTCGGCGGTCTTCTTCGACGAGACCACTCGCCAGATGTTCGTGTACACGATTGGCGACTGTAAGTGCGTTGTTTTCCGCGGCGCTCAGCTCGTGTTCGAAAGCGACTCCATTATCTACGACTTTAATGTGCCGGCCGTGGTGTCCAGCAACCAGTCTATTAATTATGCAGCAGAAGTGGAGATACAGACGTTCGAGTATGAAACAGGTGACGTGTGTCTGTTGTTCTCAGACGGCGTACACGACAACCTGTACGTAGACGACATTGCGGCATGTGTCGCGTCTGCAACCAGCTCGCCGTCGTCTCGATCAAAAGGTGGAGCGGCAGAGGACATAGCGCGAAGGACAGTACTACGCGCAAAGGACACTTTCACGTGCACGACAGAGTACATTCCGTTTGCAGTTTCAGCAGCAGGATTCTGTCGCGAGGCGTTAGCTGAGCTTGAGGCCAATAAGACCGTCGATTCCGACGAGTTCGAGCGATTCCGACAGAAATGCGAGGGCATTCCATCATTAGAAATAGAACGTGCGGCCTTTACCAAGGAGCGACGTGTTCGCCAATTAGCTTTCTACAGTGCATCCAACCTGCTCGCCTTTGCGCACAAGAAGCAGGGCAAGCGCGATGACATTTCCGTCTGCGCAGCAATCCTCGCGTGAGCATGCTCAAATGGCAGGCATGACCTCAATACGCAGACCAAGTACAAGCACCTCAAATTCAAATCAGATAGTATAACTATGAAAAATTAGTAAACGATATATTAGCTGCAATAATCTCGTTGGCACCTCAATGACTCACTGAGTGATGTCCTCAACAGGATAACAGTCCCTCAAAGTGTCAACAGCTCTTCAAGCTCAGCTGTACCATTTATATGGTACTTTTGCTGGTGACCAGTGGTCATCATTTCCAACATGGGCAAGCGATCGCGCAACGGACGAGGTGGAGGACGCGGTGGCCGCGGCCGCGGCAACAAGAAGCCGCGCGCTGATGGCAAAGAAGAGGGCTGGCGTGCTGACAAGTTTGCGGACTGGGTGTACGAGAACGAGAACTTCGATGCGTACTACATGGCGCAGAACATCGTGACAGATGCAGATTGGGACACCTTCAAGAAAGCTTTGGCCACGCCTCTGCCTACGACATTCCGCATCAACAGCTCGTGTCCGTTCGCTGATCGGTGAGCTGCGTATCAATTGCACTTTTTGTTAGTATTCTTGGACTCATTTTCGTGCTGTGGTGCAGTATTCGCGAGCATATCGAGCTGGATTTTAAGTTCGACGGCTTGGTGGTGGATGATGAGCCTGTAGAACCTATTAGCTCTATGCCTTGGTATCCTGACAGCCGTGGCTTCACGTGGTCAGTGGAGCGTCGTCGTGTGCGCAAGCTTCCGATCCTTAAGGAGTTCCAGTCGTGGCTTGTGGAGCTCTCCAATAGTGGCAGTATCACCCGCCAAGAGGCAGTGAGCATGATCCCGCCTCTTGTTCTAGGAGTGGAGTCACACCACAAGGTGCTGGACATGTGTGCTGCACCCGGTTCCAAGACGTCGCAGCTTCTCGAGTCACTTCACTCGCAGGAGTTCGCGACTGGCAAGACTCCTACCGGTGTCGTAGTAGCCAACGACGTTGATCTCAAGCGCGCATACATGCTGGTACATCAGTCCAAGCGCATCAGTTCTCCAGCTCTGCTTGTCACTTGCCACGAGGCGCAGAACATCCCGTTCCTTGGCAAGGACGGTACCGAGAGCGAAGGAGTATTCGATCGTATCCTGTGCGACGCGCCGTGCAGTGGAGACGGCACTTTGCGTAAGAATCCGCTAATCTGGAAGAACTGGAGCGCTAAGAACGGAATTGCGCTGCATCCGCTACAGCTACAGATTGCAAAGCGTGGTGCGGCACTGCTGAAGGTAGGAGGTAACATGTGCTACTCAACGTGCACGTTTAACCCGCTGGAGAACGAGGCTGTGGTGGCTGATCTTCTGCGATGGAGCAAGGGATCTCTGGAGCTTGTGGATGTGTCCAATACGCTGCCACTACTAAAACGCCGTCCGGGTATCAGCACGTGGAAGGTGATGGACTCGCAACTGAAGGAATACTCGTCCTATGAGAATTACGTCGAGGAGAACATGAAGGACAAGATCAAGGACAAGATCCGTGCCACGATGTTCTCTCCGACGAAGAAAGAAGCGGCGGATCTCCACTTGGAGCGATGCATGCGTTGTCTGCCTCAGGATGAGAACACTGGAGGCTTCTTCATCTGTTTATTGAAGAAGGTGGCGCCGACACCCGATGACAAGGAGGAATCTACTGAGGACGTGACCACCAAGTCCGAAGGGGCTGTTAAGGTGGAAGAAAACGAGGTGGAGGAAGAGACAGCTACTGCTACCGACGCGAAGGCTGAGACGGAGACACCAAAGTCTGCTTCGGATGAAGCCAAGCCTCGGAGAAGCCGCCGCAACGACAAGAAGGGCGAAGTGTATGTGGCGTTCGGTGCTGAGAACTGGGCTAACGTGCGCGAGTATTACGATATTTCTCCCGAGTTCTCGGCCGAGCAGCTGATCACACGCTCGGAGGACGCAAAGTCCGTCACTTTTGTGACCGAGAGCATCACGATGGCTCTCCTGGAGGAGATGAAGCGCAAGAAACTTAAGGTTGTGTATGCGGGCCTCAAGATGTTCGAGCGCAACGAGACTACAGAGGGTGGCAAGGTCTACCGCGTGTGTCAAGCTGGTCTGCCACATATTCTTCCGTTCATGAACAAGCGGAAGGCGAAGGTGACGACAAAAGACTTCCAGATGATGCTGGAGAGGCTTGGAGACTTGCTGGACTTCGACGAGTTCGAGTCTGCTACGCGACAATACTTCGAGAACGCTCCGATCGGTAGCGTCGTGTGTATGCTTGATCGCCCAGGCCAGACCAACGTCGAGTACGTATCCTTACTCAATTCTGGTGGCAATGCAGCTCTAAGTATTGTCGTTTTTGTGGTTTGAATAGGTCGAAAGTGATGAACTTGGTTGTGTGGCGTGGTCGCAACTCTGTAAACGTGATGGCTGCCAAGGCGGATGTGGCTGTGCTGCTGGGGACGATGAAGGAGTTGAAGATCTACAACTCTGCTGTGCAGGCGGCCGTAATGGAAGCCAAGAAACTCAAGGACGAGGAACGTGCCGCTCGTGACGAAAAGAAGGAAGTCGTGGAAGAGGTGGAGGATGAAGGCGAGGCTACACCAGCCATCTAAACCAGGGGAAGGCAGTCAAGAAACACTCCCTCCCGATAGACGCTTGCTCTAACAGCTAACAGCTTTGCACATTATTCTTTCGTCGAAGAGCGTGTGTATTTATGGTTGAACGGAGGTTGCTAATTTCGAGTCGAAATGGGTGATCAGGAATAGCAAGATCACTTGTTTTCTCCCTCGCCTTTGCCAATGTTTCGCAGTTTATTTCTGCTCGAGTCTTCAGCACAATTGAAGCAGAAGGAAACTCAAACAATGGAGCGGAACTCGTCGTCGTCAGCCGAGATGCTCAGAATGCCCGACCACATTACCACTCCAACGTTCACATGGTACGAAAGCTTTACAGTGTTCCTCTCTCGTGAATGTTACTTAAGTCCATGCTTGACGAATGATACAGTGAGGTGTGCAAGATATCGGTGCGCTCAGCGCAGAAGCTAATGGATCACGTCAACTTTTCGCCACTCCATCAAGCTTCTCTCGGTTTGAACAATAGCTCGAAAGCTGGAAGTACCAAGACTGCAAAACACATGCGTAAACTGCTGTACGATGGCTCGAAGCTCTTCTGGCGTGTCAACGAGACGCTGGATCTGTGTATCTACGAAGATACGGCGATAAACACCGTCACCATTCGAGCATTCCAGCACAAATCGCCGCAGGAAAGTGACCCTACAAGCTCTGCTGACCCCATTCCAGCTCTGGATGTCGACTCGCGTCGATTGCGTCAAACCCTCGGGATCGACACAGCTACTAAGGCAACTGGAAGAATGGCGTATCCTCCCAAGTCCAGTGGCGAATCATCGACCCCAGCGCGTTCAAGCGAGTTGATCACGAAATATTTACTTGCTCGGCTTCAGGCTCGACGTGACACGCTCGATCGAGTAAACCTCTTCTTGCAGAAGATAAACGACGATGAGGTGGATCCAGCCGATCTCTTGTTGACCACAATCGGAAGCTCTCAGGCGCTGCCCAGTGATCTTGAGGTTCGTCGTCGTCACACTATCGATGATGTGAAAGATGCACAGAACGAAGTGTCTGTGGCGACCACGAGGCTAAAGAACGCACGTATCAAAGCTGAGGAGCTGTCGAACCTAGCGCGAAAGACGCTCGATACCTTTTCACGACAATATGGCTCGAGCTCTGACGACATGAGAATGATCGCACGAGAGAGAGCCAATGCCAGTGCGTTGGCAACATCGGCGTCGAACACCATCATGGGTATGAACGGCGGCCAACGTTTTACTGTCATGGACAGCAAGCCTGCCGCTGACTGGACGCGTGCTTACGATCGTGTGGTGCTTCAGAGTGCTGTCGGGCGCAGTAAGGAAGTGATCGAACATTTGCCCCAGTATGAGCAGAGAATGGGACAAATTAAACGAAGCTAAGTAACTTGAACAACGAACTACTTGCTAAGTAAACGATAACACGACCATAAATCAAATCAAAACTTCAATACTAGCTAGAGTAAAGATCCAAGCAAAGCGTTTTCTGTAAAGTGTAGGTTTATTTGTTAATTAGGAGCAGCTACGGTTTAATGTTCTTGCGTGGGTCGTTCCACGTGGTGACACGATTAATGTGGTCGATAAAGAAGACCCGGCCTTTGGCGTCTGTCTTCTCTTCCCACCCGACTGGAAGTGGGGCGATATCTTCGTCAGAGTTACTTTTTCGTGACGAATTCATTGCAGCGTCCTCTTTTTGTTGGCAAATGTACTGCAAGAGAGCTTCACAATACAGATCGCGAGCTCCATGATTGGAAAGGTTCAATCTTGCTGTAGATTTCCAAGGCATCGTGTCCTGTTCATTTCGAGGTGATCGTTTCCCCATCACGAGTACGTTTGGAGGCTTAGGACTGCAACAAAGAAGTAATGCAGGTACTTCCGAGTATTAGTCCAAGCCAACACAGCACTACAAAAGCCTAATGGCTACTTACTCACGAATCCGAATGGTAGTACCCGGAGAAATCCTTTGCGTTTTCGGGTGCATCGCTGGGAAATTAGTACTCGCAGTGGTTGCATGCAGTCGATCGCTTTCCTGTTTTTGCAATGTGGCAATCAGCAAAAGAAAACGAAGCAAACTCACGGAGTTAAACAGTTTGCTGGTCACGTACTCGGTTGTGGTAATCGGTGATCCGACGATTCATGTTCGCGATCCGAACTTCATGTGCGGCGCGTTCTTCGCGCATCCGTCTGGTAAACGTGCTCAATGCTTCAATTCTTGGTGTCCTGAAAAAAATAAAGCAAGATGTTAAGCCGCCACCGCTGTATTGAATCCCAAGCAGAAGTTCCATACGTTGGGCTACCACTCTGAAGCTCGTTCACTACATATCGGAAAAACCAAGTATCGATAAGAGGAAAGGTTTTTGCATAATCAAGCTTGATAACACACACCTTTCCCGCCACAGTCAATTCCTGCAGGTGTGTACGTCACCACGTGTTTGAAGTGGCGAAGCTCTGCTTGTGTCTGGGATCTTCCACCAGCATTTCGCTCGTCAAATGCACAGAAGCCAGCGTGTGTGACGCGATTCATACTTGTCTGGTGCTACAGTTGAAGTGACTTTAAATCTGAAGAGCTGCACAAGAGCGAATCTTGTCCACGGAGTGCTTTGCCAGGATAAGTGCTATTATGATGCATCATCGCACGCGTCCCCACTTCACAGCCACTAAAAATACGTTTCCACCGCCCATGAAAGCGCTTTGGCGTCAAGGAAGGTAACGAGCGACTAACTTGAAAAAATAGGAAACAACAAACTACATTTCGATGAACTCTCCGTTTGATTTGGGTTTGTACACGTCTGAATATACGCAACCTGATTCACCCGCCAAGAATTTCCGTGATGGCGACGCTGCTTGGACACGATTTCTGGCGGCCAGACCGTTGCTGTATTTGCCAAATCGATCTCCCAACAATGATGAAGATCCAATCAACCGCCAGCGGCGACTATGGACTTATCAAGAGCTCCAAAGTTTTGGAGATACAGTAGAAGAACGAACCCATGCTCAACTTTTACTACAAGAACGCACTCTGCGTCGATGGCACCAATCTGCTACCGACATTCAACGTTGTTTTCGAGGCATGCACGCAAGGTTGTACGTGCTTCAACTTCGACGAGAACTGTTTGAACACACACTCACCTTGAAGAGAGCTATAGAATTTTCTTGTGAGCAGCGAAGACAACGCAAGGCTGCCACTGCAATCCAACGCAGGTATAGATGTCATCGTAAGTGGGAGATATGTCGACTACGAGGAGCTATTACCTTGCAACGAGCGATTAGGCGATTCATACACCGGCTTAAGCACCGGAAGGCTCTGTTGACAATACAGCGCGTCGCTCGTTGCTTCCTGTGGCGATTGCGTTGGCAAAGATACAGGCAACAAGTGAGGAAGATGCTCATTGCAGCAGCTAGACAGCGACAGCTTGTACTGGCCACGAACGTTTTTCAGCGGGTACGCGAGAAGATTTTACTTCAGCGCCAGGTAGATGCATGGACTTCTCATCCAGAACGAATGCAGACGCTGCTGCGTGCGCGCCGGCGCAAGCAAAAGGTGCAAGCTTCGCTCATTCCTTCACTTCAAGGTACTGCAAACCGCAGCAAAGTAACAGAAAGTATACAGCATTATTCTGCTCGGCTAGACGGGTAGATGGAAGGTAAGCTCTGTTGCTGCTTGGTTGACTTTTTCCTAGCCTTAATTAAATAAAAGCTGCTGTACCCTTTGTATCCTTACAAAACGAGTGGTCTTTACCTTCAAGCTACAAGCAATGAAGAAAAATGATAAGAAAATGGTAAAAACTAAACTCAAGTATATTAACTTTCCGCTACGTCGAGCAACCTGTTCGCAGGCTAGCGCACACTCGAGATACAGCGTTGGCTACTGGACAGTCAGCGTACCCGCTGGGCTCAAGCAGGGTTCCAAATTTCCCAATGACAACATTTAGCAGCATTGGTGGCATCCAATTTCGATAAATAAGCCAGAACGCCTCAAAATGTTTCGCAAAACGTAACATTTCCGGTCGATATTTCTGTTCAGTGGTCCTTGCTTGATCCCTGTCTTGGGAAGGCCCACCAGACCGTGGTGATCCTTGTACCATGACAGCTTGCAGAGCTTCACCGAACGAATCCATGCTTGCCAGCATGCTGTAGCCAAATGCGTTGACTCGCTCCACTGTTGTCATTTCTTGTAGCTCTTGTTGTTCGTCCGCGCCAGCCACTAGCTGGGCAGTTACACAGAGTAGCGTCATTGCAGTCTGATAAAAACCTCGGCGCAATTCCCACTCCAGCGCACGATGTTTCAGAGACTTCAATGCCTTGTTGTTATAGTAAAAGTTGAGCTGTTCGCCATTCGTATCATTGAAAGTGTCTTCAAACACTTTCAGCTCTAGTTCCTCAGCCGCAACACGCTGCTTCTCTATCTGAGTCTGACATTTCATCATAATTTCTACAAATTTCTCCGCTGCACACTGCCTTTCGTCCTCATAGTCAACCATTGTATTTTGGAGGTGCTCAATCTCACGTGCACAGTTAGCACTCAGTGTCTCCAATCGTGACATGGTGACACTCACTACAGACGCTCTGCAGTCACTAGAGCGTGCACGCTCCACAATAAGTGACCGCCACTGATCCATTAGCTGGTACAACTGGTCAGTAGCGAAGTTGCTATGAGAGACAAGAGCTCCTTCTTCCTTGATCCGCTGCTCTTGCTTTGCCTGCGTCTGACGTGAAGCAGTTTGCACTACACTCAGTACCTCACACACTACCATGACCAGGTTTTGGCCCGCTCTGTACCGTCGATCATGTCCCTGCAAGAGCATCAGTAACTCTCCCAGCTTCTCACTCGTCGCTCGCAGGGATCGTCGCACCTCAATAGACGGCGGGATACCGAGATCGTGCAGCAATCTCTCCAGTATCGGCTGGTCGTCTCGCAGTTCGGGATTCTTGGCAAGCAAAAGCAGTCTATCAGCCATGTCAGCCCATGATAATGGCTCCACGTCGTTAAAGCTCGGCGTTTCTCCGTCATTTTCAATTTCTTCGTCGTCACTGATGACAATCACTTCATGAACAGGAAGAACAGACTCAACATCTTGGTCGACATGTACTGCTGCCATACTCAGTCGTGCCCGTTGATTGAGACAGACAACTTCAATTCATATCATATCGATTTGCAGAGTCATTCTTCTCTGTCACTCTAAAGAGGTAGCCGGACCGGTCCCAATTCGAACCGTCGAGCCAGTGGCCGAATTCTCTCCCCCCCCCTGTCTCCCAGAGAAAAACGACAAGAAACTTCCCATACATTTTCAAAGAGAGACGAAAAGACAGCAATCTTCAGGAAAGAGAAGTGCTAGTGAAGCGAGAGCGGTGGGGTCGATTGTTCCTCCCTTTTGCCGCTGAATTCTCCTCATCCGTCAGTGTCTCCGCCTCCGCGTGTGTGTGTGTCGGTCGTTTGCACTCCGACCCACCGTCCGCTCATTCAGTCAGTCGACCGTCTGTTCGTCTCGTTAGACGCCGCTGTCCGTCCAACGTCGTTGTCTTACGCTTCTCGGCACGAAGTTTGGTGATCGCATTCCCTTTGCGTCGTCGTAACTCTCGGGCCCTGAACACCCCGCAACACACATATCAACACATTGCTCAAGGTAAATATTACAGTTAAACAACTAGATTAAGTAACTAGGCTGCTTTCGTGTACCGTGAGGCCTTCATGCCATCACTACACATTTGCCACTGCACCCCCACGACATATTTTGCATCTCTCCATCGCTGCCTTTCTCATCTTTATTGAGGACATCATCGAAGCCAATTTGGTCAAATGCAACTGTTACTTGCTGAGAGAACACAGGAGCTCTTGATGGTTAAGAATGGTTGATGCTGTTACCGTACTGAGCTTCTGGTGAAACTCTGGTGGTGCCATGACGGTAGCCTCCGGCTCTCGAGCTCACCGATCTCATGATGGAGAGTGATGGATCGTCAACTCAACTGGGAGAGACTTGGCAGCGGAGGCAGCTCGTATAGCACCTAGATATGTACAGTATGGAAGATGAAAAGATGACTCACTTGTTGCATGTGCAAATGTGCTTGGATATGTAGAAGATGAACGTCAACATGGAGCGAGCCAGCTTCACGAGCTTGCTGGACCAAGCGCAGTTCGGTGGAGCGCTGCAGCAGCCACTGATGCACCCAGGTCACCAAGCTGCACCAGCGTTCGCACTTCAAGGCATGGTATCCCAGCCGATGTCCACGGGATCTTCACAGTTCATGAAGCAGCAGCCGGTACCGCAAGCTCCAGCTCCAGCTCCAGTGAAGCTCCCAGCAGACCAATCGGTGAGTCTACAGTATTGATCGTGCAATGGGTTGTCGTACCTTTTGCTAACTGTGCTTCAATTCCAGGTCCCTAACGTACTTCACAACATGATGAGCCGGAGCAACAGCTCCAAGTTGACGCCCTCAAGTACTGAGGCTTCCTTATTGTCTCTAGTGGATGGAGAGCTTCGTGTGTCCTCGATCTCAAACCTCCCGATCTTTCTCAAGGTCCTAACACGCTGTAAGACTGAGCCCGAGCAAACGCTCGCACTTGTGGTGCTGCGTGCTACTTCCACTGCAACTGACGCCAAGCTGTCGCACGCCTGTGCTAATGCCTTTGAGAAGAGTGGAGGCCTGAGACTTGCACGTACCTGGGTCGAATCGGCTGTGACCTGGCAGCATAATGATCTACTGGTTCTACTCTTAGAAGTGTTGCAGACTCTACCGTTGCAATTAACTAGTATTACGGAAGCACGTATCAATGAGCCCATTGTCAAGTTGCGAAAGAATGCTCGCGAAGAGCGGGTCAAGCGTGCTGCTCAGGATCTTCTCAAGTTTTGGCGTAGCAAGTTTACAGAGAAAGACAAGGCTTCGTCGCCTCCTTCGGCGCCGAAAGAGAAGGCTCCGGACTCTTCCAAGGCGTCCTCATTAGCTGCCACTAAGTCAACGCCTTCGACTACTGCCACCACGGCAAAGTCTGTGCCGCTGAAGCAGCCAAAGGTCTTGAAGAAACGCACGATCAAGCGGTTAGAACGACTACCGTTTGGTGGCGGCAGTGCCGTTTCTAAATCCAGTGACTTGATCGGAAACCTCATGCAACGAAAGTCAGCGAAGGACGCTGCAGCTCAAGCTAAGAAGAAGAGTAAAAGTGTCGATAGTAGCAAGTCAGATGACATGAAAATGGACGAGTCTCCGTCAACGTCCAGCAGCGAAGGCTCAGCTACGACAGGTAGCGTGGATGATTCGCCGTCCATGTCCCTCCCTACGATTCAAAGCTTCAAGGCTGCTTCAACGTCAACGTCGTCGTCTAAAGAACGCAAGCGCATTCGCTGGGCCGATGAAAGCGGTGAGGAACTTGTTAAGGTGAAGCTTATCGAGTCGTGGCGGGATCTTGTGCCCTATGATCCTCGTCATGAAGATCAGTCCTTTAAGGATGCTAAACTCCGAGAACATGCCAATGAGCGTCATGCCTTGCTTGCCCACCATCACAAGGTGCCGCCTGCTGTGGCTGCTTCTCGCTCGCGTGAGTGGACCACGCCTGCGTTTATGCGTCTACCAGAAGCGGTAGCAGAGCGAGCTAACAGCAGCTCTGTCACGGACGAGATGCACGTCCAGGACAGTCGTCGACGTCATGTGGATGAGTATGAGGTGTTAGCTGGCGAGATGCCAATTCAGAGTCCTAAGGAGTGGGAACGGGTGAATGAGCCACACCGTGGACCGCCACTGGAGATTCCGTTGAGTGATGTGGTCGAAAGTGAGCCTAGCAACCAGCCTCTTCCGACTTCTATGGCACCGCCAACCTCTGAAGGATATCATCAAGGAACGTACGCCCAGGCACCTGGCTATGGTCAGCGTGGTTACAACGATCGTAGTGAGTACAATGCCCGACAAGACTCCGAGGCAGATCGTAAGCTGCGTGAAGCTTTGGGTCCGCTGCAGGAGAACACCGTCGTGCTGCTAATGGACAACCCAGACGTTGTCCCGCAGGTGCTTGAGGAAGCACAACGTCACGGCAATCACATTCCAGACGCGCGTGTGTTTGAAATTGTGGATCAGTATCGTCGCGGACGCTTCCAAGCGCCGCCTAATGTTGGAGGTCCGCCAGCGTTTAGTCCTTATGGTAGTCAGCAGTATGGTGAGATGGGTCCTTGTGCGAACTATGACCGCCAGTACCAACAGCAGTATCCGCCTCATCAAGGCCCGCCAGGAACGTCCTTTATGCCTGGAAAGAGGACAGCCGATGCAATGGGCGCGGTCCAGAACGGCATGATGCCTGACGCCAAGCGGCCGTCAAAGAAGAACCGAGGCACGCTGCCTTGCAGGTTTTTTGCCTCGCCAATGGGTTGCAAGCACGGTGGCAACTGCCACTACGCGCATGTTCAGCCGGTGCCTGCTAACGGCCCCGAGCTTAGTGGTATTTATAACAACAATGTCCCTATGATGGGAGGCCGAGGCGGCGCTGGCCCCATGATGGGCGGGCGTGGTCCTGGCCTTATGGAGCGATATGGCCCCGGCCCCGGCCACCACATGCGTGGAGGTCGGTGATGAAAACTCTGGAATATAACGAATCGTCAAAACGTCAACCCAACTTAGAGTTTCAATCTTCTTGTGGCCAGAGAAGAAGCCAGGGGTCAGCACATGCTGCCTCATTTGCCCTAGGAAACTTGCCCGTGGAAGAATATACACGTCGGAATTCGCTTTCATTATCTACACAGCAAACGCTTATCTATTTCATTCGAACATCTCTACAGCGATGATAGAGATAGCGTTGACATCTTCGGTTCATAAGATTCTCAAAAGACGAAAATACACATGATAATACAACCAAATTGGAAAAATAACACTTGATAAAAGTCATGATAATTAATCTTTCTCATAACAATAGCGAAAAAGTTTAGAAATACTACTACAGTAGTACTATTAATGCTAGCAAAGCAAATACCGGTACAGTCGTGCACCTCCAATTTGGCAGGGCGGACCATATCAACAGTACCAGGGCATAAGTGCACATCGTAAAGCAAAAAACAAACGCAAATCCAGTGCACTGATATTTGTTTTGTTAATTCAGTATAAAGTTAACATCAAACTTCTGCATAATCTTGGCGTCAGACGCGTGAATCGCCGGCGCGCAACAGCGCTTCCGGTCGCGATAGGCGTCCGACAAGGCGGCAACTTCAGCGGACCGCTAAAGAATACTCTGGACGGTAGTGCGCTTTACTGCTTGGGGGGTCTTAAAGCGCTCCGTTGCCCAACGAGCAAGTTCGGAGTGAGAGCATGCAGGATCTGACTTGTGCTTCTCGCACAAAGACTGCTTTTGTGGGACATGTAGGAGGAAGGGCGATGTCGCATTGTCTTTGGCGGTAAAAATCAAAGTGTGTGTTTGTATGAAGACGTCCGATCCAAAATTTAAAATCAGATCGATGCAGCGTGTCATCCCTCCGCGTGGAGGGGGAAAACCTCCGCGTGGAGGGGGAAAACCGTTGAGGTTATTAATAATTGCAAAGGTGGTGATGGGCAAAGGTAATTGCGCATCCGATTTGCGTGATCATAAAATTTGGTAGGGTATCGACGGATACCGGTGCCGAATTGGAGGTGCACGACTGTACGACAAAATTGGTTGCCAAATGGAGCATTGTATATTGCCTTTTGTCCTGTTTGTTATTCGAACCCACACCTTGTCACAAGGTACAGGGAACAACACGTTTTGCAGAGAAGATGCCCCAGGACCGTTCACCCTGTTGCAGGATGAGGCTGAGCCTAGGGCTCCGAGCCGCTAGCGTGGTGTTACAGCTTACGCCTTGACCGACGAGGCCTTGCGGCTGCTGCGACGCTTGGCGATCTCGCTGGCACGACGGTCCTTCTGCTCCTTCACGCGCTGCAGTGCCATAAGGCGAAAAAGGAGCAGGATAGATTCCAAACATCCGCGCATATATAAAGTCAGTCTCACATCGTACAATACCACTCATCTAGGCGAGAAGGAAAGAGACGCACCTGAGCGTGGAGACGGTTGTACTCGGCGGCCTCGCGCTGCACCTTCTCGCGCTGCTGCACCTTCTTGAGGGTAATCTGGCGCTTGTGGTGGAGCGTACGCGGGGTCACAAGACGCTGGATCTTGGGGGCCTTGTCGTTCTTCTTGCCCGTCTTGGAGTCAAACTTACGACGGATAACGTACTTGCGCACGTCGTCCTCCTTGGTCAGATTGAACAGCTTGCGGATGTTCGAGGCACGCTTGGGGCCAAGACGACGCGGGATTTGCACGTCAGTGAGGCCGGGGACATCAGCCTCGCCGGCCTTGACGACCACCAGGTTGAGCACCGAAAGGTCCGGGCCGACAATGCAACCGCGCACCGACTTGCGCTTACGCTCACCCTTGCGACGGGGACGGTAGCACGACTTGCCCTTGGAGAGCAGAAGACGGGCACGGCCGTTGGACAGGACACCCTGCTTCATGGGGAAACCCTGCTTGTCGTTACCGCCCGACACGCGGAAGATGAAGCCCTTGAACTCGTCGCCAAGAACGTCGCCCTCCACCTCCTGGGAGATGCGCTTCTCGTAAAAAGCGCGGAGCTTGTGCTCGTCATCGACTTCGAGCACCTTCTGGGCACCCGTAAGGGGGTTGGCAATGTTGAGCTTCATGTTGGAATCTGCAGTAGAACAGGAAAGTTCGTCAGTCTCGCACGATCGACCTACGGATGCTGTGCTACTGATTCAGGCATCCACAGGCAGCTACGCGTCTAAGCTTCAAAACGAGAGCAGCTGCAGCTTCGAACACCATCTCCAGCAGCCATAAACACAAAGCGCGCGAATTGATCCGCTGTCGTACCTCACAAGACAATAAGGACAATGGAATTCACTCTGTACTTGGTGGCTCAAAGCTCCCACCACCAACGCTCTAACCAAGGCCATACGGGCCAACCAAACCAAAGTGAGCATGGAAAATCAGGAACAATGTATGCTACACAGCAAAGGCTTTGCAAAATTTTCCGCATCATTGAAAATGTAAGAATCTCTTTTTCGTTAAGTTCGCATTCCAGGTAAGTACGGTAGTCTGAAACGCAGTTTGGATTTGTGTTCGGTTCCAGCAGCCATTTTTTGTGTAGATGGTGGTGCCAACGCTGTACCACCGACCACTGGAGAGATACGCCAGCCGCTCATTTGGCAAGACATTGTCGAAATGGGTAATCAGGTGAGCACACCTGCTGCCGCTGTCGCTTCGGCCAGTCAGCAAGGCGGATGTCCAGTGCAGCATGAAGCTAAGAAAGCACCGGAGGGATGCCCTGTGCAACACGATGCCAAGAAGATCGAAGGCTGTCCCGTGCAGCATGATAAGAAGCCGTCGATGACCGATGCCATGTCGGGTGGATGTCCGGTGGTCAAGGACGGCAAGGAGGAAAAAGAGATCTACAACGTCTACGGACAGCGCATTGATCCGACCAATATGATGCCGTACAATCCGAACCAGGACCCCAATGCCGAACAGCGCTACCCGTTGCCTCAGGGCCGTGTGCAGTCCACGATCCCTAAGGGCGGAACCGAGGGCACGTGGCTGTATCCGTCCGAACAAATGTTTTTCAACGCGCTTAAACGCAAGGGCAAGGGTGAAGACGTGCACGAGGGTGACGTGAAGGCTATTGTGTCCATTCACAACAACATGAACGAGCGCGCTTGGGCGCAGGTGGAGCATTACGAGACAGTATGCCACCCGGACCTCGAGAGCTCAAAGCTGCTCAAGTTCTGCGGCCGTCCAGACAAACTCACGCCTATTGCGTGGATCAAGAGCATGCTAGGATACGGCGAGCCCTTCGACCGTCACGACTGGACCGTCCAGCGTAGCGACAACACGCAGGTACGCTACGTCATTGACTACTATTTCGACGATGAGAAGTCCGCACAGGACGAAGTACCTGAGCTGCACTCTGAGAATAAGGTCAAGAGTATCTCCATGTACGCTCGTCCGGCTGTGGACTCGGTGGGCGCTTTGGTCGACAGAATTAAGTTCCCAATTATGGGCTTCGTGAATGGACTGAAGGACCCCGATCTTACTGCTCGTTCTGCTCTGGTTGAGCATACGCAGCAGGACAAGGATGCTCTGGAGCCGCTTTCCGTGGAGGAGGTTGAACAGACATTCGCTAAGGTGAAGGACACGTGCAAGAGCTGCATGCAGGAGGTCAAGACTTGCAGCAACGAAGTGCAGTGCTCACAGGCAGCTATGGCGCTTCAGCTTTGCATGGGTCGCATCATCTGTCCGCCACAAGCCTCTGCCTTCACTAAGGCTCTTGAGGGCGGCGACGAGGCAGCAGTTGAGGCTGCTTTTGACGCCATGAGCACCAGTCTAGAGCAATTCCAGGAGCGCGGAGCTAGCGCAATGCAGGAGCAGGCTGTGCGTGAATCTTTGGCCAAGAAGTAAGCGATGTGAAGAGTTCTAAAGCAGGTAAATAACGCAATCTAGACGATTTTTATACCAGTTTGCACTTGACTTTCACTCGTCTTCGTCAGGGCAAACAATCACTTGGCCCCTGCAGTCAACGTATTGGTTTCGTAAATGACCAGCACGTGCCTGTTCCACCTCAAGTTTGGAGAAGAAGTTCTTTGCTGCTCATTAAGCGCACAATTCGAATCGGGTCAGCAATTGCGCTTCGGTATAGCCAGGAAGTGCGGTACTTACGTGTTTGAGACCAAGTTGCCGTCAACGCTCCACGATTTCGATCAAGCAGCGTGATTGCTTCTTGTCGCTCCTTCTCTCTGGCACCAACTCGCTCTATTGTGTTGTAATGCAGGAGTAATTGATAAAGACTCTCGTAGTGATTGTCGCGAGCATAATCCAAAGAAGAGTGTCCTTTTCGATCACGAGTGAAAGCATCGGCGCCGTGTCTTAGTAGCAATTTTGCACAGTCGAGCAGATTATAGCGAGCGCAGAATTGTAAAGCTGTTTCCCCAAATGCGTTCTAGCGGAAGACACAACGCGAAATAATATGCGAGATGATACAACAGCATGAAGGATAGAACACTGATCACTTTACCTTGGCATTGACATTGACTCCTTGCGCTATTAGAGCCACTACAATGCCTTGTAGCCGTTGACTTCGTAACAATAGCGAGGCGACATCTTTGATCGTATCGGTAGCTCCCAGCGTCCAATCTCTCCACAGGAAATGGAGTGCAGTGTCGCCATTTGCAGTGGCAAGCCACACGACTGCACCTTGATCCAGCAGACAGCGCACAAGTTCAACACACAATGACCGACACGCAGCCATCAGCGGAGTGACACCCAACGTTCTGTCTTCGCGTACAATGATCTTGTCCATACTGCCATTAGAAACGAGACTCACAGGTACGTTCACATCCACGAACGAGTGGAACGTTAGCCACGCAATTACTTCGCTGTAAAGCACCTATCGTAAGTTGTTACTTCAAGTATAAGAATATAAAATAAAAAAATATTACTCGGACCATTTTGGAGCTGCACGCATCAACCTCCAGAACTGCTCCAGTCCTTGTCGATGTTGCACCTCGCACAGTCGAATCTGCCGCTCATCCTCCGTTTGTCGCACTTTCTCCTGCTCGCTTTTCATTGATGTCGTGAGTTTACTGAAATATTGCTCCAACTTGGAGCATCCACGAGCACGTTCCAAGCCCAAGCTAAGAACACCTTCGTCCATCCTCCCAGAGTTAATCGTCTTCCTTCCAATCGACGACGCATCGGTAAGCAGCAGTTTTCTCTTGGCTGCGATCTCCATCTCACGCTCCTTTTCGAGCTTCAGCTGCGAGCCGGCAATCGGATACGCGTCCTTCACGTACCAAGTATGATATTTCCCATGAGGATTCAGCTGCGTCTGACTCAGACTTGGAGCTTTAGACTTTTGGAAGCGATTTGCCAGCAACTGCAGCTCTTCCTCTCCTAAATCGTCCATGCGAGCGTAGATGCCCGGCAAGCTGCGCGTTGCTCTCAACGCCGACATAGACGCATCACCACTAGCTATATCCGCTCGCTTTGCGGCTCGAATCTCGTCTCTTCGAGCTCTCATTGCAACGGCATCCATTTCTTGCTCCTCTCCTCGTCGTTCCTACATCACCGTATCAGTGCTTTACAAGTCTCACACAATTACATAATTGATGACGCCCAGCGCACCGCCTCTAGTCTATAGCGTTGCTGAATCTGCTCTCGATGCCGTCGCAAATATTCCACATGGCGCCGCTCAACCGCGCGCCGGTCGTCTCCATCCTCGTCGTCTTGCTTCTGCTTTGCGGGTGGCATCCAAAAAGGTGCAAAATGGGTCAAAATTGCGCAAAATGGCACGTTGAAGTAGTCATCATTATTTAGAAACGGCCGTATACGGGCCACTGTTTCGGATGACCATCACTCGGGATGCACACCAGTGACACCCCACATTTCCGATTTTAATCGAGGCGACTCAGACTGGACTTGAGCCCCATGCTGTCGTCTGCCAAGTCCATGGACGATGAGGCGGCGCGGCTGGCGGTGCTACGCGACCCGAAGCGCATGGCTGCATTGCTCGTGCGCGCCTTCTCGTCCTCCATACTGGATGATTCGGTCCACGGCGCGGCGAGACGTGGGAGCACCCAGGCCCAGGAAGAAGAGGACGAGGAAGTGGAGGAGACGCAGGAAGAGTTCCAGGAGCTCGAAAGACGAGCGAGCGCCGGTACAGCGACTGAAGCTGCGCCTCTGCGAGTAGTTATCCGTCCTGTGGCCGAAGACGACGAGGATGATGCTGGAGAAGAGTACGAAGAAGAAGACGACGACGAAGAGAAGCCATTAGATGAGGAAGAGTTGGAGGCGGCGGCAACAGCGCTGCAAACGGCCACACGCATCGTCGAAGAGTTGCGCCTCAAGATGCTGCTGAAAGCGGGTCAACAGATGGAGCGGCAGCGACAGGACAATGACGAGCCTCCTTTCTCCTCGCCACCAGTAGAAAACAATACCGGTACGCCGACTGGAGGACCCGGCGTTCCGGTGCCACATGCACGTGTGCGCTCCGACTCCGCATGTAGTGGCTGCGGCAAGTCGTTTAATCCGTTCCATCGCAGTAAGAATTGTGCGGCATGCGGGTTCGCCTTCTGTCCCAAGTGTTCGTCCAAGAACTTCGTGCTGCCCACATGCTTTGGCTACCACGATGAATCGGTGCGCACCTGTGACTTGTGTGCAAAATGGTTCCAGAAAGCAATGGACCGATACTTTGACGCTATGGAACTGACAAAAGAACAAGAGCAAGATGCCTCCATCCATCGCGGTAGTATGGGTGAAATCACGATAGAGGAGAAGCCTCGATCATTGTCCAGTTTCAACAGCACTCCAGCGCCTACAAATGACGGATTACTGTCGGTGATAACGCGACGGTCGTCTGTGTCGTCCCCTGACCCCGTTCCTAGCGACGACGTGGCGGACGAAAGTGTCGATAATGATGACCAGATCGCTCCATCAACCTCCACGTCCTCCTCATCAAGACGACGACATCGCCGTCAATCGGTAACGTCCGCTCCAGCGTCGTCATTGAGCAAGAATAAGCCATGGTTCAGTGGCCACTTACGTGCCATGCATGTGAATGATCGACTACCACGAAAGAAGAAAACAAGAGGAGAAAGTGAAGGTGGTGAGACGGAAAACAACAGTCCAGAGCTTCGGTCGCGAAGGAGTCGCTTGAGTAGCGTGGCGTCCTCCAAGAGTAGACACACAAACGAGGATGCAGACGACAGATCGTGCGGACAGCAAGAGAACTCGGCGGGAAATAGTCCCATAGATATCCAAGATGGAGAAGATATCTCGAAAAGCTCAGCTACTGGACGCAGTGGGTCGTCATTGACCATAACTGTGAAGCCTGGTGAGGATTCCAACCACACTAGAAAGAGAAGTCGACGCTCTAAGTTCTCGAGATCGGCCAGTTTTGACCTCGCGAATCTACAGTCGAGTGTATCACCCGATTCATCGCCAGAAATGAAGCGCTGCAACACATTTGGTCCAAATGACGGAAGAAAACTGGCTTCGGACGTCCTAAGCAGTGGCGGTAGTGATCGCTCGAACAGTATGGTGTCGTTAAAGGCTTTCGATGACAGTGACATCGTGGATGAACGTGCACAGCTTGACTCAGCAGAGGTGAAGATGAACAGTGAAGCAAAACTATCTGCAGCTGTGTTGCGCTTCGCAGTGTATGAAATGGGCGGGAAAGAAGGCGCCGGCTTACGACGTACGTTTGGATTTACCAAGGCCAACCCGGTGCTGGATCGATATACATTGGAGCTTGACTGTCGCCAACGAATCGTACGAGCAAAGTCAGTCTTCATGCATCGCTTCTGGTCGTTCCACTGCGACTCGGTTCAATCGTTCGTGTATGGCTCCTCGGATGGGATGGCACGGCTTGTTGTATTCAATGGCGGACAGGGCAATCAAACGCTAGAGTTGAAGTTTGCGAATGATGACGAACGAGAGCAGTTCAAGCAGGCCATGGACAGTTGCCGATCAATTAACTTGGATAGGATGCGCAAATTTGCTTTGCGGACTGCTATGTCACTTCCTGTGCGACCTGAGCTCCCGGCATCTCCCGTACTGGACAATTTCCACTCGCCGGTACCCCTAGAGCCAAGTACTACTTTCTCAGCGGACATGTCGACGTCGATCGAGTCAGAATTGGGGCTGACGCATGAAATTGGCAGTGATAATACTTGCAATTCGCCAGTTCTACAGTCGATTCATGTGCCGCTGTTACCTGGAGAAGCAGTGGTGAAAGATACTGAGCTTCAAGCGACCATGCTCATCGGTCCGGTTAGCGAAACTTACGAGTCCACACTTGTATGGGGGAGGATTCGTGGCAAAATCGCCGTGACGAATTACCGGGTGATCTTTACACCGTTCGAACGAGTACAAATACAGCCGCGATGCGGTGGACAAGGCGGGATTGCGTACATCCCGCTGTTTGCTATCACACACGTCCAGCTCCTGTATCCTGGAGGCCGTCGACCTAAAGCTGGACGCACATATTACGCAGGAATGGCAGGAGCTGCGTCCATTATTTCTATCAACTGCAAGGATATCCGTGTGATGCGATTCCAGCTGGACAGTCAAGCGTCCGTTTCCGACGACCAAGCTCATAAATTACGTGCAACAATTGCAAAACTAGCCGATGCTTCGCAGCGATACACCCTTGTTGAACGAGGAAGTCCCATTCGAACAATATCTCCTGCACTTGGTCCGCTGTCGAGCTCAACTAGTGACAGCGACACATTAGACGGAGACAGAGAAAGCTCCATACATGAGAGCAAGGAGCCTTTTTTCCAGATCCCCTCGAGATCTCTAGCGTATGCAGCGTCACCAGTGCTTCGTCCAGATCGAATGCTGACGATTCCTCGCGAAATAAGTGGATCGTTTGCGTTCTCGTATTCGATCAGCAATGTCCCTCCCGAGCAGAATGGCTGGCATTTGTTCGTGGATGAGCGCGAGTTTAAGCGCCAAATTGGCGGCGACCCTGCTGTGTCTCCATTCCTTAAGGTACCGATACGTCTCTATCCTGTTTCATTGTTGATGAAATGCTAACTTTTTTGTGGTGGATTTTACTATGTAGTATTATAAAAACGAAAGAGGAAATATCTGCAAGTCGTATCCATCCAAGTTACTTCTCCCAGCGTCGATGAACTCCGCGACGTTGGCTAAAGTGGCTGATTTCCGTGCCAAGAACCGACTGCCTGTGATCACGTACTACCACCGTCGCAATCGGTGTGTCCTGACTCGCTCTAGTCAGCCTCTGTTGGGGAGCTTACTCTCGGGCACTTCCAACGTCTCCGACCAGCTACTTCTGGGCGTGTATCGTCGACTACCGGATATTATCAAGAACCAGTCGCAGTCGTCCCAGTCGTCTCGACCCATCTACATATTTGACGCTCGCAAACCGAAAGCGTCCACTGGCAATCGACTCATGGGGAAAGGTGGCGTGGAGACACCGCAGGATTACCCCGGAGCTGTTATTCACCACCTGAATATCGCCAATATGTACCGCATGCAGTCGTCGTTCATGGGTTTGATGAAGCTGTTTCTCCCCGGCGGTGTTGAAGATAGCGACCGTACGTGGCTGTCCAGTGTGGAGTCGACAAGGTGGCTGGATCATGTTCGATTGGTGCTGGATGGTGCGCTGAAGATCGCGCGTGTATTGGAGTTAGAAGGAGCTTCTGCACTTGTACACTGCAGTGACGGCTGGGACCGAACGGCTCAACTGTGTGCTCTGGCGCAACTGATCATCGACCCGTACTACCGAACCATCCGTGGGTTTGCGACACTTGTGGAAAAAGACTGGCTAGCATTCGGACACAAGTACGCCGAAAGGTGTGGCAGTGACCGTAATCGAGACCCGCAACGCAACAAGTCGTCGCCTATCATGTTCCAGTTCATCGACGCTGTCTGGCAGATGCAGCGACAATATTCTCGTTCGTTCGAGTTCAACGAGCGCTTCTTGTTGCACTTGGCGAACGCGATGACGTCGGGACTTTACGGGACTTTCATGTACGACACGCGACTGCAGCGAGACGTGAACGAGGTCAAGTATAACAGCGTCTCGGTGTGGACACCAGTGCTGATGAAGCCAGAGCTGTACTCTAACAGCAACTACGAGATGCACGATGGCCCCATCTGGCCCTGGGTGAGCTGCAAGATGATGCGTCTCTGGGAAAACTACTTTTTCCAGTGGCATCCCAAGTATTACAAGTGTCAGTGGGCATGCAGTTTGATCTATCATGGTCCCTCCAGTGCTCGCGGTGGTACAAGTGACGGTGGGGACAAAGATAAAGAGAATGCCCAACAACAAACCCCGCACTGGGATACCTCCCACGCTAAAGGATTGCCGGCGTTAGACCTGTTGGCAACGCCAATCACGTCCAGTATCGTCGAAGAAAACGGTGCTCATGACGTGCCGGTCATTAGCTTGTCCTCGGAAGATGAAGACAGCTTGAAAAGAGTGCGAACGGCCAGTGGGACCTACACGAAGAAGGCATCAAAGCGGAACATTTTCGGGCTAACCAGAGGAAGCCGTCAACGTGCACAGAGCGAAGAGAATGGAAGTCAAGAAGTGTGCTAGAAAACACGGAAATCGTATCACCAACGTAGGAATTGGGACAGCCATTAGCGTCGGCTGACTCTTCTTGTACAAAATGCTTGATTTCATTTATCATTTTTTTTTAAGTTGAAATTTGCATTAACTTCACTCGGTTGCATGTTCAGGACAAGTGTCAATCACAATAGTCCCTCGTCCAGCCGTCCCGCATAGTCTGGATCCGTAGACTTTTGACACCACGCCGTTGATATTCCACTTTGCGCCTAATCCTTCGACTACTTGACCGACTGTGTACTTGGCTACCTCACTGCTCTGCAGTTCAATGAATCGCTCGGCTTGTTTTACGAATTCAGGATTGTTGCCCAGTTTCTTGAATACCTCGACGGCATCTTCAATGGTTTCTGTCACAAATGAAGGTGGCGTTTCTCGGAAGAAAATGTACTCTTTGGTGGGAGTACTTCCAGGGTTTCCCAACCGCACACGTTTCAGACCAGTCTTTGACGTGCGTTTGTGGAGAGCGTAGTGTGAGAGTTGATCTACATCCTCGTGAGCGTTATCGTCTTCCGAAGAAGCTTTTTCCATATCGTCGTCGTCGTCTTTAAATCCTTGAAAGTGTAGATCTTTTGCCCGGGCCATTGGAGTCGATCCGGGTTCTCCAATGACGGGGCCATGGTGGTGTGGGGTGGATCCTGGGTGGTTAAGACGATTATACCCTTGGTCGTTGACAGGAGTGGCGATGGCATTTTTACTGGCAGTTTGATCTAAGTTGTTGGTAACCACATTTAATTCAGGTTTTGGTCGGCCGGTTGGTGAGCTCTTTGCTGGCGTCTTTTCGCTTGAATCAGATCGTTCCTTGTTACAAAACCAGTACATTAAGACATGACATGCAAAGTGTCAACGCGTTTACACCGTTACCTCACCTTAGCATTCCGTTTTGCTCTTGCTTTGACCTTGGCTTCGTTAGAGCACACGAGAAAGCGCTCCAACAGCGAAGATGGTACTGACAGGTTTGCGCTTGTTTTATCGGTGCCGATCAACCGTCGACTCAGTTGCTTGACCTCAGTGCCACCAAGAAGCGGTATAGGCTATGGTCCGAAAATGTGGAGTTAATAAATTGTCACATCAAAACAAGATTAATTTACTTACTCGTTCTTGGTCGAGTATTCGCACAACGTCGTCATGACAGTGCATGAGTAAGAATTCTCGAACGAGATGATGCACAGTGATCTCCTGGTTCGACTTTGCAGGACTCTCACGCTTCAATTCCTTCCGGTTTTGTCGCTCCTGGTTCGAATTCGACGTCTGAGTAGGCTCTGCAGCTCGACTTTCATTACCCACAGCTTCAACGACGTCAGCAGTGCTGATCTCGTTGACCTTGACACTTGTCATGGGGTTGGCACCTTTGCCAGGCACGTCTTCGTTTGCATCATCACTGTCTTCTACCAGGAGCTCGACTCTGCTGCGTTGCTTTCTTCGCTGTGCTTTGGTGTCGTCACCCCAACCTGATGTCGATACCAATTCAACTTCGTCAGCAAAACACGTCTTCTTCACCCGATGGCGCGACGCTTCCGGCTCGCCATCGATTATCCACACGTTCATTGTTGTCGGAAGGAGGATGAAAGAATGCCATCCCTTCCAGTCACACAGGATCTCTTGCGTTAGCGACGTCCTCAGTCTTCGACGGAGATGTCTATCAATACCAGCCTCAAAAATAGTATCTTGGAGATTAGCCATCTATCATTTTTTAGCCGTTTTTTATTTAAGTGCTCGACACATGCTTTTCACAAGTCACATATTTCAATATGAGCTTTCGGTCCCCGACACCTTGGAGGACTCAACACAAGCTTAGCTGCACCATAAAGACGCCGAGGGGTCATGCCTTCACATGACTCATGAAGTCATTCATAGCAGAGAAGGCATCAAGCTGGCTTTGCAATCGTACTGAGCTGCGACTTCAGGAAGAGCGCGAGCGGACCAGAAATGGAAGCGGAGATGAGATCGCCGCGACACTTTCTTGTGGGTACACCGATTGAGAGCAAGCTGGGCTTGCAGCGGAGCGACATTTTTACATGTAGGTATTAATATTCCTCGCACTGAGAATCTGCTCCGAACATTTTGCCTTTGAACCAGCTGCCTGAGCAGAAGGCCAAGACGATGTCCTCGAAAACTGGCACCACCGCCACTGTAAAATTAGGTCCCCAAAGCGAACTTCTGTTCTAAGGCTGGTCGCACTGGCTAAATTAAAATTAACCCTTTTAGCTGTGTCGACAGATACTTTTCGCGATTCTGCTCATTGAAATTAATTGAGGACTTTTAAAGAAGGCATCGGAGAACAGTCCAAGTTAAAACTAAAATAGCATTCGGTAGCCATACCATGGGGCAGTTGACTCTATCTGACGCGGAGTTGTCATGCCCGCATCCGTACAGCTCCATTCGAAAGGAAGATCAAGATTTGCGCGCCGTACATACTGGTTGACTTGCAGCGAGGACAGGCCCTGAAGAAATCTTCCGCTTCATTTTCCCATGTACACGAGCGCCCGGCTCCCAGCGACAGAAGCAGAGGGCGCTACAATTAACGACAGCGGCGCTTCTCTCATGCTTTAATCTCGGAGAAGCAAGAACCAGAGCGCAGTTTTCCGGAGAAAACCGGGGGCTTCGGGATCGTGAGAAGATGGTGTTGCCGCCCTGATCTCCTGATCCAAGCAAGTTGCCTAGGCTCTTGCTCCAGCAGCTGGCTGCAGCCGCGGAAATGATTTGGATTGGCAGAGCCTCCTTCGAATCTCAAATTTTGTGAGAAAATGGCTTCGTCGCGGTCACTGGTCGCGTGTTCCAGGATTGTTTTGTAAAAAAACTTGGCTTCAGTGATCGAAAGCATCGACAACTCGACAGCTCGAAGTTCGAGTCGAACCTGGCGAGAGCGTTCCCGCAAAGCCTGCTTTGATGTTAGAGAATCCCGGCTCATCCTCAGCCAGCGTATCGCGTGAAGGCGCACAGGCAGGGCCGAACTTGAGGTTGCCCTGAGGGCAATGCCCTCCTTGTAAAATGCTCCAAGAACCCCACACATCTTGATCCATTTTCACCAGAAAAACCGGCTAGGGAATTACAGTAAAGCCGATCTACCCAGAAATTGTAGAACGACCTGCTGAAAACGAGACCTGCAACACTACGATCTCCTCAACAGGTCCTTGGTTCACCATACTTTACCTTTACATGTACTAATTTTTGCTTGACAGCGGTGCATCCATGCCATACGAAACATCATGTCATAAATTTGTCTAAATATGACAAAAGTACCTAAAAAAACATGTACACAATTTCGGTAAATTGCTGTTCTGTGTACTCGATAATATTAGAAATAGTGTTCTAAATCTTAATACAGCCATGGATACCGGTATTTCAATACAACTCTTAGCACAAAAGTTCGCTTCCCATGAATGAATTGTGAGAAGTTGCATAACCTTTATATTAAATTACACCATGTAATTTACATGTACCGGTATTCCCCTACTGAATAAAGCCAGCCAAGAAGCCACCTCGGTGTGTTCACGGTGAACTTCAGCGCACAGTGCGGTACTAGGATCAATTCATATTTTTGCTGCTGGTGTCCCCGCACTGTCCAATTTCGGCGTTCACCGCAGGCAGCTGGGACCATTTTCTGCGCTTAAGAGTCTGTAGCCAGTCCCGTCCCATGTCTGCCAGATGGAGCGCAGTGGTGAGTCCGCGGCCAATCTGTCCCCAAAGCTGTCCCCCGAACGGAACGCTACTCACTCACTCTTGGATTTGCCTCCTGTCGCCAAAGACCTCCTTACCTTATTAATACCCACTCCATCTTTCGACCATCACAATGGAGGCCTGCCTACAAAAGTTTGAGACGACCATGGGCTCTGCACCGACCACGCCCACCTCGTCCGAGCAAGTTACTACTCGCCGCGTTGCGCACTGGGATAGCAAGCGCGAGAAGTGCAACAACTGCGAGCTTATCTACCTCAAAACGCTCAGCCAGCACTTGGGCTTCTGCTCCGTGGACTGCAAGTCCAATATGGTGTATCTTCAGAAGGTCAACCGTGCGATCCGCGCCATGAAGGACGCGGTGGACGAGCGCCAACGCGTCCAAGAGCAAGAAGTCCGCGAGGAGCCGGTGACGCAGCAAGCGCCTCAGCCGGTGGAGGTTGAGCAGCAGCCTGCCAAGGTGCAGCTCGACCCCTTTACTACAGCCAGCGAATCTTCGCATAGTTTGAAGCACGCGCAGTCGTTTGCTGAGTTTGGTCTCGAGACCCGTGTGCTGGACGCCAGCAACGTCGAATGGTCTTTCAGCGCCATGTATTAAAAAGCCAAGATCCCAATTGTAAATTTAGAGCCTCACGATAGAGTTCCAGTGTGAGATGTAGAATAGCCCAAAGCTTAAGCTGCATTTATAAAACAAAGATTGCTTTCTTTTCAAGGTGCATTTTGTTGATACCTAGCTTGACAGTTCAAGTACGCAGCGCTTTGACACTTATCAAATGATCATTCTTAAATCTAGGATCCCCTTCTTGGAATGCATTTCTAACCTCTATAAGTGAGAAAATCCACAAAACCAAAAGACCCTGCACACGCTGCTGAAGGTACTATACTACGTAGTAAGAATATTCATAACTCGTACGCTATCCGTCCATCGTACTTCTATATAAATTAATGTAGTATTTGATACGTGCAACTCGAAGTATTAATAGCAGCATAGCTGCCTGTGGGCGAGCTAGAGGCTCTACCCACCCCTTGCCTACACACTGTAGTCTGTAGAATACATTCGGTATCTATGAGCAGGGCGCTGGAGTACTGCCACGTGGATGCCTTTCCAATAGGTTTCACTGTTACACTGTTTCACTTCACTTCAGCTCTCAGTTCGACCAGATTATTAAATAATCAAAATAATTTATTTGTCACTCGGACTCCGAGTCGGAGACCACAACCGCGTCGACGTAGCGAAAGATGTTGGTAACGGATGGGGTACTGAGCCACAGACGATTGATCACCCTCAGTAAGTTCCTGGTGAGGGACGGCGCCGACTCCCAGCATTATGCTGAGCATGAGAGCAGCAAGAGTACAGAAATTGAAAACAGCACCGCAGTCGGGGCTCCAGCGCAGCTCAAAAGACGAAAGGCTGAAATCCTGAGTTGGGCCCACGCCCGATTTCTGGTCGTCGCAAGTCCTGGTTTCTCGTCACTGTTGGAAGCAGATCGAAGCAGATTGCGCTCTCGACTCTGGCCTCCCAGCTGGAACAAGCTCGGGCTCCGATGAGTGTACCAGCAGGACATTTTTTTTTATTACCTAGAGATTTCAAGATGCGATGCCTGACGTCCGATCGTGCTCTCCACAGAATTGTCTCTCTTCGGCAAACCGAGTGCTCCTGGAAACGTTTAACGCCGCTGCAAACCCGTCCTCCGCCAATCGGGCTGCGGTAAGAGAGAGCACGATGGCTGCAAGGCGCAGTGCTACGTCGCGACTCGACAATTCCGTCCGTCCCATCCTCGACGCCGAAAAACCGGCGTCAAGCGAGTTAAGAGAGCGGCAGCATTTTCTTGTCCTCGCTTGCTGGCTGGCCATTCCTGCAGGCTCCAACGCAGACGAGCCCAGGTTCAAAGTCTCCACAGTGCTTCGGCCTTGTCAATCTCGGCAGACGAAGCAAGGTCCCTCCTGTTTGGCGTAGCTCTCTTTCCCGGGCACCGGCTGCGCCGCTGAGCAGCGTAGGAGCGTTGCCACTGCCAACTTGGCAGAGCAGCGACGAACGAGCACCGGCCGGTGAACTTGAAGCGATGCTCGGTGTAAACCGAGGGATGCACTTGCCGCCGAGATCTGTAAAGCGGTGGCACCGAGTGTTTGGCTGTGGCAGACCGCCAGGTTCTTTTGCGTGTTTGCCGAGCGGGAATCGCTGTGCAAGCCTTGTAGCAGCCACGTCATGGTTCTGTCTGTAGCTCAGAAATATCCCATAGCACCGAAAATTTTGATACTTGGCGGCCTAGAGTGATATGACTGTCGTCCGAGCATGAGCACTTATGTTGCTACACGAAGAGAAGGCAAGAAGTTTTTTTGACAGCGAAGCACTTTTCATGTTTTACTTCGAGGTATAATACAGCGATTTATTATTAATACGTGCACGTATTAATACATGTAGTACTGTCCATGAATAAAACAGTACGCATATTGATTTAAAGGAAAGCAATTATTTCTAAAGGAGGCTGTTATTAACAGCCATACACTTTTGTTTTTTAAATTTAACACTATTTAGCCAACCATTTTGGGTCAATCCACCAATCACAACTAAGAATCCGAGTCAAAGCCATGCATCATCCTCGACGCTAAATTGACGACACTGCGTATCCCACACGCTAAACATCATGCATGCCCCCCGCCAAGTTAATGTCGACGATCAAGTGGCTGAGGTCTGGTCCAAGGACGCAGCTTCAGCCTTTCAATTGGGGCTGCTCGTGGGCCAAGTAAGCTCCTCGAATGTCGGAGATTTTGTGCTGACCGCGGTGCCCATTCCGTCCGAGAGTGAAAACGGCGAAGCCCCAACTGGACTTAGTGACGTGTCGGTCGACTGGGTCCAAGAAGTCGCTCAACAGGTAGATCGCCTGCTACCTGGAGGCATCAGCGTGCTGGGGCTCTACGTGGTTTCGGCTCGGGACGTAGCCTCGAAGGTAGTGCCGTACTTGCGAGCTACAGCGGAGGTGGTGGCGCTGTCTTCCGATATATATGTGGGTGACAATGTCCACTACCTGGCACTTGTGTCCCCGAACGGTGACGCCACCTTCCAGAGCTTCTACGATGTGGTGGATGTCAACAAGACGCAAATGCTTCCAGCCGAACGCATGGCCCCGACGAAGAATATTGCATTCAAACAGTATCGAACACTGATCGATCTCGACGAACCCACTCCGTTCGTGAACATCGCCCCAACTGCAGCCATGACTGCAGTGGAGGTGGCTGAGAAGCGCATGGACGAGATCGAGAAGCAGCTCGAGCCATTGTTTCGTCGCGTAGAAGAATCCATTGCTGTACCTAAGCTGACGGGCGACACAAGCGCTCAGCATTTGAACTTGCTAACATTGACACCTCCAGAGTCCCAGAAGCTTGTTGAAGATGTAAGTAGCTCCCGCTATTTGTACAAAGGTGGTGTATTCACACTTTATTTTGCTTTGTGTTACTAGCCTCTTGGTGGCATCCACGGAGCTGTTAGCTGCGTCGCGTTCGTATCCCAAAACGAACCTGAAGCAAGTGAGGTGGCAGCGAAATACCTGAAGCAAGACTTTGTGAAGTCACTGCTGCTGCGTGTAGCGTTGGCTCGTGAAAGGTGGGCTGAGGATGACGAAGGTAAGCACTGATACATGACGCTTGTGTCCAACACAGAGAGAATCAGGCATTGGCAAGCTCTTGTTTCTGACCTGTTTCTCTCTGGATTTTGTGAATAGTGGAGCCAAACGAAGTGTTCAAAGAAGGTGGTGTTATTCGACTCGCTCAGCGTGGCCTGGTGCCGTGGCGCTCTGCTTTTGGATCGAGCTCCCATTTTGCGGCTACGGTTCATGTTTTTCCTGATGAAGACGCAGTAAAGGTTGTGAAGAACGCGCTAGAAATCGTTGGAGGTGCGTCGAGCCAAGATGCTGCTGCATGGGCCGCGATGGAGATCGGCGGACAGCTTGGGTCTCGCATGGATCTTACTTTCGGCGTGACGGAGTCGGAGCATTTCAAGTACGTTTACTATCTGCTGCCTGTCGTCCTCGTCCTGCTCCTGCTTGTAGCCCAGTCCATGATGTAAGGACTTTTGCTTAAGCTTTTTTTTTTATCAAAGACTTCGTTTGCAACTTAATTTTTTTTAAAGTGAAAATAGTGGTTAATGTTGTTAAGTTTGGTTGCATTGGACTCGTTTTACTTCTTGTTTACATCTATCTGCATACACCGATTCTATAGTCTATATGTCGCGTGGTCGCATTCATCTGCGAGCGCGATTAATACATAGCGCTGAAGGCCCATTCAACGTTGCTAGCCTCGAGAATACGATACTCGAGGCCGAACTCAGCGAATGTCTTGCATTCGGTCTCAGCGACCTCCAGGTAGTCGTCCTCCTCCTTGTGTTGCACAGGCTCCTGCTGCTGCTTCTCTTCTGCTTGCTGCTTCTCCGCCTGATTCTGTTTGCGCTGTTCCTGTACGGCATCCTTCATGGCGCGGATGGTGCGGTTGACTTTTTCGAGGTATGCCATGTTCGACTTGCAGTCGACGGAGCAGAAGCCGGGGTGCTGGCTGAGCGTCTTGAGGTAGATGTGCTGGCAGTTAGCGCACTTCTCGCGCTTCTTGTCCCAGTGGGCGATGCGGCGTCGTGGCAGCTCACGCGGCTGCTCCTCGGGCTGTTGCATGCGAGGAGCACTGTGGCGGATCGGGTGCGAGCGCGGGCTACCAGAGGCGAGCAGCACCGGCTTCTGCTGCTTGGTATTTTGTGCCGGGGCCGACTTGGCGGAGGTGAAGAGCATGCTGCTGGCGATCTTCTGAAGGAAGGCGTCCATTGTGGCGTGATAATGGAGCTCTAGAAATGAGACTTGGGTGCTGTGAGGCAAAAGCTGAAGTGAGCCGTTTAAATTGTCTGGCCCGCTTGCCATCTGGTTTTGCTAGTAGGAGATGAGCTGCAATCGTCGATACAGTGCCATGTCTGAGAGAATTACCAACGCATCTCCCTCCGGCTCGTCTGCTCTGTCTATCCAAGTGGTTCTCTTGTCCGCAAACTTAAGCAAGAGAAGGTCATGTCTGAACGATGAGAAAGAGGTATTCCGCTCTAAACCGTGCTGTAGCAGACTTTTGCCGGTACATGTACAAGTACCTCAAGTATTTCTAACTCTGAACCCGACCTATGTGATTTGGTTCCAGTAAAGTGGTTTGGTTGCTTTTATTGGGCATTTCTTACCAAAATTCTAACGTTTGCTCTGGTATTCAATGAAACTCGAGAGTCATACTTTCCATCAAGCTGCTGTTTTACCAGTGCATGAAGTCCAACAAGTCCATACCAGGCAAACAACACCGGAGTTTTTTGTGAGCATACTGTTTACACCTACACCACCGTCTTGCCTTTATGTAGATTTGTATGCTAAAGTTTCGCTACATGCAGTTGACTTTCGTATTGTTGGTGCCTCAATGCCTCCTGTTAAAATTTCGGTTACAGTCTAGAACTACATCTGGCATCGTGTACACAGCGAGAGGAAATGTGGGAGACCTTCCTGTGTACTAAGAGTAAGAGTTCCCCAGCTGCAAGCTTTAGTACGTCATGCGAGCATTGGCAGAGTGTCAGGTATACCCGCCGAGGATGATTCTTTATTTATCCATTGCGTTCGGTGCCGCTTCATGCTTAAATCCAAAAATACTCTGGTTATGCATTATGACTTCCTTTTCGAAAAGCTTAAGACTTGTGATGTTTGTGGGCGATCCTCCATCCCGAACCTGCTGGGAAAATACCACCACTTGCATTTTACTTTACAATGTTAAGTAAAATGCAAGTGGTGTAAAGTTTACATCACCACCACGCCCAGTTGGGATCTGAAATTGGTTAATATACGGACGCAAACTAGCGCCTGGCGAGGTTGGGTTTCGCTACTGTAGCAATTCCTTCGCACAACCGCGAAACAACTTGTTTCGAGGTTGCGGGAGCTCGACTAGGATTTCAACAGCGGTTAAGGTGAAGCTGGAAAAGTGTATCGCCTCATTCGCCTTACAAAGACAAATCTTTAATAAGAATATTGCGGGGCTAGATTTCTTTCGTGCTTTTGGATGATTTACTCGACTCACGGCAAAAAAGTACTTATAATAGAGCACACTGTTTAGCGGGGCATTTCTATTTTGCATTTGCAACAGAACCGGGAATGCGACGTTTGCCGCAGTGCAATTTGCTGCACACGTACTGTATTGAAGTGCAAATTTGTGACAGAACCGGTAAATCACACAGAAACAAGGTCTGACACACAGAAAATGGGATAGCACATACAATATGCGTGGGACACATTAATGTCACATCACACCACACTATCTAAACGTGTGCCACAATTGCATAGGCCAAAACACACCAATCTCGGGTGTCTACACACCAGTGAATATTAGCGAATCACGACCAGTGCTATGAGCCAATCACCGCCCTATATATCCTTTCTTTACAGCAAAGATCCTTCTTCATACAGTAAAAACTGAACCTTGAAGCCCTCCTTCCCCTCCCTCAACGAAAGATGCCCACGACGACCAAATGGACGACTGTCTGCAGCGACATGGCTCGCGAGGATTCTCAGCTGCTTATGGAAGACATGAAGGCGTTCATTATTGTGAAGAGTCAGCTGGTTCCGTGTGTGGTGTGTGCACTGACCAAGCCACACAAGATGCGGTACCAGCTACTTAGGTGCTCCTCGGAAACATGCAGCGCAGCCACGCCATATGACGCGTGTCGTTGGAAGGGGAAGGTGCTCACGTGCCAAAGCCTTAACCGCGTCACCATAATGGAGACTGGTGCTCACGAGACGCTGGTGAAAGGTCCTCAAAAAACCAAGATGACCCCCCGACTCAAGGGCTACGGTCGTGAAATGGCTACGCAAGGGTTGAAGCCCGCTCGGATTCGCAATGGGATGGCTCGGCGATTCGGGCTGACTGAGACAGAGATGCCAACGTTACGTCAAGTGCAGTGGTTCGTCAGCAGTTACTCTAAGAAACATCTGCACCGCAATGACGATTATGACGAAATCCTGGGCCAGATCGACCAGTTGGCTTATGGCCCGACCGTCTCAGACACGAATCCTTTCTCGTTTGGATGGAAACGTGACGCACGCGGCAAACCAGATGTGGGGAACTGCTCTGACGAAAAGCCCTTTTTGGTGGGACTGACAACGAAGCGTCTTCTACTGAATGCGGCCCGCGACCCAGAGTCATTTGTGTTTCACATGGACGCCACGTTCAAGTTGAACCAAGTCGGGTATCCTGTCATTGTGTGTGGCATCTCTGACAAGTGTCGCTCGTTTCACCTCGTGGCACTTTTCATCACATCTCAACGCTATGAGGACATTTACGTGACAGCGCTGACCGAGCTCCGCAGGGTTTTTACTTCCGTGTCTGGGGGGCGACAACTGTTGGTCAGGTTCGTCATGGCCGATGCGGAAGCTGCCCAACAGAGCGCTGTGACACGAGTCTTTGGTATCGATTGTGAATTTGTCTACATGATGTGCTTCTATCATGTGATGGCCAAGGTTCACGAAAAACTCAAGGGCGTACCAGATCACCTGTACAAAAAAGTGATGGCGGACATCTATGATCTCCATTTCGCGGATAGCCAGGTTGCCTATGACGAACAAGTGAAAGAGGTTCTAGCAAAGTGGGCGGATGAAGAGCAGCTGATTAGGTTCCAAGGCTGTTTTGAACGTACGTGGGTGACAAGTTCATTTTGGCGTTGACAATGCTTCCATACCCCCAATGGATACGCCACCACAAACAACCCGGTGGAGCAGTTCAACCGTCTGATCAAGCGTGACTACACTCTCCGAACCAAACATAAGATCGGGACACTGTTCCAGCTGCTGGCGGATTGTTGCGGTCACCAGTCGGTGACCTTAAGAATTTTCAAGGAATCCCCTGAAGCCACCCAGCAGCTAAACGCAAGGGTTAAGGAATTTCGCCACCGAGATCTTCTTGTGGATATGACTCCCAGCCGGTCCAGTATCGACTTCCTACTTGCTTCTCCAAACCCAGACGTGGTTCGTGTGAAGTCACGTGGCTGTGAGCGTATCTATCTTCCAGAGCTCGGGCGCACTCGCGAGGTAGCCCCGGTGTCGGCCCAGATGGGAGTGAATTACGCGCGAATGGAGGCATTTGGACAGCCTGAGGGAGGCTGGCATGTGAATTTGAGTACGAATTCGTGCGGATGCAAGTACTACTTCAAGTTTGCTATCTGCATTCACGTGCTTTTTGCTCTGCAAATTAAGAGCTACACTGGACTGGATGGTAAAAGGACTCTTGTTAATCGCTCTGTGTCTTAGAAACGTCGCCGATCGGATACGCCAAGTCGCCGATCGGATACGCCAAGTACCCGAGTTCCTGCCGGTCGCCCACTAGCAAACCGACATGCGTTGAATACGGAGTAAGATTCGTTAGCCGTAAGTACAGTCGCAGCTCGCTAAACAAAGAAACTCTAGCTTCGTGTCTATTTTTTATATTAATAATAGCATCACGTCCACCTTCAGTTTTATCTTCACTTCAAACTAATCTTGGTTTAGTCTCATTCTCCAAATCACCTCGACGATGGCAAGCCAACAGGACGGGACCCCAACGACCCATCCCCACCAACATCCTTTCCGGCCTTCTTCAGGTGGTGTCAAGCGCACCTTCGAGCCCGTGGGTGGGGGCGCCTCGATGAGGCTGCGGCCCGTTACTTGAGGAAATGGGCACATGTTCAGCGAGGTGAAACCTCAAAAACCGCAGACGCAATCAAGCGGCTGCTCGATGCTGTGCCACAAGCACGTATCAACAAGGCCCGCCTCATTGAGGCAGCTGCTTTAGGTGACGACGTTGGTAAAGCGGAATGGGTCCTACCGACTGGAACCGACTTAAGCGGCCTACCAACCTACCAGATGCGGACCATCCTTGCTGATCGACGAATTAACGGTCGTGTTCAATTCCTTACCTCTTGGGAGCCGACATGGGAGCCGGCAGCTAATCTACCGTCAAACGAGATACGTACATACCGTGGGCGCCAGCGGCGCCGAGTAGAGAGAGCCTACGTTGAAGTGGAAGCGAAAGAAAATTAAACAAGTATCAGCAGGCTCATGATACATATATTTCTTATATAATAAATACATATGTCTTCACCACATCTAGAACTATTCGTATAATCAAAACTAGCAACGGACTAGGCTATCCGCAAAAGCAGTACAGGGTTTTCACCCTTCAACATGCTCCGCACAAGCCAGCTCGCCGCTACCTAACCCTATAACAGATCTGCATGTGTTGGTAGATCGTAGGGGTAGTCTGCATGCCGACATAGAGCGTAGAAGTAGTCGAAAGGTGGGTTGTCAGTGTACACGGGCGCCGCCGTGCCGGGAATCACGGCCGGGGCACGTCGCGCCCGCGTACGTGAGCTTCGAATGTATTGGTAGATCGTAGGGGTAGTCTGCATGCCGACATAGAGCGTAGAAGTAGTCGACAGGTGGGTTAAAAGTGTACACGGGCGCCGCCGTGCCGGGAATCACGGCCGAGGCACGTCGCGCCCGCGTCCTTGGCCTTGCTGTCTGAAGAGAAATTTGCCGAATGAGCTGACCGCTCTTTTGCTACAAGAGGCAGTCAGCTCATTGGCTAAGCGACGGAGACGTATGGATCATCCATTGGCTGGTTCACGTCTCACTAAGCCTCTGCCGCAGATCCTCTGGCGCAGTGCCAGAGAGCAGCCAGCACACGCACGATCTGTGTGGCACGCAGACAGTGCGTGTGCTGGCTGCTTTCCGCGTTGTATTTGTACTATTTTGTCCAAAGTTGTCACGATGCGTCGTCG